CCCCTGTCTATAAATGTCTAAAAAAAATTTGTTGTCAAAAATATGTGACAGTTAACAGCCTTATTTACCATTGTTTTCTCCTCCGATTTACTTATTTTTTGAAGATTCAAAAAGCATAAGTTTTAAAACCATTTTAGCAGATGGGAAAATAATTCGAAAATGGGACGGTTTTTCTTTCGATGCTGTATTCAAATTTCTGTGGAGAATTTGATTAAGATTAAAAATATTTAGGCTAATAAATTAATACTACTGCTTTTTTTTAAATTTAAAAACCCTTAATTTTCATAATACCATTTTTTAACATAGTAAATATACAAGGCGACCTCAATCAAGGGAAAAAAAGTTAGTTGTGTCTAATGTAATCGACAGACAGGATATCCGTATTAAGGATCTCAAATTAATATATATATATATATAAACTATTGAAATCTATTGATTACTACTGAAGAAGGCGAGGTTGAACACATTAAAAATCTGTTTGATTACTAGGGCAAATCGAGAAGAGTTAAAAGGCGACAATTAGGAACACCTTCACGTTTAAGAGTACAATATAATAACTGGTTTTAATCCCATCTTCCTGACGATTGATTCGACAGATTTTGATAACGGTTTTGTTTTGTCATCGTTCATGTTTTAATTTTCGACGCTTAATGTATATAGTTTTCTAACTTTATTATTAATAAAATTTCTAAAAATATAGGGCAATGTTGCTATGAATTTACCACTGAATGAGCAAGAAAATAGTGAAAAAGTTGCACTTTTAAACAAGGTTGGCATGATTTAAATCATAATTAAAATCGTGATTTATAGCTTTTGATTTTTTTTTATAAAATTATCATTGATTCAAATCAACTGCGATTTTCTTTAAGAAAAAAAATCTGATTTAAACCAAGTGATTTTTTTAAAAAATAAGTCATTAAGTTGAAAATATGTTTATAAATATATTCTTTTTAAAGTCTGGTTTGAATATAGTCTAGATAATGAAGGTCTTATGCAAAGAAATAATGAAAGGGTAAATTATTATGTTTCAAAATAGGCTAATAAATAAATAAAATTCTGAAAGCGATAAGAGTAACATTAAACTGTTAAATTATAATTTTCCATTTACCCTATATTAAGTAGTTTGATGATAATAAATTCTTTTAGTTTTCAGCTATGCCCATTTAGTTTTATGTTTATATGAATACTTCAAGTGCTTTTAATACATATTCAATATGTAGTTCGTGTTGCTAATATTAAAGAAAGACTTACAATATTTTTGTTTCTTTCATGTATTCTGATCTATAATTAACTCTTCATTGCATATCTAACTGACTAATTGCCTCCCTTTAGGATGTTTAGTTTGAAAAAATAACCATGATTTTATTTATTCAATGATTAGTTAGGTAATAATTAATTAATAATTTGTGAAACATTTTAGTTAGAAATATCCACTATTTTAGCTTTGTTGTTGTTCTTAAATAATATTAAGTACTGTTTACATATTTTATCAGATGATTTGACTGGTAAATATAAAAAAATCTAACAAATCTGTTTTAAATCAAATAAGTCCGATTAAATAAAATAAATTCATTTTTAAAAAATTTTATTTTTAAAATATCATGAATTTTGCCAACTTTGCTTTTAGCCAACAAGTGTTTTTCTTAAGAGAAAAGTTTTATTTCTTTTTTCAGAAAGGTAAAATGTTTATTTTATTTTTAGACAATATACTGAAAAAAAAAAGGCATTCTAATATACGTATAAATGTTTTAACTTGAAATCAGTTTGCAATATTTTAAAACTAAAAATAGCAAACAATAAAAAATATTAATAAGGCTTGAGCATAAATGCTCTGCCCTTTTTACATTACTTACTTTTACATTCAGCACTACTGATACGTTTTCGCAACAGTAGTAAAGATTGGGTTAAAATAATAATCACAATTAATCAATCATCATTCACTTTTTTCTGAATAAGCGCAGCGTACAAAGAAGAAAAGGGAACACTATGTAAAAAAACACAAATAAAAAGAAAAATGCAGTAGGACAAACCGATAATGAGAACACTGTCTGTGACGTTTTACATGGAGGGACGTTTTAATTAATCCACCATATAAATTTTAAAAAAAAATTCATAGAAATATTTAAACAAAATTTATTGAGAAAGCTATTTTTTAATTCAACTAAGTTTACAATAAAGGAGGAATTATTTTAAGGAATTATACACATTTATTTTAAAGTATGTATTTTTAATTGACAAAATAAAAAAAAATTTGGACGAAAGTTCTCAAGATGTCAAATTTAAAGAACACGACTTATTAAAATAGCATAAACTCAAAAACTATTAGACCTATTTTGTTCAAATTTCGTATTTTTTGATTTAAAATTAAACACTTTAAAGTGAAATATAAAAATATAGATAACTTTACAATTCAAAAATTTTCAACTTTTATTAAAAATAACAAAACAAAAAAATAATAATAATAATAAAAATTACTTAAAAAATAAAATTATCTTCAGATAAAAAAATATTATAATTGTGGGCAAAAATTATTTGATTCACTAAATAAGTTCTGAAGACATGGTGAAATATGTGAAAATTGAAATTAATTTGTCCAAACTATAACCTGCTCTCTTGCCTAAACTATTAAGACCATATTTCCCAAAATGCTTGAAATAACAAAAAATAACTTTAATAAAAATAACTCTTTCTACATTGAAAGTTATGTATCCAAATCTGTGGGGAAAAAGATAAGTTTATTCAATGAAAGTACGTTTTTATGCCTGTTTATGCAACTTAAAATATCATATGCACTATTTAATTAGTATATTTAAGGTTAGGTCTTTGAACCATTAAGATACGTTTCAGTTTGTTAAAATACTATCATTCATTAGATAAAAAGTTATTCAGTGTGTTTTGTGCAGTGCCAACTTTAAACCTTGTTTTGAGCGATTTTCTTAAACGCTGGTGGAATGGCAATTGTAAGTAGCAGGACTGGATAGTGGCATTAAGTGGGGTCCTATTTATCATTAAGTTTTTAATATATTCTCAAAATTAATGAAACAATGTTAAATTTGTCCAATAAATTATTTGTAAATAAATATAAAATCAGCCAAACCAAATTAGTTTCACAGCAAAAATCAGGAATAGAAACAAGTAATAGGAAAAAACGTTGTGTCAGTATACTTACTATTATAATTCTTTTTAATTATATTTATCTTTCAACTTCATGTTTTCCAAAAAAATAATATATATTCCATATACTGCATCCAATAATGAATATTGATTTCAAAAAGTGTTATAACTTCATTGCAGCGATTATTATCAATAAAAACATTAGATTCATATTCTGTTAATAAATGGCGAGACTGATTTGACAAGATTTCTATTCATATATTTTACATGCATCATAATCTTGAAAATGTTTCACTTTAAAATTTTTTTTGTGACTCCGAAAGGAGCACGGATAACCGCAAACCGGATAATCGAGAGTGTACTGTACTTAAAACATGAAAGTAAAATTCTGATGGGAGATCTATAAACTACATTATTTTACTACATTTGTTTCATTTCTTCTGATTAAAAGCTGGAAATGAAATAGTGTTTAACTACCAGTTATTTTTCTTTTACAGGTAAGTTGAAGCCTCCTAATAATACAAATATTTATATTTGGTGGAAAAATCAGGTCTCACTACATTCATTTAAGTAAAATATTGAAGGACTAACAACAGTTTTTACATTTTTAGAAATTCATTAAATTATTATTTCTTTTTTTTAAAAATTGTTATTTTTTAATTTTCTATAATCTAAAATGGGTTCAATAAACTTGTAAATTAAGACTTACTTGCATATTAAGACTATTACTTAAACTAGGTTTTGTTTTTAAACATCGATTTAATGTTTGTTATTTCTTCAAGAAAAAAAAAAGTATTTCATCCACTTGGATTGGAAGTAACTTATTTTTTACAGAATCGGCTTTTTCCACTTGGGAAAAATCTTGCCATTTTTATTTCCCAGTAGTAAATAAAAAGACACCCGGTGGCTAAGTGGTAGCACTTTGCGCTCTAGCGCCACAGGTCCTGGGTTTGATCCTGGGGTTGGGCAAGGCCTTTCATTCCTTCAGTGGGTCGATAAAATGAGTACCAAGCATGCTTGGGGACTAAACACTAGAGGTTCTGCGTTCAGCTGACCACCCAACTGGAACATCTGCTCCTACTCCCCAGAGCCCAAGGTCAAGAAAACTGAGATGGGCACAGTAGGCCTTGACTCTCTATGGGCTGTTGCGCCACTGAGTTTAGTTTAGTAAAAAAAATATAGATATACATTGATATTTGAGTCATAGTTTAATAAATTGAATTTAAAATTGTTTTAACCACCAGAGCTTACATAACATATAACAATGACTTAAAATTATTTAGTGTTTTTAAAATCCAGTAAAATTTAAAAAAAAAAAACTTATATCTGCTAATAATTGGCAATTTTAATCATTATTAACTATTGGGAAAAGTCTTCTTAATGATGCACATAATTTTTCTGATAGTCTAGGCATAGTAGAGCTATGGCCAGACTATCTATACTAACTATGGCCTATGGATAAATTCAACTAATGAAATCAGGCTTTAACACTTGTTTAGTATACCTTTAAACTTATTTTTTTTTCCGGAAATATCAAAGGTAACAAATGAACTAGAGCACAGTTTTTTTTAAATAATTATTTTCTTCAATATAAGTGAACCAATGACCAATTGTAACTTTAACTCTTTTTATGCAGAAAGTAATGATTTATATAATTAAAATTTTTTTTGGAAAATACATATGTTCCTCTATTAAAATTTTTTTTTCATTAACAAATTCTTTAACATATACTCAAAAATAATGTAACATATACTCAATATATTTATAAACACCCTACTCATAATTTTTTTAAAAAGAAAATTGACCCAAGGTGCACCTTGGACTATATGATTGCAAAGCATTAAAAATTCATGAACAGGAGAATAGAAAAAAAGTATAAGACATTATAAGATTTACAGCTTTTTCTTAAAATTTTATTCATTGAAAAATTAACAATTTTCATTTTCTAAATAAATGAAAGCTTGATTGTCAGCATATTGCAGTCAAGTAAATTAGTACCGTAATGTAACAGCACTGAAATTATTCCAACAGTTAAATTTAATTAATTACTTCTAAAACCAAATCTAAGCCTTTAAATGTAACAATGTTTATCTTTTCACACTCTTCCTATTACAATCAAATTATTCCATACATTCCCAAGTCATTACATAACTTATATAACACATAACACAACAGAACACAATGTGTTATAAATATTCCTTGAAGTTTTATTCATCAATATTATAAAATTTTAAATAATTTACGGGTACATATCTGTATCAGCACCAAAAAAAGTTGCCAAGTTTTGGCAATGTCGCAGACAATACAGAAAAAAAAAATCATAGAAGGGGATCAGCTAGAATAGTATAACTTGTAACAACCACCAGGAACGATTTTTCAATCCATGGGCTTTTAATGACCCGCTCTTCTGTTTCATATTTTCTTAAATGAAATTAAAACTTGATTCTTGACTTTTTTTTTCAGTTAAGGTAACAAATTTTAAAATAAATAAAAGTTTGCATGGTAATTTTGACCAACTACAGCCAAGAAGAAAATTTCCAAAAAAGAGAGTGAGTCGCTAAAGGCCACTGGATCGTAAACCAGTCTCCGGGGAAACCAAACGTATTTGTTTTAAAATTTTTGTTAGCTAAAAAGCCTGCAAGTAAATATCGCTTAATTTAAAAATCCTAGACTCTCTTTTAAAAAATTATTGTGTATTTTCACTTTTTAAATTAGCTGGCCACCAATGAGGCCTTTTTACCTCCAAACTTATATCAAAATCTTTAAATTTAATAATATTTGATTTTTCACAGTCTTCATATTTTAACAGAGCTAGTCCATATTTGCCCAAGTTATTACGGAATCTCCCTAGTGTTTTAGCCTTTTCATTGACAATAGTACACTCAGGTGGAAAGGCAGGATAAGAATCCATTTCCCTTAAAACAACGGGCATTAACCTTTTTCTAATAACAAAAACATTGTGTGACCTTGCAACCATTTCCTGACCAATATAACAACCTTTACTAAAGCTGACACCATTTAACAAATCGACATTAATGTCAAAAGGATGACATTCACCAGGGGGATGATCTAGCACACCTTCACCAATTCCCAATTTATAGCGTAATAGCCTGTATGAATCACCCATTTCATGCTTAATATCAGCAGGAAGAATTGTTTGAAGATCTATATTTTTTTCTGTTATAACTCTAATACCCAGATCTTTGATACGTGGATCTTTAACGCATGAGATAACACCATTGAGTTTGCTTATTTGTTGAACCATTTCATTATGTTCGTCACAGTTTGCATCTTCACCCATTTTGTTATGAATCACCCAAGCAGTTAAACTATTAAGAGGTTGTATTTTGACATCTTTCCGCAAGCGATACATAAGCATATGCGTTTGGAGGTATTCCACACCTGTTGCATCATATTCAACTACATATTCGTTTTCTTCGAGTTTGTAAAGGATGATATCGTAAATAACACTGCCTTTAGAATTAAGAAGTAAAGCATATAAAGATGGTAACACATCTAAATTTTTAATGTCATTCGTCATCATACTTTGCAAATAGTTTTTTGTATCTTTTCCAGATAAACTAAGAAGAGTTCTCTTGCTAAGACGTTCAATGGAGTACGAGTTTTTCGTGCAAGCATTACGACTGATAATTCTGTTTAGACACTGGAATGTTCGACTAAATTTCAAACAATTGAGAGAATACATAATTGTTTCTGGGAAGATATAGCAAATAGTTAGGAGCTCTTTCTTAGATCTGGACAGCAACCTTTTTTGTGCAATTTGTTTACTTAGTATACGTCCGGCTGCTTACTTTTGCCTAGCTTAAACTTCACTTATTATATTTTCACTTTGAAGATAATAAAGGATTCTTTTGCTAAATACATCAGTTAATTTACTAATACTAGTTTATTTTAAATGTATATGCCTTAAGTTAATTTAAAATATAGTTGGGGTACCTAATTAGGCAAAGGAATTTAAAATTGTGAAAAAAATATAGCAAATCTAAAGTAGGACAGTAATAAGAAACGGAAAACGCTTTCTATTATCGTAATTAAACAACAAGTTCGCCCAGTACAGCCTTTTTTTCGACAAGTAATAATTAATCGGCTAATTAAAATAGCTTCACTGAAAATTCTAAATTCTCTGGTTAATTTAAATAAGTCCAATTTTACACTAACGCTTCTTTTAAAATTTTATCAATGGCTGACAAACTGCATAGTGGTTATTTTCACCCCGTTTTACGACAGTACCAAGAATCTGGAAGCACTTTATCCCCTTCAAATTTCATGTACCCCGTATTCGTAATGTGAGTACATATTTCATCTCCTAATTATATCCTATCATTTATACAAGGAGCTTTTTTTTGAAAAAGGGCCGCGAAATTCTTTTTAGCCTATTGGTGTGTCAATACATTTAGTTTTCGTATCAATTGCTTAAAACTTAATTATTTTAAAGTGTAATAAGAATATGAATTTGTCCTAAAAACTGAGCATTATTTTTTCTGATTGAAAAGCATTTGAAGTTTTGCAATCTTTGTCTTCAGTAAAAATAATTAAATTATCGCTGGCTTTTTTTTCCTTCCACTTTTTCTGGGGAAATATTAATTACAATTACATATATATTTTATACTGCATGTCAATTACTTCTTTGACTTTTTAGTAAATCTTTAAACTACATTTTTTAAAAATACGTTTTATTTTAAAAAATTTTCTAAAAAGTGGAGTGTCAAAAAATGTAAATCTTATAAATTAATACCCTGTGGCATAGAGGGCAAGAGGGGATATCTATACTCAGGCACCAGCTTTAGAGGATTGCCAAAATGATGAAAAAATATTATAAATAAATTCTAGAGTACAATACTTTTTTTTTATAAAAATCCCTAGTTTCTTTTGCTAATTGTTAATTCCCATAACTTTTTCAATTTTTCGAAGTATTGTTCAATTTACTTAAAAATTGAACAAGATATCTATTAATATTGTAGTTTGTTTTGCATGTAGGTTTTTTAAAGCTACTTTTAACGAGCTAATGATATGTTGAATGAAAAATGTTTTAGTAAATGCTTATTATTCAATAAAAAAATAATAAATGCAATCAAAAACATCAAAGTGCAATATAAACTACAGTAACATACATTATTAAATTTTAAACCGCATCAAATTAAAATTTATGTTGGTACTTAAAATTATTATGTAAAGTTTTAAAATCTTATTCAGAACAAATTTTTAAAAAAATGCAGTTGATTTTAAGTTTTTACATTATCTAAAACTTAAAATGATTCCAAAAAGTCCTTTTTAAGTCCTACACTGTATTGAAAAGGTCACAAAAACTGATTTTGTTTATTGTTGTAAGCTCTAGCTACGACAACACTGTTAATGTCTTAATATTTTGGAATTTTAACATTAAAATTTTAGCATTTTTCTATTGTAGAAAAATCTTTTATGCTAGTTTTGTCCTATTTTTTCATTTCATTTTTTGGTTGTAAAGTGGTAAGCCATCCATTAATCCTTTAAAGGCCAAACATTTCACACTCTTGACCTTTACAATATTGATGATACCTTATGAGTAGAGGAAAGATTTTGATGACTTTAAAATCTTTACAAATAGCAAACATAACAGCGCATATTTTTATAATTCAACTATGACAATCTGAATTATTTCTTTTCTTAATTTACAAGTGTATTAAAATGCAGATGTTATAATAAATTGAGATGTAATTTACATTAATTTAAAATGAATATTACTTTAGTTTGAAATAAGTTAGTCTTAAAATTATAAGTATAAGTCTTATCCTATAAGTCTAAGTCTTAAAATTTTAGTTTGAAATAAATGTTTAATGGAAATTAATGTATGGAAAAAAGGTTGCATTATATATTGATAACAGATAACTATATTAGAAAAAGTTTAAATAAAATTGATTGCCCAAAATTAAAAAAATTTAAAATGCAAGAAAAAAAATCTCTCTGAGAATTTAAAAGCATGTTTTAAATTGCAAAATATGCCCAATAATGACAAAAGATAATTTGAAATCCCAAAAAATTTTCTCAAAAGATAAAAAGTCTAAAAAATACAAATGTCATTAAAATTTGATACTACTAAGGAGCAGAGTTGGGTTTTTGACATAGCACGTTGAAAACCGGTTAAAGTGTCAAAAACTGTTGAAATCGATCAAAAACTCGGGGCAAGTTTCTTTTTTGACATTGGAGACATTTTATTAGATACTCAATTATGTACAATATTTGCATTATATACTACTATCATCATTATTTATCTCATATAAAAAATGTAGCCAAAATTATTGAAACTGCTAATTGGTTTTTGTGAAGGTACTCTTAATACTTTAAGACCCGTATTATAACTATTCGGTTTATCTTGTAGGTAATAACTATGTTAATTATTATAAATCTTGATATTGATTTTAATTCTCTATGTTATAATTTAGGCAGATTTTTAAGATTAAGTAAAATTAAAATGTTTGCCAATAATTGTCTGATCTCAACGTATACTTTTTTTTTTTATTGATTCTCAATATTTGTTATTATTAGGTAATTATATTCAGGGGAGAAAAATATGTCTGACAGTACAAACAAAGCTTTGTAGAAAATTTAGAAAGCCATGGGAAAATTTTTAGTCTAAAAAAATTCCTACAAAATTTTTTGTTAAAAACAAGAGAGTTTAATATCACAATAATTCAAGAACACTACTAATTGAACACTTGTAATTTTATATGTATGTTTATTAATAAATACTACTTATTTCTAATTGCTAATAATTATCCTTACGCCAAAATTTTGGTGTTTTGACATTTCTCAAGAACGGTATTTTGACATGACAGATAAAACAATGGTTAAAACCGTCAATTGTCAAAAATTTGCCAATTCTGCTTATAAGAGTGTATTTTGTTGAAAAGGTTATTGTTTTAAGACACATATGTAAAACATGTAAGTCAGCAAGTTAATGACTTAATCGCAGCCATGGTGAATAATTATTTTAAATAGCTTTATTACAATTTTGCATAACTATTTTCGTAGTCTAGGTGTGAAATTGTCAAAATATGTATTCAAACTAATTTTTGAAATTTTGAAAATTGTAGTGATGAAGACGATGCTAAAGTCAACATTCCTAGCATGCCAAATGTCTTTAGGTATGGAGTGAACACATTATTAAAAGAGCTTAAAGTTTTAGTGGAAAAGGGTCTGTCATCAGTTTTAGTTTTTGGTGTCATTGACAATTCTTTAAAAGTAAGTAACATCAGCTTTTATTTGTTATTGTTACTAATCTCAGATTTTTCAGCAGGGATAGATAATTCTCATGAATCTTAATGTCTCTAAAATGTCTAAAAACAGGACGTGGAGGACTTAATCTTTGGTAAAATCCAAACAAACTTAAATGTGTGCTGGGTAGACCATGTTGGCAGAACCCCAGTGGTACTCTTTGAAGTTCTTTTGATCTTGTTGAAAAGTGAGAGCTCTAATATGGTCACTCAGGAAGTGGGAGGTTTGGTAATATCTGGGTCTGGAATTGGAAAGACCCACCTGGGTGTCTTGCAAAATACCATGAGTGGTTGGGAAGAGTTCTCATAAAATTGTTTAGTTCTATTTTTGCAAGGGATGAAATATTGCTAAATGTAAGATTTCCACAAGGATGTACACCTTCCTCAGGGGCAGAACTGACCAAGAAGTTGGCCCTTTCATTGCCATCAACTTTTACATGTGATGGGATCCACTGAAAATGTATGGTGTGTCCAGATGAAAATCTGTTGAGAAGATTAAAGATGTCCAGGCTAGCCTGATCCCCCACAATACTCCAATTAAGGAGGTGCTGAATTACAGTGTGGCTATCAGTCAAGAGTACCGATGTCCTGGATTTGATCCTCTACCTAAACTACATGCTATAAGCCCCTCCTGATATCAATAAACTCTGATCTAAAAACCGAACAAGAGAAACTAATTATAATGTGCATTTGAAAACAGGATTCTGGAAGGTTTATCTCTAAATTAGAACCCATTCTTCATTAGTTGATGATTAGAAGACATTATTAGGCTCTAGATCAATGGTATCGAACCAGGAAGGAATAAGGTCAATCTGATTACGTTTGATTTCTACTACAACCCCCTTTTTATCATTCGAAAATGAATTTAAGTATTATTCTCCTGAACTCTTTAATGAAAATTTAATTTCGAAATTCATTTAGTTTGCATGTTGGAAAAGTTTTTGATATTTTGGGAGATGAATTTCTCCAGTTAAAAAAAAAAAAAAAAGATCTCTTGACAAAAAACACGTATAAAAAATAGCTTCAGAATTTTGTTCTTTAATGTGCAGTCTTATCTGTAAATGGACGAAAGACAGTCATATCTGTTGAAGGAGGGAATTGTTTATATTTCTATCAACTCATCTTCTGAATGAGACAGGCTTCTTAATTACTTTAAAAATGAAAATTATTTAAAGAAATAGATAGAAAGTGATCTGCATTTTCTCCTTGTATACGGAATTCTGAGTATCTAAGAACTGGTAAAGAAAATATAATCAGAGGCATCCCATTAAGCAAAACGGGACAAATTACTCTCTGGTTTGCTATACTAATATTTTTTTAATTAATAATTGAGGTATTGATAATTTATTTTGCTTATATAATTAGTTTGCTAATATATGTAAAAAAAAAAACTATAAAATCATTGGTATATCAAAATTGTAAAAGTTTTTGCTGCTTACATTTTTTTTCAAATTTTGTTAATTTTTGTTTGCTTAAAAGTTCTAAAAATCATCAAAATCTGAATAATTTAATATATATGTTTTGAAGCGGATAATAAGCTTCTAGCAAGGGATAATAAACTTTCTATTCTTTGATAACATAATGATTTTATTCTAAAAAAACCAAAAATATTAAACATTTTTACATTTCTCTGATTCTGAGTTGTATAAAAAACAGTATATAAATAGAGTGACAAGGAAGATAAATATCAACATTTATCGATAAAAGTAAAAAGTGTAATAAAAGTAAGGGTTGAACTTTTTTTCATCAGCTTGTTTAAAGATTTTGAAGCTATCCAAAAATAAAGTTAAGAAAGTATCTATACACAAATTAGAGTAATTCCACGATTGTATCTCGGCATGTTGTGTGCTCAACTATGATATCTAAGTGCGGAAATGGGTTAAAAAATAGGTTTTTGAACCACTCCCTAGATAGCTCATATGACTAAGTAAGTGGGAGCCGCGATGGCTCGGGGGATAGAGCGTTTGCCTTTCAATGAGGTGAACCGGGTTTGATCCCTGCTACGGCTGGTCGATATGAATCTTCATCCGGCTTGCACCGACCATAGTGTTGACGTGAAATATCCTCAGTGGTAGACAGATCATGAGTTGGAGACCCCTTGCCATCAGGCTAACCATGGGAGGTTCTTAGGGTCTTCCTCTCCATGTAACACAAATACGGATTAGTTCCACAAAAAAGTAATCTACGAAGGCAAATTTCTCCCAATACTTGATCCAGGAGTTCCTTGTCTTCTGAGTTAGGTTCAAAATTACAAGGCTATGGAGTGGAACATTAGCAGTCGTAAACCCAAAAGATTGGGTCGGCTGTTCAACAACGGTTATAAAATAAAATGACTAAGTGGTGAGGAACCGATTGCAAATATGTAAGTGTTACTTTCGGGTTAATGGGCATTGTTTGTGGTAGAAAAGAGAAACAGTTTAAATGTTCCCTTCAGTAATTAGAAATCTCTAAAAGTTTTTTTTTAATATTTCAGAAAATAAAGAAAGCTTTCTTGAATCATTATCAGTTTGCATTTACTATCAGAAAATATAGTGTATATGGGTGATTTTTAACCGTCACTCTATTTTTGTTGAAATTATCTCTATATTTTAGAATTAGTTTAAGCCATTAATATCCTGGTGAAATATTTATATCAAGGCTCAAAATTAACAGTGATCTGTTGGTGGAGACCAATAAAATTGAACTGAAATAGCTATAAAATAAATTATCCACGGTCCTCTGAACAAGCAATTGATATAAAGGAATGATGTGCTGTTTTTGTCTATATTTTAGTCTCAGAACAGTATATTTCCTCGTCATTGTGAACGTTAAATTTTCTCTGTATTGTAATTGTTCCTTTAAATTCACTTTGTAATAAATTAACCTTTATTATTTTTAAAAATCTAATAGATGCATGTAAATAGATCAGTGACAACGTATTAGTGGCAAGTTATTATCTTTTAGTTATTTGTTCTACGAACCATTGACTAAATTTCTTAGTTTTTACTCCTGTTTATATTGTAATTTAAAATTTTCAATCCATTGTAATAAGGTATGCTTCGTAATTTTAGGATTCTAATGCAACATCTGCTGATACAGAGAGAAACCCAGTTCTGAAATGTGTAAGAGCACTTCGTAAAACTTATCCAGACCTTTTAATTGCTTGTGATGTTTGTCTTTGCGGATATGCTGACCATGGTCACTGTGGTATATAAAATATACTTTTTTTTTAGAAACTTTCCATGCTCTTTTTTAAATGCAATGTATCATTCTTTTGGTTCTGAATTATTCTGATTCTTGATTGACAATAATACCAACTAAGCAAAACAACCAACTAATCAAAAAGAAAAGAAAAAAACATGGACAAAATTTTTTTAAGGAAGCTATTTTTCAAAAAAAATGTATGGAATTCTTTTAAATAAAATTTTGTCATTGTTAAATAATTGAAAAACGTTTGATAAATTTTGTGATCCTCCCTATCAATGGGAGATTTAATTTGGGACTTTAAAGTTCCGTCAGGATTTAGTACATAACTGATGATACTTTGAGAGTAGAAATTATATTATAAAGAGTAAACAATTGTACATATATTACATTAACAGGGTTGCCACAGTAAAAAATGAACCAAAATAGTTGCTTTTAGTAGCCTCAAGCATGAAAATAGTTGCCTAAAACAATGAAAATAGTTGTCTGAACAGGAACAAAAATCTATCAAAAATAGTAGCCAAATAACTAAAATTATAGCTTAATTGAAAAATACTATGACTAGGACTGGGTGATGTCAGAAATTTTAAATTGTGATACATCGTCAGTTAGACATTGCGTTAAAGTGATGTAGCGTGATTTAGTATATGTTCAAAAATTACCAATGAGAAATCTTTCAATCAATCAAAAATTAATAAAAAGGAATAAATCTATTACGAAAGAAAATATTAATTCTAAACATATTCTACTATGACCCCAAGCTTTATTTCATTTTTCTAGAATTAAAAATAATTTAAGATTTATTGTTTTAAAAATAATAGTACTGTAACAAAATATTTTGCATACATGCAATGAAAATTAAAATAAAAAAAACGAAAGTGGAAAACAAACCAAAGAAATGTTCACTTTAGAAAAAAACATTTTTTTAAAATTATTTGTTGGAAAAAAAACCATGCTTTTGAAGCATCATTAGACCCTTTTTTATTTAATTATTTAAAATAATAAAAGGTAGTATTAACTAATAGTCAAATTCTGTACTTAAGAAATACTTATTTATTATTATTTTCTTTGAAAATAAAATCGACTAAAGATTTATTTGTTTAAAAATGATACTGACATCTAACAAATTATAAAACAAACAAATATTGAAAGAATTTTAATAAAAAAAAATTATACTAATGTCAAATTATTAAAAAAGCGACAAAACATTACTAAACTCTTCATTTAATTAAAAAAAATTATTTTTTTCTTCTTTTTTTTTAACTAATAGCCAAATTTTTTAAACTTCGTTTTAATTTTCTCAAAAATAAAAGCAAACTAAATAAGTGTAAGCTTTGTTGTAATTTTTTTATAGTTAAAAACGATTGGATATTTATTGGTGTAACAATAATTAAATCATTATACTTACTACCTACATTTAATAGATTTAAAAAAAAAGCGAACTTTTTATAATAAAGTTAAATACGAAATACCCCTATTAAATTGTAGCGCTTAAAATAAAAAACAATAATGGAAAAAATCAATGAAAATCTTTTTTTATTTTTTTTTCGTTTCATTGATCTATTGAGTTCAGAACGAAAATTTAAGATAGCAGCGATTGTGCAGCAATCGCAAAGTAGCCGTAAAAATAATTGACAAGAATCGTTAAACCCAGACAGAAAAAAAAAGGTATATCTGATGGTAAGTCTGACTAAAAATAATTTACAAAGAACCTGACAATTATTTCTGACAAAATAAAATGCACAACAATTGCAAAATGACTTGAGTCCCCTTGAAAATAATCTTAAAAAAACTAAAAGACGTAACGAACGGACGTAGACGTAACGGACATAACGAAACTGTGCATTGCATTCTACATAACAACGTTGATCCTCGCACGGAACTGGGATTCAATTCGCTCTTCGTCATTCAACATCACGAAACTAACATCATCTTTATAGCAAAACGCTATCTACATCTCTGCAGTAAGACGAAATTAAAATAGTCTTCGTCAGTGCGGTAACAGCGCTAGCCTAGTCAACGATCCTTGCATATTAAATAGTTAAACCGCGATTGTAGCCTTATTCCGGCCGTTTAAATCAAATTTCTGATGCATCGCCTAAAACGAAAGTCACTACATCGGAAAGTCACTACATCGGAAAGTCACTACAGCCACTAAACTGCCCCTCGGAGAGAAAAATTAAGAAGTATATTTTATTACATAATATACTTGCGCTAGCCTAGTCAACGATTCATTTGTGTCAACGGTAACAGCGCTAGCCTAGTCAACGATCCTTGCATATTAAATAGTTAAACCGCGATTGTAGCCTTATTCCGGCTGTTTAAATCAAATTTCTGATGCATCGCCTAAAACGAAAGTCACTACATCGGAAAGTCACTACAGCCACTAAACTGCCCCTCGGAGAGAAAAATTAACAAGTATATTTTATTAAATCTAATGGAAATTTAAATTTTTGGCTTTTTGGACATAAATAATTGTATAAAAGTTTACTTTCTTTTATTAACGTTCTGAAAAGTAACTTTCATTTGTGCGAAAAAACTTCGCTAAGAGTAAAAAAGTCTCCTAGTAGTCGCCTATTCCTGAAAATAGTTGCTTTTTTTAGCCTTTTCAGGCAAAAAAAGTCGCCATAGTCGCCTAAGGCTGAAAATAGTAGCAAATAGTTGCCTGTGGCAACCCTGCATTAATGTAACAAAACCCCATTAAATAAGTCAACTCTGTTCTCAATACAGTTTGTAAAATATTGAGTGTATGAATATAAAACCCATCAGGATTTTAAAGTCCCAAGAAAAGATCCAACACATTATAAAATTTTAATAAAGTTAAACATTTAATACTTCGTTTTATAACTATTTTGAAAATCTTAATGAATCAATAAAAAAATGTAATGCAAGCAGGTCTTGCAAAATTGATCAAGACAGAAAATTAAGAATTGAAGAACGAAGATTGATCATAAAATGGCATCTTTAAGAGACAACTAAATAGTTATATAGGCATTGTTCAACTTCAAGTAATCGTGTGCTGCCAATAATGCTGGTAATGATAAATGGAAAGTTATAAGACAAGTACCCAAGGGTAATTTTATTCTTTTTCAATGCTGTATGGAAATATTATTACTCTGATTTAAGTCTCGTCAGAGCACGAAGAGTTAAAATATTTTGTATAATAATTACTTGTTTAAGCAGGAGTTGATTTTTATTAAGATACAACATATGCTGACAATCGGTAATGTTATGTAGTTAAGCAGTGATTTAAAAGACAAAGTTAATAAAAATTGAAGAGAAATTATACCGATATATATAATTATATCAGCAATATCAGTATGGTTTCTAGAGATTATTTATTTTGATAGATATTTATTTGAAATGTAATATGATATGCATTAAGTAATATTTTATGTTGTATCTATTTTTTCCTTCAAGGAATTTTAAAAAATGGAATAATTGATAATGAAGCAAGCACAAAAAGGCTTTCAGAAGTCGCTTTGGCTTATGCTAAAGCTGGTAAGCATAGATTTAATTATCATAGTTATTATTTTGAACATATTTATTGTATATTATCTTATATTTTTTTTTATTAACTTTGAATATATTTATAAAGTGAAGCATAATTTAATTTAAAGTTGTATATTAATTAGTGCTATAGAATGATTTTCAAAAATGTAGTTTCCATGAAAGCGTGATTACAGTTGAGAGGTTTGAAAGTGTGTATGTTATTCATGATTTTTTTTACAATGCCTAAATTTATTAATCTCTAATTAATTTGTATAGAGCTAATATTTTAAAATATACTTTTATAATGAATTCTATTTTTTTTCTTTGAATCTTACAAAACTTCATAATTGAAGATCAGTTTCTATGACATTTTTCATAGCGTTTCTGATTTTAACAAGTCCTGCAGTAGACTGATCGTAAAGGCATGGTTCTCAGTAGATCACAGATGCCAAGCATCACTGGCAGTGGTCAGTGAGCAGGTGGGTGACCAGTTCGATCAGTCTGCTAAGGAACCAAGGATCTATGGTATCAGTCCTGTTCTATTGTAAAGTTCTCGAACTTGCGTGCAGGTCGTCAGGCTACTAAAATGAGAGAGCCATCTCCTCTGCAGAGGATCAAAACTGCAATGGCATGTCTACCGATAATCCTCAGGAATGCTTACCAAACTATTGCCAACAGCCCATGTGCAGCTTTAGTGCGACTTTAATAAAGTACCTCCTCTAATGTTTTCGATAAAAAATAAATTTAGATAAGATTTTTTTTTAGCAATTTTCTGGTTGATTTCACAAAATCTTATTTTTTATTACAAAATATTTATTGAGTGGTAGCATCTTAAGTATTAATGGGTTAACACTTCCTTGGAAATATGCGGCCCAACTTTGGATCATAACTTATTAATATAAAAGTTATTAAGAGTATTTTTAAAGCTCTTTTACTAAGAAAGGAAAAATTATCAAACTTTTAAAAAATTGTGAATCGGAAGTTTTTTTATAACCTAGATTAAAAATTATTAGCAGCTTTTTTTAAAGCTCTTTCTCTGAGGATTATAAAAAGTACACATTTTAAGTGCCTTACATCTTAATATGGGCAAAGCTATAATTTTGAACTATATATACTATTTTGTTATTCAGAATTATATTCGCTTTAGAATGGACAAGTAACTTAAATATTTTTAAAGTTTTATTAAAAGTTCTTTTTAAAAATTATCATTTGGTCAAATTTTTTCCTCCTGTATCAAAATTAATAAATAATTCCCAATTTTCGGAGTCTGTTTTTTTTTGACTCCAGATAATGCGCATTGAAGGTAACTTTTAAAGATAAAAAAATGTGTCACTAATTTTTTTCATTTTCACAAAACTGGCGTTTTTTATATTGACGCTTTGTACCAATTTCAGAATTAGCATAGAGTTCTAACCAGGATTGCCACAGTCTGGCAAATTTTTTAAGTGGTTAGTAAAAATGAAATAAATCTAGATGTTTTAGGTTAAGAATAAATTTTTAATTTAAACTAAATATATATGGGAGCAAAAAAATACCTTGGATATAATCAAGTAATTCTCAAATGAAAGCTAAGTTTAAGCATTTTCTAATAGTTTTGAAAAATCATAGCTACCGCTTATTTCCAGGTCGTGGCAACCCTGCTAACTAACTACTATGCTAGACTTGACCTAACAGTCATGAATAACTGTAGCAAACTCTATATGATTATGATAACAGAGGATGCATTTTGTTAATGTGCTTATTTTTTGTTGAAAGATTTGGCTATGCACCCTGTTTAATAATAATAACAATGAAACTCTCTATGATATGATATTAATAGAACATTTCTACAAAGGTTGTCATGTTGTGGCGCCATCTGACATGATGGATGGAAGAGTGAAGGCCATAAAAGATATCTTGCATAAGTCTGGATACGGAAATACAGTTTCACTTCTGAGTTATGCTGCAAAATTTGCCTCAAAATTCTATGGACCTTTCAGGTATGAATCTTTTATTAAATTCTGAAAGTTTATTTTTTTATTAAAAACTGTATTACTTTTGGTGTATTTTAAATTCCAAGTCTAATGTAACCCTTAATGAAAGCCATGGGGAGTATACTTCCCATGGTTTTATAAATGTATTTTCATTAAATTTTAGAAGATTTATTTTCTTAAAGAGAGAAAAAAAAAGCAAACAGAATTTGTTGTTTTTTAAATTCTTATGGAGTCTAATGTTACCCTATATAAAGCCATGGAGAGTATACTTCCCAGAAACATCATTAATTTTTCAATGTTGATAAAAAAAGTACCAATGAAGGATTCTGAGTACACTAATGTGAGTAACAGTAAAGGTCAGCGTGGGTTCAAGAAGACAGGCCAACACTGAAGAACTATTTTCTCTGAAACATTATATGTTCATTCATTAGATCATATCTGAGTTAATTTTAGTTAACAAATAATTTATCTATTTGGTTATTATAAGCACAGAAATTCAAGTTTATGGCCAGAGTAGATAAAATTTTGAAAATACCTTCCACAAGTTTTTAAATTGATGTATTTTTTCTTCTGCATACCTATAAATTTGTTTTGTTATGTTGTAGCTATATCTGGCCTTAATTTATTACCATTGAATGTTTTTATTTCCACTGAATGTTGTTAATTTTCATTATCTCTACCCAAGTAAAAAATAGTTATACAGTTGTCAGTCATTCATATTTCTTTCAAATAGAATCTATATTCACAGTTCATTTTTTATGATCTAAGAACATATTCTTGCTTTAACCCCATTAAAAGAAAGATTAATAGTTTAAGCTTTGTATCTCCTGTCAACTATCTAATGTACATTTAACATATGTTTTCAGGGATGCTGCCTCCTCCCCTCCTCAGTTTGGTGACAGAAAGTGTTACCAGTTACCCCCAGGAAACAAAGGACTTGCTATAAGAGCTGCTGTACGATAATTTATTAAAATCTTTTATTATATCATAATAATGTAACTCATGTCTTAATTTGTTATTTTACCGTTTTTTTAATAATTGCCAGTGCCTTTCATCAGTGGCGTTGCTAAAAGGGGACAAGAGGGGCCTTAGAGGGCCATCAAACTCATGTAATGCAATAAGAAATTAATTCTGAAGCTAAATATTTATTTTTTAAATTACTTGCCTGTTTCATTAGCAAGTGATAGCACCCTTTACCTCTTTAATTTTTTTCATTGATTTACCTAAAATTTTGACAGGGTATTAGTTGTTGTAGTTTTCATTCGTGATAGCAAGTGTTTTTTAAAATTATTTTTTAGCAAAATGGCGATATATTGAATGAAAATAGTCTTTAAAATTATCTCTTAACTTATAATTAATTTTTTTTAAAAGCACAATTTAAAGTTTGCATAATCATATATATTCAAGATTCGTTCCTATACCAAGAGTAGGGATTTTCAATTTTTACCAAATTCAAGCATAAAGTTGAACTGAAAAAAAGCATGACACCTAAAAAACGAATGCGTTTTAAAAGGGGGGCAAACTGAATTTGTCTCCAGGTATTGTAACCATTTGCAACACCTATGACTTTCATTGGGTAGAAAAACCACATGGGAGACCTAGATATCTTTTAGTAACTTTAGCTAAGGTTGTATCATTGATAAATTGTAAGGAAAATTTTTTTTAATAGTTTTAAGTAAAATAAAATTAATGCATTAAAAATAGATAAATGTTGCTTAAAAATTAATTTTATTATTGAAATTTAAATGAAAATGTTACATTTTCAGAAACGAGACATTGAGGACGGAGCTGATATGATAATGGTGAAGCCAGGTTTGGCTTACTTGGATATTGTGAATGAATTGAAACAAAAGGTTAATAAAGATGTCATTTTATTTAGATGTATTTATGAATTTTAACTGAAGAGTAGCTTTAACTTCTGTATTTATTTATTTAAAAGAAGTAAAGAAAAAAATTAAATGTGTATGATTTGCTTCTAAGCAACTGATGGAGTGAAAATTGATATTTTAGAATTAGAGCAAATTCAATATTTAAAAATTATTTTTCAGAAGACTTTTCTTGGCAAGTCACAAGTAGTGCTGCATTGATTAAACATGAAAAAAGGTGCTTTAATTTTTAATTTGTGTAAAAAATTAAATTTTCTATTTCTGAGTAATTTTTTTTTATGAGTAGCAGAATAACATTTGTCAACTAAGCTTTTTGCTTATTATTTAAACTGGAAAATTTTGAGAGTTTAACAACCATTAATTTTTTAAATAACATTTTATAAAATAAAGGGTGATAATAAATAATTCAGACTAAGTTTGAAACTAAATATTTTTTTCACAAAATAACATAAACTTATCTGTATTGTGTGTTCTTTGTTCTTGTTACCCTATACCAGGGATGGGGAAACTACGGCCCGCCGCAGGATTTTATCCGGCCCGCGGATGGAATTTTTATTTGCCGATCAGCGGCAAATATAAACAATATACATCCATTTTATTGTCGACTATGTTTAAAATTATTTCTGTTTTTCCTTTTTTAACAAAGTACTGATGACATGTTTACTTTCTTTATTTTTGTTCTACAAAACATAAATTGATGGAAATAGTTAGCTCAGACAGCTTCTATTGGTAAAATGTTGAAAACAGAAGTTCTTTATAGAATAGCCATAGATTGGCTCCAACTAGCGTTTGTCTTTCTCAAGGAGCTGACTTATGGAATCTAATATAGGTAAATTGTACTTCACATTTGGCAGACTGCACATTTTACGCTCCAAAGAGCGGACAATCTAACAATCATCCGAAGCAGTTATTTCTAAATATGCCTAAGTTTGACAAATCATTACCAAAAGCTAGTTCCCAAAATTTAAAATTTCACGCCCAGAAAATCAGTGCTATGTTAGCTTAATCTTATATACGTGAACAAGAGTTTTCAATTATGAACCTTAGAAAAAATTATTTCAGAAGTAGACTAACAGAAAAGGATTTAGCCTTGTTCCTTAAAATAAGCGCATCTCCCTTCAAACCTTAATATATGGAACTTTTAGAAATGAAATCGCAATTTCCTTCATCCCACTAAATATTTAAATTAAAACTTGTATATCGCTTTTTTTCCTTTCTTAAATTTTGAAAATCTTACTTGGCCCACCAAAAATTTTTTTTCTTGATTTTTGGCCCACGACCAAAAAAGTTTGCCCATCCCTGCCCTATACAATACTTAGTCAAATTAACATAATTTTTGAAAAACTACTTACTTTCATGTATTAACTTATATAGTTTTTAAAGAAAGGAAAAAAATAGTTGTATTGCTCTTCACTGTTTGAGAAATAAATAAATGAAAACAAATAACATTTTCATATAGCATCTTGCTTAGTCACATTACTCAGGGTAGATCGTTCAGAAGAACTTGTATTGATGTTTAAGTTAAGTGTGTGTTAATAAAATTGCTTTTAATTAAACAAAGACAGTGAAGCATAAATCAGGATTTTTTAACCTACCTTTTATAAAAAAATATTTTGCTTTAAAAGTTTTTGAATTTTATGTGCAATTTGTTTATTTTGTTCCATTGGAAGCTGACTCAATCAATTAAAAAAAAATTGTCCAAGTCATTATAAGTGCAAGCATAAAAGATTTTTCTATCTACACTGTAGTACACTAGAAAAATTATAGTATAGTTAATTTTCACACAAATTAAGTTTCAGTGCACCATATTGAAAGAAAAATGAATGAAAACATTATTAAAGCCTTAACTTTTATACTCCAGCTATATATAAGATACCAAGTTTCTTGACACAGAATACTTTTTTACTTTCATGTAATGAAAAATGCCACTTATGCAATAAATTTAATTTTTGATCACAAATAGGATTTAAAACAAATGCTTTATGAGAAGTTTGAAAAAGCATACAGTACCAGTAAAAAAATTCTTGACACATAGTCAATACTACTACAAGTGTAGACTTTTTACTATTTCTAGATTATTTAACTTTTATCTGTGAAACATTTATATTCTTAAATGTTTGTAGCATCCAGAATATCCCATGTTTATTTATCAAGTGTCTGGGGAATATTCAATGTTGTATCGTGCTGCAGAAGCTGGTGTGTTTACTTTGCAAGATGCTGCAATGGAAACTTTAACGTCAATGAGGCGTGCAGGTAATAAGTTCTTTCGATTGTCTTCTAACAATATTAATTCATGGATCTTTTAGATTTAAGATACAATCAGAATAGTTTTTTACCTATGCTATAGAAAAGTGCCAATTATACGAACGCCGCTTTACTAAATTGTCAAAAGATCATGTGTTTTTCTCACCTTCCTTTTTTAAAAAAAATTATATATATTTTTTTAGAATATTTGAAAGGTGTAAAAAAATGGCTTATTTTGTCCTTCAGTGGCCTTAAAAAGAACCCCACATTCTTTCTGCCCAGTTTCAAGATGTGCGACAAGTACTCTCTAATGAAGTTAAAACTTTTTAACACTCTATTAATACGATGCTATAATAGGCACTAGTACAATTTTCAATCCTAAGCCTAAAAAAAGTGTGAAGGGAAGTTACTTAAAAAACAAAACATTTTCAAAGCTGTTTTTTCAAGCTGTCCAATTATCCAGATTTTTCGTTATTCGGATCGGGTTTGGTTTCAATTGGTTCAGATAATCGGAGCTGTACTCTTTTTGCCAAATTATCCTTGGCTGTTTTAATGAAAATAGCTATTGAAAAGGACGTCTCAACTCGAAAATTTATTGAACTTTTAAAAAACCTAGACATTAAAATTAAAAGAATGACCTGGGCTCCCCATATTGTTAGAATGAATTTAAAAGAAAAAGTCAATAAAAAAGAATTTTGTTTTAAAGATCTTCATTAGTTTCAAAAGAGGACTGGCAAAACAACAAAGACACAATTCTGTGGAATCTGGTCTTCAGAGTGACTTTGAACTAGCAGAGTGCTCAGGTCAAAAAATGGGCTGTCCTTTAAGAATATTCAACAGAGGTTTTGGCCCACTCTATGTTGTCATGCCAATTATAATGATGTGAAGAGAAAGAAATGGATAGAATTGAATGAAGAAATCTTCTAACAGGGTTCAAACTTAGGACCTCCATGATCATCCCTAACCAAGATGAGTTAGGAAGATTTATATAGTGGCCGCCACATTGTTTCGCTTAATTATCACACTGAAAGTTATGTTTAATACATTTTATTTATTTTAAACATCTTGATACATTTGCATTTGAGTATAGAAAGTATCATTCAAAGAAATCAAACTGCTTTATGGCACAACAATCTTTCTCTTCCTGGAAACTTTTTGAGAGGGAACTGTAGAATAAAGCTGATTGGCCAATATCGACAGTCGCCTGCTAGGTGCCAGTGATGGTCTTTTGTGAGATGACGGGAAAGCAGAAAGCACATCCAGTTTAATCTTGCGTCGTTCTATTTCCATTCTGCATTAATTGTTGAAATTAAATAACATTTTTACCAAAAAATATGGATTAATGATAGAAAATTATAAAAAAATATCTGCTTAGGCCAATGGCTCATTTTAAAAAGTAAAATTGTATCTTTCTGTAAAGGATTGTGAAGTTGCTGTCACTGCATTTTTTACTAAACTTAACAAAACATTTTGATGAAAAAGGTATGCATTGCTTACCACTGTAATCGGTGCTAAATATCTGTCATTTGAATTGGATGATGCAGGTATATTAATAAAATAGAGGGCTCACAATGTGTTAATCTCCTTTTCTTTGAAGTAAATATTTGACTCAAAAAGGAATGATCAAATTAAAGTTGACAAGTTCTTGCTTTATATGTTAGGGATAATAGTACATTAAAATTTTATACAATCTTGTTTTCAACAAAACTTCACAAACAATATGTATAAAAAATTACTTTAATTAAATTTGATAAATTTCACTAAATATCACTGATAATTATTTTAATAATGTATTAAATTATGTTTCAATGAAATAATCAAAAGTTGTTTTGCCCAAGGTAAATAAGAAAATTGTTGATCAGTTTATGAAATGATATTATTATATGATAATTATTATTAAAAATAAAAAATTTTTCTAAATGATATATATTTTAAAATTTTGATTTGAAGCTGAGATATTTTTCTTTTCGCCAAATTTTGGAATGTGATGAAAAGCAATAATTTTGCTAATCTTAAATATAAAAAAGCAGTTATTTTTTTACATAATGACAAAAGAAATGAATCATTTTAATTAAGGATAAAAATGAGATTTCAAATATATTACTGATTAAGTAAACTGCTGTTTGTAGAAAATGCAACACCATGAAGGAATCATCAGAATCAAATGAAATATTATTTTAATAATGGATATAGGATATTATGCAAATTAATAAAGTTTCAGAGCCATCGCGCGTGCGTGGCGCGCGCAGCGCCCTCTGAATTGATGCTGAAAGCGTATAAATAAAGTGCTGTAGCGGGACGTTGAAAATAGTCTATGATTATTTGTTAGTGGCAAACGTTTAGTGAGACCTGAGTATGCCTCCACGACGGAAGAATAAGAAATTCAAGCAACTTACGGAGTTTGAACGAGGGAGGATAATCGGCCTTCGAGAAGGAGGATTTTCCTATCGCGCAATAGCAGCTCGTATGCAGCGGAACAGTTCCACAGTGATGCGAGTTTGGAAGCAGTGGACCGACGAGCACCGAACAACTCGAAAAACAGGCACTGGACGACAGAAGGTGACGTCAGAGCGCGATGATCGACACCTGCTCCGCATGGCGGTGAATGATCGCACAGCTTCCTCCAGGCAGCTGGCAGCACATTGGTCTACTGCTACAGGTGTACAATTGTCGGCTTCGTCAATTCGTCGTCGTCTGCTGCGCCGTGGATTGCGTGCAAGGGTGCCATTATACAGGATTCCCCTCACGGCGGATCATCGACGGCTGCGTCGGCAGTGGGCTCTTGAGCACAGAGACTGGCGAGCTGATTGGCACCAAGTTGTCTTTTCAGATGAATCACGCTTCAATTTGTGGACCCATGATGGCCGTGTTCGTGTTAGACGTTATGCCGGTCAACGCTGCCTTCCTGAGTGTATTATTGAACGACATAGTGGTCGAACACCCGGAGTTATGGTCTGGGGTGCGATTTCGTATCATGGACGATCCAATTTGATACGAATTGAGGGTAATCTCAATAGCAACAGATACGTCCGTGAAGTGCTACAGCCCGAAGTCGTTCCTTTCCTTCAAGGCATCCCTGGAGCTATCTTTCAGCAGGATAATGCACGCCCACATGTTGCGCGGACTGTTAGAGACTTCTGTTCAGCACAACGCATGCAACTTCTTCCTTGGCCTGCTTATTCGCCGGATATGTCGCCTATTGAGCACGTGTGGGATATGGTTGGTCGGCGTCTCACTCGTGATCCGCGTCCTGCAGTTTCCAAAGACGAACTTTGGTTGCGCATACAAGCGATATGGAATTCTCTTCCTCAAGCAGATATTCAACATCTGTTTGACTCCATGCCACGTCGTATAGCAGCACTTATTGCAGCGCGTGGTGGCTGCACCAAATACTGATTTCGGACGCTTAATTTGTTTCTTTTGTTTTGAAAATTTCATCATTTATTTGTATCAGTACAAGTCGTTTCTGCATTAAATTTCATTTGATTCTGATGATTCTTTCATGGTGTTGCATTTTCTACAAACAGCAGTTTAGAATGCTTGGAGTTATTACATTTGTTTATAAACTATATGTAGTTAAACCTTGTTAATGCCAACTCAAAGGGGCACAAAAAATTTGTTCTCATTAAAAATAGTTTACATTATCAGTTCAGGGAATTTTTATCTAAATGCAGATAGATAAAAAATGTCTAAGTTTAAATTTCTATCTAAAATTAAACTTTGTGGTGTGACAGCCTATGATGAGCCCATCCCAGTTTTCGTGATATTAGGCTCTAGGGGGCTGTTTTGGTTGGGTCACCTGGAACCCCAGAGTTTAGTCTGCAAGAATGCTTTTTATTCATTTTTATTAACCTACTGAAGTAATGGAAGGCTTACCTGGTGTGAGGATAAAACCTTCCAATACTCAGTCACCGGGCATCATAAATTTCTTTATCTATATATATTTCTTTTTAAAAAAAAACTTCTCTTGCACTTAATATTAAATGAATAACTTCTATACATATTTTCATAATAAATATAATTAATTACTTTAAAAACTGATTTATTGCATAAATTAGAGGATTATTAACAAAATAATCTGTAATAGCTTGTTTCAGTGATTTTTATTTGCACATGATTCTCAAAAATTTATTTAGCATTACTAAAGAAAGGACAGTTTTAATTGCTTCATAAGCATCCTTTAAAGAGACAAAGCTACCCCCCTTTTTTTTAACTGTTGGTTTTCATCTTCGTATTCTGCAGAATCTTATTTCGTAAACTTTTTATTTCCTCTACTATATCAGAGTCTGTAATAAATTCATGTGCATCCATAGAAATGTAGTCTTTGAAAGAAGCTGATTCTAAAAACAAATTGTGTGCTTGAACATCAACAACAAGATTATTTTCTTTGAATGATTTGATATTAATAGACTTAAATAGAAAAAATATCTGGTTTTTCAAAAATAATTGTGAATTGTTCTTAATAGATATTTCACTCTCGGTACTTTTCAGCAAATTTAATGCTTCTAGGATATTAAAATTTAAATCTCCTCCTCTATAAAGACTAGGAACAGCTTGGCAAATCATTTCCCTTCTATACTTTTGAGCATCGAAGGATACCTTGATCACAAGGCGACAATCCAGAAGAAAAGAGAACTCCTGGATCAAATATTGGGAGAACTTGCCTTCATACAGGACTTTTTGATGGTACTAACCTGCATTTGCATGGTGAGGAAAACCTCTTACAGTTTGCCTGACAACAAGGGGACTCTAACCAATGATATCTCTACTACTGAGAATATTCTTACGTGGTCGGGGCACGTCGGGTGTACTCAATGTACCTGATCTTCTGCACCACCAGACCTCTAGCAGTGGTATTTTGTGACATAGGGTCAATTTTTATTGCCTTCAGTACAGGAATAGAATAATTATTCAAGAGCAAACATATTTCTCACTCTTGTTATTTATGGCCCAGTTTTTTTTTAACCAAATTGTCTGCCTTAATCCAAGCTTCTTTCCCTGTAGCTTCATATTGCACTGGCAGTATTTTATAACATTATGGTTTGGTTAATTTTTAACAACTAGTAGGGGTAATTTCTTGGTGCTCTTTATATTGCAAATTACTCTCTCCTTAGTGTTTCTTTATCTGTCTGAACATTTGGACTCTTTTTTACAGATAAGGTTTGAGTCAGAGTAAGGTACAGATAAGGTTTGAGTCTACATCTACTGTGTATATGTCTTTTTTCTGAAAATTCAGCCATATTCAGCTTTTCTTCACCAAATACTTTTTAAAAAAGTATCCTAAGTCTGACTTTAAAATTTTGCAACCATTTCGAAGAACACTTAAAGGTTACTTATACCTTATGCATCCGCTTTTTCCCGCAAAATGAGAAAGAATGAGATTTCGGTCCTGTGCCTTTTTAATTCATCGCCATTTGCATACGTTTTCTGCATGGAACAAGTGTAAAACTCCAAGCTGCTATTTTGAATATTTGGCTAAATTAATGAACTTCAATATTGTGCTTTTGGCAACTTTGTATTTTCTAACTACTTCAGTGTTCTAATTTGCCATTATCAATTTCATTCAAAATTTCCAATTTTTTTCTAATGTTAAAAAAATTGTTGCACTTGGCAGTTCATTTTGTACAAATAATGCTCACCACTAACCAAATTTTAGTTCCACGTGTCTTCACCTGTGGAAATGCAATCAATTTCTTAGCAACCTGTGAGGGTGAAATGATCAACGAAATTGAACAAAGGATTAATATGGGGGATCATTTCTCAGAAAAATATGCTTCTTTACATTCACAGCCCTAATTTGCTCAAAAAATGTTTTTTCTTTCATTTCTTGAAAGAACACCATAATTTTTAAAAAACACGATAAAAACATTTTATATTTTAGTCAAATATGACTGCGAGTAGGGATTTTGTTACAAATTCAGATATTCGGAACACTATGCAATTGGGTATGAGAGGGGTNGGGGGGGGGGGGGGGTCAGATAAAACATTTTGTAAACTAAGCCTGGCATAAGGGAAAAAGCTTTATTGCTTTATGTTTATTTTCACCTGGGAGCCTAAATAAAGAACTTCAGATTTTATTAATCTTACCTTTGAATCATTTACTAATCAGATAGTTTCCATTAAAAAAAAAAAAGGAATAATTTAAAAAAAAAATATTTAGTAACTTTTATTTTACTTGAACTCCTATAATAAAGAATGGACACAATTTTTATTTTATCTTTAGATTAATTTTGGCCTTAACATAGTATTTGTCAATTTTTGTGACCCACTGTCTATCATGTTTTTTGAGTAAAAATTAATTACCAATTTTTACAAACTAACTTTTCCTTTTAGGTGCTGATGTGATAATTACCTATTTTGTTCCTCAACTGTTGTTGGAATGGCTTTAACAATTGTTAAGAAGTTTACATAACATTCAACAAATTTGTAAAAAATAATTTAGCATGATAATGAAATGAATATAGTAAATGAAATTATTTTTAGAATATTTTATTAAAATTGTTCAAATTTTTCTTAATAAAATGAATGGAAATGATGAAATTGTGTGATATTTTTATATTCAGAACGCCAATAGTAAATAGAAATACATAAATAAGGTAACATTAAACAGGTGAATATAAAAACTAAAGTATAAAAACTAAACATTAGTTGTGATAACATTATTTAGTTACAATATGGAGATGTTCAACAAAAGGCATGCTTAAGTATCTTTAATTTTGAAAATTAAATAAGGTTGGAACAATTCTGCAGTTAATCTAAATGAAGTTGATAGAGCACAAATATCTTAGAGAGATATCCAATCGTTTTGTTACTATAACAAATATAACTAGGTGAAAAATGGCACTTATGATATACTCAATATAGTACCGAAAATATAGCTTGTCTCCCTTAGCAATTTAATTTGTGCTATACCAGCAATTTTCCTTGTTAGGCCAGTGAGCTTGAAGAGAGAATATCTGTTTCTAATATTTATAGCTCAATCTGAATACTGTTTCTTTAGTAGCCTTCAAGCTCAAAAATAGTAGTTTAAATAGCATCCTCAGAAATGATAATGGTAACCTAAATTGTATCTTCTGAAAAATTAATCTAAAGAAAATAGATATAAGATACAGAATGTTCTGCAAAGAACACCCTTAATGTGTTTTTTTAGAGTAATATTGCAAATGAAAACAAAAAAAGTATACTTATTGGAGGTTGCATATTATTTTACCAAAATAAAAACCTGACAAATCACAGTGCAGAAACAGATGTAATAAACAACGATTTGATTGCATGAGGAAAGAGTAAGGAGTTGGAAGATGATTATTAAAAAAGGAAAAAGAACTTCAAGTTTCAATTTAACTTGTTTTGATGTTTATTTCATCCATCTTACTTTACTGTAGTTTGTCAGATTTTGATAGCGGTTTTGCTTATTCCTCGCTTGAATATTAATGTGATCCCCACATATATATTCTTTTCTCTTCTCATTTAAATGAGAATTTAAAAGATACATATAAAGGGCGGTCTTTTTGGAACACTGAATAGTCAGTTAGTGGAGACTCTGAGCAAATCATACATTTTTTATCTATTTTTTTCTTCTTTGAAAGTGATTTTTTGATATTTCCAACTGTTGATAATTTTTGAGGTGTCTACTTGCAGGAAAAGAAGAAAAAAGAATAACATTTCCCTCTTTTTTCATATGTAACTATTATATCCCCATTTTTTTTTTTTTGTTTCTTAAAAAATTCAGAAAGCAGGAATTGTGAACGACCTTGGGCATAAAAATGAAGCTTTATATACTTACAAGGTTAATCTGGATTGTTGCAGTTTTTTAAAATTCATCTGCAGTATTTTGGCTGCGTAGTTTCTTCTCTTGAGTTCCATAGTTGTAAAAATAAAGCGAGATCCTTTCAACTCTGGAAACATACGCTCATATCTCAAATGCATTTGATTTCTCAGTGCCACAAAGACATCTGTATCTTCTACTCTACCAGACTTTACTTTCAAGATGCCCTTAATTTATGAAAAGAAGAATTCGAAATTTTAAATTAATAACATTTGAGATAGGTACTACAGTAGAGTCCCGATTATCCGAGTTAATGGGGACCGTAACAAACTCGGATAACTGAAAAACTCGGTTAAAGCGAAGAGTATAAAAACGGAAAGAAAAAGAGAAGGTATAAATGTAATATATTTAAGAAATACAAAATGTATACGAGTATACCACATACAATTCATATTATAATTAAAAAGCTTACTTAAAAACATTTAAAAAGCATACTTTACGAGAATTAAATAGTTTTTACTTAAAAAAAGTCCTTAATCGTTTTTCGTTCTGCGTAACTTTGGCGCTTTTCTGTAGTAATGTTTTGCCTTTTTTAGGGATAACAGGAAGGCTGGTGTCGCCTCTTTTTGTTGTTCTATATATAGTACATTCGATAGCTTTTAGTCCATCTGTATGAGAGATTTTTATATGTTGATTTTAATAATCACTGTCTTCATCATCTTCGGTAGATTCAGTATCATTATTGACGATATTAACGATAATTTCATCAGACCAACTTGTTGGATTTTGTTTTTCTGAGTGCTTGGAAGATAAAATTCAGATTTATTTTTCAGCGGTTTTTTTAAAAATAAACTAGAACAAAAAAAATCTTTGAAATATTTGATAGCTCGGTTAAAGCGGAAACTCAGATAACCGGGGCTCGGATAATCGGGACTCTACTGTACATGTAAGAAATCCTGGATGAACTGAAATGGGGTTGTTCGGATAACATGCTCACTAAAATAGATTTAAACTAAACTTGTCTTACTTATCACAATACTTTTTCACATCTCTTACAGCAAATCTCCAAACTAAAAGAAAATACTCTTACATTGAAAAATTTTTTGGCTGGCAAAAGAGAAAAAATTGTGACACCACACATGCATTGAAGGGCTTCTCTTTACCTGACATCCAATTTTGTAACAATCTTCTATACTCACTTCTTTAGCTAATGTGTTTATAGTTAATCAAGATTGTATATATATAATTCTGTATTGAATACATGTGTATCTAACAACAAATGAACTGTGGAAGTTATGAAAGGTTAAGAACATGGTAACATTGTTTACGTAAATAACTAAATTAAACAAATCCAACTCAACTTTTTGCTATTATTGGACATGAAGGAAACCAATGAAAATCAAATATGTAAAGAAACTCTATAATGAAACACATAATTACAAAGTAGAGTAACTCACTTCCTTCTCCACCTGTACAGGGAAAAGCATTGAATAATCAAAAGGAGGGAAAAAAAGTTTTCCATAGAATTAAAGCCACCTCTGATTATATCAAAAATATCCACCCTATATTTATAAAGCCACCACTTTAATGATATTGCAGCAGAAGAGAAAGCATTATCTTATTGGAAAACCAGACTATTTTGTTAATAATTCTTCCTTCAAATACCAATAAATGAGTTTCTAGCTTTTTTAGGTAATCAGTAGTCTTCATGCGGGCACTAGAAAGACCACACTAAGTTTACCACCACGCCTAAAGCCTTCCCACAGCATTTATGAGTCTTTACATAGTTGTTAATTTGGAAAAAAATTTCTCTCTTTTTCTTCTTCTTTTAATTGTTTCATTTTATATATCCTAAATGAAATTTGCGATATTAAAAAATTTGACAGCAGCCCATGTTAAGAAAAGAGTAGAAAATAAAAGAATTAAGATGACTCGGACAGTTTTGTGTGTTATTACAATAGGATGAGAAAATTTCTTCTCTATTATACAAGAAGGTGGAGGCTCATTAATTGTGTGGGAAAACTTCAAATTTGGTGACAAACTTAACCTAACCTCTCTTTCTGGGGAGGCTACCTTTAATCAAAAAACGATATAAGCTCATTTACGGGCATTTGAAGGAAGAATTGTAGACCCAAGTTACATTATCCATCAAAAAAAAATACCTTACTTTACAAATCTTCTTCAATACAAATAATCTTCAAAGAAATGATTTCTAGATTATTAGGGTGCATGCCAGGAATGGTCGACGACCAATGGCCGAATGGTAGTCCTTGGAACTTTCGTGCCACAGGTCCTCGGTTCAATCCCCGGGCCAGGAAAGGTTGACTTAGCCTTTCATCCTTTCAGTGGGTCGAATGGGTACCAAGTATGCTTGGGGACTAAACACTGGGGGTTCTGCGTTTGGCTGACCACCCAACCAGAACAACTGCTCTTGCACCCCAGTGCCCAAGGTCAAAAAAACAGATGGGCTCAGTAGGCCTTGGCCCTCTATGGGCTGTCGCACTACTGAGTTTAGTTTCAGTTAGAAATGGTCTGTCTTAATTCCCCAAAAAAGGAAAGGGTTATCCTCAGGCAAGCTTTATATACCGAAAAGAATCAGTTTGTCTGGGGCAAAATTGAATACTGACATAATATTGATGCCATTGTTCTCCTGGGATTAGTAAATGGTAGGCAACATTACATATTTTAAGTCATATAAAAAAAAATGGCCTTAACTAGAAGTGGCTCTGCTTTGATGGGACACTCTTTTTCCCCTTCGTTACTCAATCAATGCTTTTCTTGACCACGTGAAGCAGAAAGTGAGTTAGTCTTTGTAAATATGTCTTCAGATTTAAACTTTCAAAATATATATGTTTGGTTCGCCTTGGCTTCCTTTGGGTCAATTTATGGCGAAAACTCCAGATAGTTCTATTTAGATGGAACATCCTGTATGTATGTATGTATATATATATGAAAGGTGTTCGATAATCATCACCCTTAATATATATTTTAAGGGAATCTTATAAAAAAAATGAAGTTGGTAAGTATGCATATCCATTAAGATTCACAAGGAAAAAAAACTATTGAAATCTAATTAATCTGAGACTCAAAACATTAAATTGTGTTTGATAACAGAAAAAGAAACTGAGTTCGAAGCAATAATTAGAAGTTTAATCAGGCAATTAAACTAGTTTTAATGTTTTATATCCGAACTACTCCAGGCATAATTAAATAGATTTTGATAATGTATTTGTTTCTTCTTTCTATATTATTTTCGCCCTTTCGATTTTAGCATTATATATAAAGGGCAATGATTTAAGTATACCCTGTATATTTTATGAGTAGATTTATCAAAATTTTTTCTAATAAAAATAAGAAATTTCATAATTCTATTAAGAAATTTCATAATGTTAAATATATATTATAACATTAATAGTATAATAGAAATGTCCTTTTTGTTAAAACTAAAGAAAATAATTATGAAAACCTAAAATTTCAAAGTAACATTAAAAATGTTTAAATGACAATTCAACACCATTAAAAACTTCAGTAATAACAGCATAAAGTTATTTTTCTATTAAAGTTTGGTTTAGAATTAACATAAAATTGCCACTTTTTAATGTATATAATAAAAAGTCATTTCTGGTTTATAAGTTTAAAGTTGTACATAATTATTATTAAATCTTGCTTTACAGCAGTCCTATTTAACAAATGGTATGTACCTGCAGTACTTCCAAGCTGTGTACTTGATTTGCAGTGGTAATTGGCAATTCCATGTAAGCTATTGCAATACCGTTCGGTTTTGCCACCCTTAGATCTCTAGTCAGTTCATCCAAGAAAGTGGGTAATTTTTCAATATGAATGAACTGAGTTCCTGTGGGATCGTACTTCCTCCAAGTCTTATTGAAGAGTATTAGATTTCTTTCTTTGAAAATATCCTGTTCTTCAGATATGGCTGCTTTGTAGTTATCCAAAATAACAGCAATGAATATATTCACAAGTATAATGTTAGTCCAGAAAATGAAACTGACAAGAAAAATAGCTGCGGCTACCTATAATAGGGAATTTTAAAAGAAAATCAGCTTTAAACAATTTTTTGCACAAATATAAAAGGCAGTTTTCAAAAGTTTCAATCAGAATGTTTGAAAGTCAATTAACATTTTAAGTTTAGGATAGTAAAGTTTTTCAAGGTAAATAACAAATTGATATGTAGAAAAAGAAATATTGCTATCATAAGGGAAATGTAGTTAAGTGCATTGAATTTCAGATGTAAATAATTACTTTCATGGATTTTAGCAAGATACCTTCTGGTACTGAATTACAAAATCAGAAATTCATAAATAAATAATTTTCAAAATAATGTTTAAGATTTAATTTTTGAAACATTCAGTTAATATATATTTTCAATACAGTTAATTTATAATTATTCCTGTATTCGATGAATTTGTTGATGACCCACAAAATAGTTGAAAAGAAATTAAATGTTTCTTTGTGTTAATTTCATTTGTTAAAATCTTTATTTTAAAATGCTTTTAATTATAAAGTTAATATTCTTTTGAGTTTAAGCAATTTTTAACAAATGCTTGTCATTATTAGTAATATGCAATAAGTAAGCAAGTGGTCATTATGAAAAATATGCAATAAGTAAGCAAGTGGTTATTATGAATAATATGCAATAAGTAAGCAAGTGGTCATTATGAATAATATGCAATAAGTAAAACATCAAGATATTTAGTCTAAATCTAGCATGACAAGTGTTTTGCTTTACAAAAGAACTTGTGATCTCAGGAGTAGAGGCGATTTGTGAGGGTAAGATAGTTTGAGACAGAATTGTGTGTGAAGTTTAAGTGAAGAGAAGATATTTCTTTTGCGCTCATGAAATTTAGTTTGAGGGAAATTTTCCCCAGAATCGTGACACAAATAAAAAATAAATCACCATTTCTGCCTCAGAGATTTAATTGATTGTGGAGTTGGACAGCACAGCAGCTGAAATTAGAATTGCTATGCCAAACCTAAAAGTCAGGATGATCAGTGGTATAAACTAAATATGACAAAAAAAGATTAATTAGATAGCTTTGAGTCTTGCCTGTGTTTTCTCTGTACACATTATGCACAATATGTTAAGAAAAAATAATTACTGTGTCTTGTATGAGCTATATTGGGCCAACAATACTAGTTACTATACTATAACAATACTAGTTACTATAACAATACTATAATATTGCTGGAAAAACTTAGAGAGCAAAAGGAACAGCTGAACATACTTAAATAATGCTATAGTCTATGAAATAGTTTAATATAGCTGAAATGTCTTCCCACTTTGAGTGGCCACTATTTTTTATAACACGGAAATAAAAAAACAAATTCTCAGTATTTTCCCAGTATGTAAAGAAAAACTCAAAATTCCCTGTATTTTCCAGGTTTTTTTTTTTATAGAGTAGCAACCCTGCATAAGTATTTTTCTGCACATTCATATGGCTGCATTTTTTAACCCACTATGTTTTTGAAGCATTCTCACCAAACATTTTAGAGGTGGTGCAATATAAATGTAATGAATCTTACCTTATTACCACAATTAGAAGTCCAAATATGATCTGTATAGATATGGTAAACACATTGAGGTGGTTCTATACTCAATCCTTCATAGACTTTTTCCCAACCTTCAGACGTAGTAAGTCGAAAGAGAACCAGCAAAGCATTTTGGATGCGTTCAAAATTAGATTGGGTGTTTAAATATCCACTATGCTTCACATAACCAAATAATGCTATTCCTACAATAGCATATATAAAGTGAATAATAAATAGAAGCAAACAGAGGTTCAGCAGTGAGGGTATAGAAGCTATAGTAGCATACATCAAAAGGCGGAGACTAACAAACACGTCTGTTAACTGAAGCAAATCAAAGACTCTCGTAATCCGAAAAGCAAACAGAAAAGCACATACGTTAGCAGGAGTACCAAAAATATTATGAACTATTTCTCCTGTAAATAAAATAAAGGAAATAAATAACGAAAATGGTAATAGCTACTGAAAATCATAATTTCAGGCAATAGTCATTAAAAAGTTGATACTAAAAATAACAAATTTTTATTTATTTAATAGCAAATAAATGAAGTTATAGGATTTTTTTTTAAATTTATGGGACTTTAAGGAGAAAATGTGAGAATATTTAATAATTGGGAAGCAAATTAAAGTATTTTCCTAAGGATATACAATTTAAGAATTTTTAATATGCCTTAAGAGAAAAACTAACCACCATTTATTGTAAATTTAAATATTATAGACAGTTGAATCTCACTAATACTGCAGAATCACATTCTTTCATAAAAATCTATCTCTTCAATACATCTATCTCTTCAATACTATCTCTTCAATACCAATGCATAGCTTTTTATTTTTATACATTGTAATTTTATCTATATAACTTCATTTTTCCACAATTTAAGTGATTCATTTTTCTTTACCTATTTGGGTTTCTAGGAAATTAAAAATAGTTTCTGATCTTCGCAAAATGAAGTTAATAGCATTATAAAATCATTAGATAAGGCCACATTGGGACTTTCATTTTAATGATATACAAATTATAAATAACACTTATTCATCAAAGTTTTTTGACACAAAATTGTGGCTAATATTCATGAGGCCTAAAAATAACCAACATTAAGTTAGCTTTAAAATTTCTAGGCATAAATCTGTGCCATTGGTTTATATTGTACAGGTTTTTAAGCTGGTAGTTGCAAGTTGCTACATTGTATTTAAAAACTATCAGTTATAAGTAGATAACAATCTTCTCAAGGCTTTTCATTTGTCTTGCTTTCATAGATTAGGGTTCTAGAAAAACTCTTTTTAAATAATGAGTGTGGTTTAGGCACTCACTCACTTGCTTGACTCAAAAGTTTTATAGTCTTATTTGCTACTAGGTTCTAAATAAATTGATTGTGGAGATATGCAAATAGTTAAATACACTATGCATATGATTGAAATAAATAATAATAAAATAAAATAATAACAACTAAACTATATAAATAGCATTTTTAATGGAAAATCTGATCTTAGGGACTGGTATGGTAACCAGTTCACAATACAACTTAAAGGAAGAAACTATCAAATATTTGTAACAATGAATTCGAATGTATAAGAATTTTTGATTAGTAATTAAAGCTCTTTATAATTGAAATGCGATATTTTGCATATGATACAACAGAAAATGAAAAAAAAAAATTCAATAAATATTTTTAGTAACATATCTTTTCTAAAAATTTATTTAGGGAAACTTACCAACAATATACACAACAAAAGTACACAAATCCTGTATATTGAAAATGTCTTTAAAGTAATGTTTTCCCAGGCCACAGATTTTAATCAAGCACTCTAGCAGATAGAAGGGTATAAAACTGTATTGAATAAGATGTAAAGTTCTAGCCTTAGTATGTGATATTTTATAAGACGAGGCAGCAACAATTATTGTATTGGTACAAATTAAAATAAAAGAAGCAATTCTGAACCTGAAAAAGGAAGACTCATTAAGAAAAATTATTTTACAAATAAAACAGCAGCAACTTTAAATATCATTGTTAAAAGGCCTGAAAGATATTGCTCATAGTATAAATGATTGTCACTTTTTTCATAAAAGAAATGCTCTTTAAAGTTTTATGATTCAAACAGTTAAACAACTTATTGATAGTCTTATTACAAAAATAAACAAAATAAATTAAGTTATGGGCAAGGAAATAAAAATCATAGAATGTAGTTCTATGCATACAATTAAAACATGGTTCAAAATTTTTGTAAGAAACACTTTACCACCAACTGTCAATGATTTTAAAACATTTCTTGCAGAACAGATTAGACGGAGGCTCGACGAGGATCATAAATTTTCTCCGACCAATTTTTCGCATAGCACGATAATAAAGCATTTGAGGTTTTGTGAGAGCAAATTCAGCTGGTCCACCTTCCACCTAAAAAATTTTTGTAAACTAATTCATTGATAATAAAATTTAAAGTACTGCAGCATTATAAAAATCTGAAATCTCATTGTATTTATAGCGGCTGATGAGCAGAGGCTAGTTTTTTTCAGGATTTGCAGCAGGTTAGGATAGGAGAATTTTGGTTTATCTTTTAAATGGATTTTAAAGAATTCCAAAAAAGTTTCTGTGATGGAAAAAAATATTAACAGTAGGGTGGGTCGAAGCACTTTTTTTATGATTAATACTAAAATTTCTTTCTCTGGTTACAAATTTAATGGAAAGGGCGTTAAATAAATATTATACACATTTTGGTAAAGATTTTTTGCAAACTTGAAGCAGCAGGCGTTCTTTCTTCAAATTGACTCATGAATGTCAGAAAATTTTACAATTATTTTTATCCTGAAGCTCATTGTTTGGAAGGTTAAAACTTAATAAATTTTCAACAAAAGTTATATAAAACATTTCTTTTTTAATGTAATGTAAATGCATAATAACAAAGTGAGTTTAATCTCCCCCTTCAAAAAAACTACAAATTGAAATAATCATTCACTTACACGTTTGTGCATTGTTTTAAATGTATCAACAGCAACACCAACAAACAAGTTAATGGTGAAGAAACCTCCAACAAGGAGAAAAAGTATGACAAAAATAAAGTGCTCAGGGTGAGCATTTATCAGTGGTTGCATATTACTTCTTCTGTGATCAACCATCAGTTGTGCTAAATCTGCCCAGTTTGCAAATAGAGCCTGAAAAAAAAATCTTCATAGTTAGTTTGAACAAAGTAACCACAGCATTGAGCATAGGAAAATAAGAGCATTAATATTTTTTATCTTAATTAAAAAGAGTATATACAGGGTGGTCCTAAAATATATGTCAAAAATGTAAAGGTAGGTAGAGGGGACTTAAATAATCATATTTCGTATAGGATTGTGTGTGCGGTAACGCCGCCTTGAGCCGGTAGGGAGCGCTGATGACTACGGCGTATAAAAGCGCTTGCTAGCTGGATTCCTGCACGGATCTCAAACAGCATGAATCGTTTCACTAATGTGGAGCTTGCCGACGTGCATTTCATGTATGGGGCTGCACAAGGAGACAAATTAGTTGCTCAAAGGATGTACAGGGAGCGTCAGAAATCATCAGGACGCTGTCTACGGCCAGCATTGGATAGGACGGGCTGGTCCAGTTCCCTGGCCACCGCGTTCTCTTGATTTAACCTGCTTGGATTTTTTCTTTTGGGGTCATATTAAAAGCCTGGTGTACGAGAGTCCCATCAAGAAGATCTTGTTGCCCGCTTGTCTGTTGCTGCTTTACATGTGCTCGTCATGCCTAATGTCTTTTCTAATGTACGTCGATCCATGCGCCGTCGCTGTGAATCTTGTATCGATGTTGGTGGCTGCTCTTTCGAGCACCTCTTGTAAACTGTTGATAAATTTTTATTTTCTTTTGTCTTTTCAGTTTCCTCTGATTCATACTGCTTTAGAAGCTAGTGCTTTAATGTGGCATTACCGCACACACATTCCTATCCGAAATATGCTTTTTATGTCCCCTCTACCTACCTTTACATTTTTGACATATATTTTAGGACCACCCTGTACATATCTTATAAAAATTTACATGAAATGAAAAAAGGGGAAATAGAATTTTTATAAAATAATAAGCACAGTAAACAGTATTAATGATATTTATGTTTAAAAAAAATAGATGAAGAATATATGTAATCAGAGAAAGTCTTGTTTCAATTTCATACTTGATTTTGGACTTAGAAAATTGTAGACTCCCTATGATTATTAATTTTTCTTTCAAAAAATAATTATTATTGCAATTTAACAAATAAATATTTTCCAGGTAAAGGAAATTTAGAGTTTTACAAGCTTGTCCCCATGTTCCTACTCTCTTATCAGAAAAAATAAGCAAATTATAAGCATTCTCCAGATTTTAGATACTTAATTTGAATACTAACAATACTAAATTCAAATACTAACAATATTTCAATAAAAGGATTTTTCAGCTTAAAGATTCTAATTACATTTATTGTTGAAAATATCGATAACAGTTAATTGCGAATAGTTGTATCTTCACAGTAACATTTAATATGAACCTGAAACAAGATATGTGTTAAAAGTAGACATAGCAATACCAACCTGCAGTGTATCCACTCTGTAGAAATTCTAAAAGTAATATACAGTAAAGAAATCCAATCAATCATAAGTTTTAAAAAGCTTTGCATTTTACATTTGAACTCTTCTTTAAATTCTGCCACTTTTGTTGTTTTAAATTACTTTCACAACAAATACTCACATTTTCCTGAAAATTAAGTTATTTTTCTAATTTTTTTCCTATCAGTTGTTGAACAGCCGGCCCAATTTTTCAGTTTATGACTACCAATGTTTCACTTTATAGCTTTGAAGTTTTGTACTCAATCCAGAAGACAAGGGAACTCCTGGATCAAATATTCGGAGAAATTTTCTTCCAGGGAGGAGTTTTCGGTGGAGGAACTCATCCACATTTGCGTTATAGGAGAGGAAAACCACAAAAACCTCCCACGGTTAGCCCGACAGCAAGGGGACTCTAACGCATAATCCGTGCAAGCGTGGTGTAGAATTCACATTGACCCATCATTGATGGAATTCAAACCAGAGTCACCTCATAGATGACACACGTTTGATCCAATGAGCCAAAGTGGTGTTGAAAATTAGGTTAGCAAAAATTACATTTTTTAAAATTTCGGATAGCTTAATTTTTAGGGGCTTATAAAGCAAAAGCATGTTTGTCATAAAATTATTCATAAAGTGAGGTTTCCTGTGTAATACAAACAAGCATTGTATGAACTGTACAATGAATTGTCAAGTTTCAACCTTCAGTGGAATCAGAATTAATACAAATTTATATTCCATACCATACTTAAATATATATTTGACCTACTGCTTGAAAAAGTGTCATGTAACTGTTTCCAATATGATCAAAGTTCATAAAATTATTCTTCCACGTATAATTTTTTTCCAGGCACTCAATTTTTCCAGAAACGACAGAGGAGTCAATAACATTCCCCCTGTAGTCCACACAACGAAAGAACAATCCAGCAAAAAAGTTAATGCCAAGAATAGCAAATGGTAGCCAGAAGAAGAGGCAAACAATAACGACTCGGAAGATGACTGGTAGGGATAAAACAAGGGCTCCAACAATTGTCTGCAATAAAAAAAAACAAAGCAAATCTGAATTTAAAAACTATATATATTAGTATTTATTTATAATTCATATGTTATAAATTTTTCTATATTAGATCATTATGTTTTGATGTTTTCATAAATCACAGGTATAATGAAAAGATTAGTGCAATTGAAGTACAAAGTGAAAAGAGGATAAAATAAAAATAATAATAAAATTTTTATTTCGTTGCATACCTCGCGGTGCAAAATAAAATGTTATCCAAGTAACATATAAAGTAAAATAATAAATTTTGCATCATGTGATTAATGACAAGCCAAGGGAGTGTGGTATTGCTTTTATGATGTTTTGTTACTTTTATATATATGTGGTATTGCTTTTATGATGTTTTGTTACTTTTATCTTTGCTGCACTGCTCTAATTACTTTAAAGTTTTAGTTTCTCTTTCATAANAAAAAAAAAAAAAAAAAAAAAAAAAAAAAAAAAAAAAAAAAAAAAAAAAAAAAAAAAGAAAGAAATACCAAGTATAGCCCTACTTATTTTGTGATGGTGGTAACAGCTAATAAGAGTTGTGTAGGCGGCTTTGGGTGTTTGGTTAGAGGAGGTAAAAGAAAAGGCAGGGAAACACATGGTTTTGGAGAGCTCAGGTTAAGATACAAAAAAAAAAAAAAAATATGAGGATCCTCAACAGCTAAGTTATATTATAAAATTTTCTATCACCCCCATAATTATTTTTTATTTATTAATTAGCAGTGCAGCTTCATATTGTATGATTTAATGTTTCATATTGTATGATTTCATGTTAAATTTTTATGTATTATTAATTGGAGTGAATGCCTTCCTGGAACAAAATTTGTAACTCTAAAGATCTTAGCTGATCTATATTAAATAAATAATTTTAACACCTTGCAAATAGTGATCATTCTAATGATTTTGTTCTCTTACTTAAGAGTATATTATTTTTAATTGTTATTTCATTTTTATTCTTATCTTAATGTGTGTGGTGATGAACTGAACATCACAACATATATTTTTATAAGACCTGCAACCTGCTTAATTAAAAGTAGTGTTAAATCAACTCTTTGTAGTATAGGGGAGATCTACTATAGGCGAAAAAGGAGACTGCCAAAAGAAAAGTCAATTTAACCAACCTCATGATATCTCATGTTAATATTTAAATAATATGGCTACAGCTTAAACACCAACAAGACTGAGGGATATTAATATAACCCTGCAATTGAAACATTTTTGTGGTTAGAGAAATAAAGCAGCTTAAGGAATAAAGAGTTAAAAACAGATTACAAGGCTCGATTCAATCGAGATAGTGGATTAATAAGTTATACATTTGCATTGAATTAAAAAGTTAGCCATTACACTGAATGTTAAGAGAATAAAATATTTATATTTGATTTTTACAAAATGTTATGAAAATTAAATAATTGGTTTAGGGTAAACTAACCAGTGAAGGAACACTTAAGCTTCGCTTGCCTTTTAAAAAATCATATTAATTTCAAAATTCGTAATTTTAGTTAAATGACAGTGTCAACATATTTGTTACTAATTGCAAATTATGTAAAAAAATTGTAGAGAACTTACATAATATTGTTTTAAAGTTTTGGAGGTTCAAATAACAAGTAGTAAGAAGACCCAGTGAAGGAACAGCTCTTACCAGTGAAGGAACACAAAATTGCCCAGTAAAGGAACACTTAATTTTGGTTATTTTTTAATGCTCTTTATGAATTTTTTAGCCATACAAATATATAAAAACAAGACTATTTGTGAAATTATAACATACAAGTACTTGTAAAATGCTAACTTTTTTCTGTAATCATGAACTAGAAATTAAAGTGATGTTAAATACAAAAAAATTAAAAAAAATCATTCTTTCTTATAATTTGACAGTCAAATCTAAATCATTGTGTCATCCGATGCTGTTTATTATCATTATTATTTTATCACCTTTTTGTTTACTCTTTTTCCTCTTATTTCTTGAAGCTTTTTTTCTTTTTTAAGTATTTTTTCTTTCTTTTTCTTTTCCATGTTCTCTTGTTTTAATTTTTTTTAGATCTTTCAGCCTCTTGAAATTTTTGCCATTTCTCTGAAGTTAGTGCAAAAGGTAATTTATTCGTTTTTCTTCTTATTTGACCTTTCTTTTTATCATCAATATTTGGCCAATGTAAATGGTTCTTCCAAACTTCTTCTGATTTTTCAGCAACATTTCTAGAATGCCTTTCTCGAAAATAGACGGGGGAAAGGTGTCTTGAAGTTTGAGGCAAATCCATCTCTTGTTGACTTATATCTAGAGGATCTTTAGAAGTACTGATTTTACTTACAGAATCATTTCTTTTTTCAACTAAGAGAATCAGCATGAGGACTCATTTCAAATTCGATATCTAATATGCATTCATTATCAATACTAGCTTCAGTTCCTAAGTTTGACTTAACCAAGTGGTCTTCTTTTAATACGTGCTTCTTCCATATTGAAAAAAGTACAGGCTCTTGGACATTTTCGATATTAGACTCTTCCGTCAATGCTGTGTTAAAAATTTACAACATATCTTGAGGGATTTCCCTCTCAAGCTTCTGAAGAAATTGAGTATCGTTTCTGTTTAACTTTGTTTTTTGTTGAGGAACTTACTTCTAAATTCTAACATTGTAAAGTAGTTTCTATAAATTATATAATCACGTTGCTATCCTATAATGATAGCTTATTAGGAGTTCTTGGTACAAAAGTCGGCGAAAAAATGTTCTATTCAAATTTTTATGATTATATTTTATTAGTTTTCGATTTGTAAACATAGTTTATTAAGTTGCCTAACATTTGATGTAACTACACACCCCCATTAATAAATATAAATTATAATTTTTTCATGAATTAAGCTATTAATTTAACTTTTTAAACTGAAATTATTTCAGGAATCAATTTTTAACAAAATTTCGGTTGTCCTCTATATAGCAGAATTACTTATCCTAGAGTCATGTAAAATCATATTTTACACATTACTGTTCATTCACTGGAAGTATTCCCAGTAAAAGAACATGCCTGCTTCTTCACTGGTTGGAAGTTGTTTTTTGTCTTTTAAACAGAATTTTGATGCATAATATGACTAAAAGTACAAGAAAATTAAAAAATTTCTTTTATCTTCATTAACTGGAAAATGAACCCAGTAAAGAAACACTTGTTCCTTCACTGGTTTTTCATCGTTTGGTGATCCAGTGAATAAACACCCCCTTATCTCAGTACTTGATTATGCTATGGTGCTTTAAAAAAAATAAAGCGTAACTTCAATAATTATATTTTGAATTCTCTTTTTCACAGTGAGAAAAATAAGACTACTACATGCAATTAATTCCACTTCAAACATATAAATACAAACAATCACCTTATAATTTTTTCAACGAAACAAGGTGTTGCAGAGATAATAACAGATTCAAAAAATTTTCCAGAGAAGTTTATTTGACCAGGTAATCCAAAAACATTGCTAGATGACTTCCTATTGTTTGGCAGTAAGCTATTGTTACCAATCAATCTAAAAAAAAAAAAACATTTTCAAATTCTTATCTTTAATCAATATATATGAAATGTTCCTTCACTGGTTGGTTTACCCTATATTAATTAAAATTAAATAAAGAATGATTAAAAAAATTAAATTTATATACCGTGTATTAGATGCATTCAAACTAAATATGAACATATTTAGAAAAATTGCAGGAAAAGGAAAGTAGTTAATTATTAAAATAATAAAATGACAAAGGAAACACAGAATACTGCCATGTAAGAATGAATTTTTTTAAAGAAGGTTAAAAATAAATCTTAATTAGTAATATTAGTTACCTCCATCCCTCTCACTGTGTTAATAAAGCGTAGAGGTCGGAAAGCTCTGAGTGCTCTAAATTTTGTCACTGCATATCCTTTATCAAAACCATATTCAAGAACCAATTCAGCTATGAGAAACTATAAAAAGCATTCATACAATAACATTTCTCAATAAATATTTAAAAGCTTTAAACAAGCAAGAGTTTGAATATGTGGTGCAGGATATCAGAAGGAATAGCTGTTTAAAATGGGTTTTTAAGGTCTAATATAGTTCGCATTGTGGTAAATGGATATAAAAACATGCTTAAAAAATACAGAACATTAAATTTTTTCAAAGTAATCATTAAGTATTGTTGCCATTATTAAACAAATTATTTCTACAACAAAATGGCAAACTGTTAGCATAAAACATTTAACTTATTCAGTTTAGCATCTACCTTATTTTGGCTGAATTGCATACTGTGGAGAGGGAATTTCTTTTAATTAGCATGAATTTTGCTTTTACATATAATTGGATTTGACATTTTACATAAAATGAAACTACAGACAAAACATTTTACATAAAAAATAAATTTCATAAGCATATTTTTTTAAACATAAAGAACCACCTTTTTCATATTTCGAATACCCTATTTTGCTTCAAATGTTTTTCTAAATGGCAAAATTTTAAATTAATAATGGTCAACTGGTAACTAACATAATGTACATGAAGAAGAGAAACCCTGTTTATGGAGTTTGTGGAAAATTTGTCAGCATCGTAGATTTTTTTTTATTATTTCTAAATAACAAAAAAAAAAATTTTGTTTCTTAAGTTTCTTTTACCCATGCAAACAAGATTTAAAATTACATTCACATGACTTAAATTCACATATCACGATATTCCTATTTATGTGACCTAAGATTGTTGATCGTGATCAGTATTTTCAAAATTTTAAATCAAATATCGCGTCCGTTATCACACGATTTAAAATACTCTGTTTAAGCTACTTAAAAATTATACATCGAAATTCATATCCACACGTTTTTAAAATGAAACATAAAGATTCATATTCACGTTTTGTTAAAACCAAACATCGATTTTCGTATTTACGCGGTTTTAAAATTAAATGTCGAGAATCATATTCAAATGATTTAGAAATCAAACATTTAGATTTATATTTCAACAATTTAAACAAATAAATAAAATAACTCAGCATAATTTTATTAAAGCGTTGATAACATTCTGTGGATAAATGCTTACTATATACACTTTTTTCTTGCTAAAAATTTTGGGCATTTTTTCAATTATTTAAAATGTATTTTTGCACATAAAATTTTTAGATTTCTATTTTCAACTTCTTCAGTTTTTTACCTAACTCACTCCGAAGGGATGAATCAATATAGAGTTCTATAACAATTAAAAAAAAAATCTGTGATTTTTAAACGAATTTCGCCACTATGTCGTAGTGCGGAAAAGGTTGAAACTAATTACAAGAGGTAGTCTAGAAAGGGAAGTTGAAAGCTTCTCACAAAGATAGTGCACTTTATTTAATTTTGGCTTACATATGGGTTTTGAATTAGGTAACCTTTCAAAGAAAAAACATACTCTCGGCTCACGTACGAAAGGGCTTGTATTCGGAAATATAGGGTGAATAAAAACTATTAATCTATATTAAATTCTATTTTTAAAAAATGCCTTGATACTTACTGTTAATGTTATGAAGTCCAATATTGTGTATGGTTCAGTAAAATAGCTTTTTAATCCAATAGCAAGCCATCTCAACAACATTTCAAAAGTAAACAGCACAGCTAAGGAAAAAGATGAGATTTTGACAATCATATATTGGATAGGCGTGTCATGTTCATCAACACCAGACTCATCAAGTATCTATAGAGAGAAAAAAAAAGTCTATAAATATTGCCAAAAAATTAGTTTACTTTTTATATTTAAATTATTAGAAAACAAAATTCTGAGTACTTGATTATGTTTGATATGAAATGGTTACGTAATGTTAGCAAATAAAACTTTCTTTATAAGTGAAATTTTTATTCATTTACTAAATATATACCAATTAAATGTTTATATTTAGTAAAACGAATCACAAAATTAAAAAGAAAGAAAGAATAGCTGAAGTCTAGCTTTGATGGTGTTACAACGAGTTTAATTATTTTATGCTACTAAAAGATATACACTAGAGTCTCGATAATTCGAGTCTCGGTTGTTCATGTTTCTCGTAATTCCGAGTTAATGAAAAAAAGTCAGTCTTTCTACCAAATAATGACCAACTCACACACAACACATGGAACAATTACTACGATTGATTTTTAGACGATTACTACGACTGAATGTTGAGAAATTTGAATGCTGAAAAACGACATTGCATGTTAAACACTCAAACACGTAAATAGTGGGTTAAAAAAAACATTAGACAATTATTTAAAAGTACAATTAATCTGATGCAGTAATATAATAAATAATGTAAATTTAATGTAGTAAATGTACCCTGATTCCCTAATGCAAGCAAATTTTCTTTAAATATGTAATTTTCAATTAAATACTGAAATTTAAAAAATACTTTATTTCCATTCATTTAAATATTTATAAAAATTTTAAGTTTTCGAAAGTTCAAGATAGGGATGGTCTTGTCAACCTCGGATTATCGAAACTCTACTGTATTTGATACAGGTATCAGTGCAAAATATTCAAACCAAACATTTTGCAAAATATACTCAAAGTAAAGGTAAAATATGACATTTTTATTACATTTTTTTTATACATTTTATCCAATAATAATTCAGATTATAAAAATCAGGAATGAGAATAGTCAGAAAGTAAAAAAGAGGAAATCCAAGAATGAATATATATATATATATATGTAGAAGCTATGATATCCAAAAATTTGACAAAAAAAGCGCGATTTTTAAACCATGTGATTATAAATCCCGATGATTAATTTTAAAATTGTATTAAAATGACTCACATAAATATGAACGAATGATTTTAAAATAGTGTGAATAAGTATTGCAGTATTTTATTTTAAATTGAGCGAATATGAATCCCCGATATGTGGGTTTTAAATCATGTGAACATGAAACTCTATATCGAATTTAAAAAATGCGAAAATACAAATCATGATGCTTAATTTTTAGATCGCGTGAATACGAATCACGATGCAAAATTTTTAAATCGCGTTAATACGAGTCCCAATGTCTAATTTTTAAATCACGTATAAATACGAAAATCGATGTTTGATATTACAACCGCATAAACGAATCACGATATTGGATTTTAAACTCGCGTGAATACGAATCGTTACATAGGGTTTTTAAAACGTGTAAATACAAATTGCGATATTAGACTTTTAAAATACGAAAATCGTAAATACGAAAATCGATGTTTGTTTATAAAGTCGCAATTTTAAAAACGCGTGAATACAAATCGCGATATTGGATTTTGAATCTTGTAAATGAGAATCACAATGTAAGATATTTAAATTGGGTAAATTCGAAAATCTATGTTTGATATTAAAATCGCTTTAATAAGAATCGAGATATTAGCAGATTCTGGGCTTGGGATTTCTACAAGGCTTGTTTGTATTGTTTTTGTTTAGCCACAATAAATGAAAATTTACAAGATTAATTGAATGAACAAATAAATATTTTCACCGCAAATCCACCGCTATATTTAATTTATTTCGATGTTTGATATTAAAATCGCTTTAATAAGAATCGGAAATATTAGCAGATTCTGGGCTTGGGATTTCTACAAGGCTTGCTTGTATTGTTTAGCCACAATAAATAAAAATGTACAAGATTAATTGAATGAACAAATAAATATTTTCACCGCGAATCCCCCGCTACTTTTTATTTATTACGTTTGCTTTTGCACCAGCGAACCGGAAGCAGCATCGTCTGAATTACGAAAATACGAACTATCTGGCGGGCAGGTAAAAATACGGAATGGAGAAAATAGCTAAAATAAGTAAAAATACGGAAGGGTTAGCAGCTACGACGCAGTTTGAATTTTCTGTTTATCTTTGAAAACTGGAAATAAATATAATAATTTTATTTCAACAACTGAATTTTCAGAAAAATCGGAATGTTTATAAAAAAAACTCGAAACTTTTAGAGACTCGGGGTTTTTGATTTAAAAAAAAAAAAAAAAAAAGGAAATTTGAGAGACAAAAGCGTAAAAATCTCCTCCCTGAAAAATGTACAGAAGTATAAATTTAATAGACTCAATATAAGTTTATATTAAAGTAGAGAACTATAATATTACAATCAAATTTAATTTTTTAAAATATGTTTAGTAATTTTAAAGCAAAACATTGTTACATGTTTTTAACTAATACAGTCAACCTTAAAAGAACACCATCGGTTCCAGCCAAATCAATGCATTTAAGTGGGTTATTCGATTAAAAAGGGAGCGCAATATTCAATCTTACATTCTATATTTTTGCGAAATTTTACTTTTTAATGGTATTTAATGCATAGTATAGCGTTTTGATTAAAGAAAACCAGTTTTAGGATCAATAAACAATTATAATTAAATATGTCTATGTTAGTATCACAAAATATAAATGTCATTTAAAGATACATAAAAATAAATCAATGTTAGCAAAAAGTGAAATATAGGTACTAAGGCATTATTTGATCCCTTCTGAAAAAGTTTAAACTTGAAGATTGTCTTTATACCCGTTTTAATTCGGCAATTTATCAAAATTAGATATTCCCTTTCAGTTTCTACGAAGACTTTCATGACTTGCGTATTCCTTTCAAATATATTCAGAATTTTTATTTTTACTTATTTATTATTTTCTAATTCTCGAAACTTGAGAGATTCCAAATTAATGCCCTATTTTACAATAGCTTGGGAGTTTTTGAAAGTTATTGTTTCAAACATTAATTTCTTTTCTCCTTCGATTAATTCAAATCATTCCTTTTCGGGCACAACTTGCAACCATTATTCACTAGATTAAGCAATGATTATTCTACTTAAGAGAAAGACACATTGTACACTAGTGTGTTAGATTTTTGAAACTTTTTCTTTTTAAAGCTCATAGCGCATCAGGAGGGGACCACAAAACAATCTGTATTTTTTTTACGCTCTAAATGATGTGTGAGTGAAGTAAGTCAAAGAGGGGTAAAATGCCCTTCGTTTACTTCAATGTATAATAAGCAGCAAGATTTGATTAATTCTTCAACTTTACCATCTAACACCTCATTAGACCAAGCAATGAACAGGAAGTCCCTATTGAAGTAATCACCTATTGTATCTTAACTGAAAAATGGAAACTCCATTTTAATTGGTGAAACATTTCTCAAAATTTTTTTTTTCTTCTTCATTTCAGTACCTCAATTTTATGCAATTAGGCGGGGACAAAAAACAACAAATATTCTTTTAAACGGGGAAGTTTAACATTAGCTTCATATAAAATGAGTCGGTTTCATTAAATTTCATTCGTATAAGCAGTTTATTCGATTATACAATACGCGATTAAGTGGGGATGACTGTATTGTTATACTTACAATAATTAGACAACTCCAGAACACAAAGAAAATTGTAATTCCTTCAAATGTATTACTACAAGCAAATTGCCTGGAATTAAAGATTTACCAGAAAGTATTAAACAAAAATTTCTAGACAAAAGATCTTTGAAGATGCATATATCAAAATCACACATTGTAAATGCAATTACGATACAAACATGCAAAAATTTAAAGCTAAAGAAAAAGGAAGATGGCTAATTGCCACACAGTTAAACAAAGAGATAAAATGCAGCACAATTAGTCTTTTAATTATTATGTTAAAGCTATTAATTTATAAAAAAAGTGGAAAAGTTTGCATTATAATATCCTATGAATTATATTTTTCGAAGAATAAGACAATTGCAGATATTGCTTTTATAAAATGCCTTTAGCTAATTATTTTACAAAAATATGTTTCCTCAAAAAAACTTTTTGAATGGTTATATTTTAGCTGGTAGAAACATACAATTGTTTTTATCTTAAATCATGCAACAAAATAAATTTCAGACATTTTTTTTCTTAAACTAATAATTTAGTTTCGTCATTCAAATCTTATAATTTAGGTAATTAAATGGCAGGTTAATAAAATTAAGATAAAATAAATTTGAGAAAAGTTATATCTTAAAAGCAAATTTGCAAACACACCTTAAATATATGTATGAGACAAGTAAGTTAAGGAAAATTAAGATGAAATAAATCTGAGAAAATTTATATCTTCAAAGCAAATTTGCAAACCCACCTTAAATATATGTATGAGATAGATAATTTTTCGAATTAAGATGTTTATAATTATTTTCAAATCGGAAAATAAACCTTAACAAAAATAGGATAAATACTAGTATATAACTACTAGTATAAATACGAGAAAAGTTACTTTAGTATTGCGGTAAAAGTATTTTGGGTGAATTCAAGTTTCTGGTGACTTAAATGCAATTAACTAATCAATCTGGTGACTTAAGCCAATTTCCAAAAGTTTCTAACATTTCTCACTGACAATAATAAAGCATGACAGATTTTAATCACTGTCAAAAAACATCACTTTCCAGGTGGGCTTATACAGATTCATCAAAATATTTCAAAACGGAATGAAATACAATAGATATTCATAATTTCTTTCTTTCTTTTTTTTATAATATCTTAAAGTTGGAGCAACAATATCAGTTTTTTTAATAAGAAAATTAGCTAAATGATTGTTTATTTTTCAGGTAAATTTTTTTTTGTGTAATAAAGAGGTTGAGTAATGTGAGTGCAGAAGTTTACTTCATTAAATCTATTAAACTACTTACTTTAATTTAAGGTAAAGTTTAGTTTCCTTCAAATCGTCAAAGAATTCTATACAACCCTTTTTCTTACACATGTCTACAATTTGTCTCTGAATAAAGAAAATATTGAAATTTTTTTTTTCATTACTAAATTGAAAATGGGAGAAACAAGAAACTGAAAATATTCTTTGAAAAATTAGTAAACAGATATTAAAAAAAAAATACCTCTAAAACTGAGAACAAGTGAAATACAAATCCTTTTAACTGAGACAGTCTGTTTCTCTAAAAATACATAAAGAAATGCATGTATAGCAATAGTACTCCAAAAATATAAAAATAAATACTGCCATTGTTTCAGATTGAAACAATAAAAAAATTAAAATATTTCACTTCGTAAAATAATTTCATTAAAGACTGTAGTAAATATATACTTTATTCTCATATGAATACTAATTTATAGCAAAAGATACATTAATAAACTTAAATGAATTAGATTTAAATAAATAACTGCCAATTAGATTAATAGCTAAGTTCTAAGAGAATTAAAATTGCTTAACAAGAAAATCCATCCTGATTTCTAAAGCCTTTAAGGTTTAGGGCGCTAATTTCTGCCAAATGATGAACATTCCATGAGCAATAAGTAACAATTTTTAATCATTTTGATTCTTCATCAGAAAATTATCAGATCAAAGAATTTTAAAATACATCAAACACATTAGGTTATTAAAAACTGAAATATGAAGCGTTAAATTGAAAAATTTCAAAAATATTTGGTCAAGATAAAGAAAATACATTTGTTTAAAAATACAATAAATAAGGATGAATTAATCATTGCAAGAGTGTATTTGCTGGCTAAATTATACAAAACAATTTTTAAAATAAAAAATGGAAAGATTTTATGCGAAAAAACTACACAATAAAAAACAGATTAAGTAAGAAAATATTTCAAATGACTTTTTTAGAATATATCTTTAACAGATATATTATTTATACAAACCGTTTCAAAAATATTTAGCAAAACTTTTGAAATTATGCTAACTGTTTTACTTGTTAAATATCATTTTTAAAGAAAAAATTTCCTTTCTTTAGCATCTTTAAGATTTTTTAGTAAAAACTGGAGAATAAAATAGATGCGTAAGTGTAATGAAATTTGGACAGATGGTGAAAGGGATAACTTACAGGGGTGATTGTGACACAAAGAGAAAAACCCTGAAAATTTTATGTGCAAAATCTCTATAACAAGTATCAATTTATATACTATTCATATTTAATATAATTATGTATTTAATATAATTAAACTATGATTTATAATTGAATTACCTACCATTAAGGAATGTCAAATTTTTACAGTAATTAATTTCAGAAAAAAACTTACAGGAATTGAGATATCGGATTTTTAAATCACCTAAATAGGAATCGCGATATTGAATTTAAAAATGTGAAAATAAAAATCGCAATATCGGATTTTTGAATCGTGTAAATAGGAATCACGATGCATGATTTTTAGATCCCGTGAGTACGAATAGCGACATTGGATTTTAAACTCACGTAAAAACAAATCAAGATATTGATTTCAAAAATGCATAAATACTAATTGCGATATTTTATTTTTAAATCACGTGAATACGATTCACAATGAGTAACTTTTAAATCTGGTAAATTTGGAAATCGATGGTTGATATCAAAATTGAGCGAAAACGAATCACGATATTAGCGGTTTCCGGCAAAGCTTGAAATATTAAAAACGATAAAAATCGAAATTGCGGAAGAGTCACGTGTATCAAAACGTCTCGTTTACGTGATTTAGTGAAGGTTTCAAAATTTAAATTTCAGATTGTAGAACTTAATTCTTACTTTAAATTTTAGATTGTGGTAAAAATTTTGTTGGATTACAAGTTTTGATTTGTAGAAATCCAGGAATCAATGGTCTTGAGATACGTGAAATTCCTTGAAAAAAATCACATCTCCTAGTTTCTAGACCTGGAGGGATGATATGAAATACCTGGAATTCTGGGGTACACCCGGAATACAATAACCTCTGAATTTAACTATTCGATTCTGAAATTTGTTTTACAAATTTCAATTCGATCTTAAGGAACAAACATTTGAAAAATGCAATTCTTTAATTATATTTTGAAAAAAAAAAAAAAAAAACTTGAAGCTGAGTTTTTTCCCAAGAAAATCCAATAAAAAAAAGGGAAGTGAAAAAAGGCAGTCTTAAAAAAAAAAAAAAAAAACTTCGTTAATTTAAATTTTTTTTTTTTACAACAATGCAATTTTTGTAAAAAAGTGCTTCGTACAATTATAATTCTATTTCAATACATATACTGTATATATTATCTCATGAACAAAAAAAAATTTTTTTGTTGAAAAAACCCAAAATTACGGGTAACATTATAGATATTTTCAAACATGAGTTTTTAAAAAGAAAACCCATTGGTTCCAGTCTAGCTAATCCTGCTTTAATCCCAACTAAAATTCCAAATGAGCAAAAAAACTAAACAATCAAAGGATATGTCAGAAATATAATTGGATGGGAAAATAATTGCAAATCAATTTATAAGAGCTTAAAAATTGCATATTCAATAAAACATTACTTTTCTATCAAACTGAACATGGTCTTCAAAGGAGCTGAGGAGTAAAGCAGTGAAGAGACTGACTATCACAAGATTAGCAATTACAAACATGATTATGAAAAGAAATGGACACAGAGATGATTTATCCGACACCTCAATGCAAGTGAAAAGGAAATCAATCCATTCACCCGTAATGACATTGAGTACTATAAATGCTGATCCTCCAAATGTAGCAAAAGACCATCTGAAATAGGATGAAACATAAAAAATGGAAATACATACTGTCTGAATAACAGAAAAATTCACGAATACTATACAATTGCAAAATATGTGACACAATAATGAGAAAATTCTTAAATTATAATCAAAATGAAGTGCTATCGAGAAATTATATTTAATTAAAATTTATGTTTAAAATTACAGTCTCAAAAGCTTAAGCACTATACGAATCTCTTAGTTTACTAATCATGGATTGATATCAACAAGACAATGTCGATACAAACTTCAGGTTCAATAAAATGTTCTGGTGCTAGATAAACCTAAATAAAGAACATTTTGGCAATTTTAACCTACCAAGAATATAGACATTATAAACAGTATAGCACTGTTGAAGATCTACAAAAATCTATTGAGAAAGCACATGACATTCTTTTGCACTAGAAACATATCAGAAGCTAAATATTCAATGGGAAAACATTATTTCAATACTTTTTAAGAATAATGGGAGATTAATGTCCAAGCAATATTAATTTAAGACTGCTAAATAGTCTCATGCTTTACATTTTTGTGACAGCCTACTACTATTTATTTATTGTTTTTAATTACATCATATTAAAATGTCCTTTTGTGAACATTTTATTTTTGCCTTTAATAATCAAAAGTGTTGCACCACTGTTTGGGAGGTTTAACTTAACTTTGGGAGGTTAAGTTACATTTTGTTTTGCTATGCAAAAATGATAAGACTTAGAAACTTGAAATTATGAAGGCATGTAGGAAAAAAAGAAAAAAAAAGTACGATGGAATAAAAAAAATGTAACATTCGATAATAAGTTCGAAAATTATTAACTGCTGAACTTGCAATGAACAATACCATATGGGTCGCAATGCAGGCCACAAGAATATAACTAGAGAGCTGGAATTTGATGTGTTGAAAGGGCCATTTTTGTTTATGAACTGCTTTTTTCATTTTAAATAATGATTGTACAAAGGTTCATATCATGGTTGTACAAAGATTTGTCTCTAGCAAGATCTTCCTATTACAAGATCTCACGTGACTTGATGACAAAAATTATTAAATAAAATAAAAAGAAATTAGACTTTGCCAGATATAAATCTCAGAATTTATTTAAATTTTTTTATATATATAAGAGACTCAAGATAATAAAAATCGTTCCCAATTTGCCCTGTTATAAAATATATGGTTATTTTGTAAATTGTTAGCAAGAAAGGTTACTTCTATTACTATTTATTGCATCACACACTTAGTATTTTCATCGACAGCTTTCATTTAAAGGCAACTTTGTACTGAGCTGGTCGAAGAAAAATGGCCGATGCGACAGACTCCTCGACGTAGGAAAGAAAATATTTTGTATTCTTTAATTTAAAGATTTCTTTTCAAGTAGAGCTGATTAATTTTAAAATCTAACTAATCATTAATATTTTTTCGATAAATATATTAACAAAATATTCTTACAGAAAATTGGAACTATTTTATATTTAATAAAAATATTCTTACAGAAAATTACAACTATTTTATATTTAATAAACAAAATTATCTTTTTTTTTTAAAAATTTTGTGTTTTATGAAAAAAAATGAAGATGATTGAGAGACAAACACTTGGGTTGTTGAATGGAGTGGGTAGAGCCTAGTTATGTTTACAGAAGTAATTCAAAATTCACTGTTGCTTCATACCATTCCAGATATGTTAGTGACTCATAGCATAGTGGATTAATTAAAGGGCTTAAGTTTGTTCATTTGCGAGAGTTCAGAATTAAACTTTAAATGAAATATTGTTTATTATGAAAATGATTCTTGAGTTTAAATTTATAACATTAAAATTTGCGAGTGAAATATCCAGTTTAAAATAATATTTTTTTAAAGATATCATGTGATGAGAGCTTTGTACCTGGGAGGATCTGGAGATTCTTCATAATAGGATCCTAAAACTTGATTGGTTATAACTCCAAAAATGAAAATAACCAATGAGAGCAATATTACAAGGCGCAATATTTTAAAAAATGAAGCAATGGTGATATCAATGATCTGTTTGAAAGCATGCCAAGACTTCTGGAATCGCAAGAGGCTAAACTAAAAAATATTTAAGATTAAAAAACTTGATCTTATAAAAATTACGGGGATTCGAATAATATAATTAACAGAACTTTTTACCAACAAAACTATAATAATAATAAAAAAAAAATAAAATAGGATAAACATTATGGCTAAAGGTAAATATCATAGCTTTCACAAAACTGGAGAATCACTTGGAGACATTTTTTCTCAAACTCAAACAATTTTTCTTTAAAAAAATTGAATTAAAAATAGAAAAACTGAAACTTTATACACAAGTTTATTGACTCTTGCAGTATTCAATTTTAATGCCATATCAGTTCTTTTGAATTTTATTTTTAAAAAGTCTTCTTTTAGTCACACATAAAATATCCAAGCGATAGTTAGATTCGATCTAGAGAATAATTCGACATGTTAAAATGAATTCTTGCAATTTTAAAAGTGATTCTTTGTTTTAAGTAATTGCTGCAAATTTCAAAATTTATAGCAAAACAGCATGCAAGTTCTTAACTGAAAGAGTGAAACTGATAGACTGAAATAGATTTAAAAAATGAGAGTTAAAGCTTTTGTGCACTTTTAAGAGATGTTCAATGATCTGAAAATAGCCATTTTATTTATTCTATGTATAAATGAAAACATTTATATGAAAATAAGAAAGTTTGGGCACATTTTGTCATATTCTGAAGTTTGATTTTGTAACAAAAGCTCTCTGTCTTTATTCTACATATACTTCAAACTGTATAGTTTTTAAAAGTAATTTCATGCAATATCTGAAGAAAATGTTGTAAGTTGTCTACGTTTTTATTTATTTATAAATTATAGTAAAAAAATTTAACTGCAAGAATCCTTATTTTTCTTTCAATGTTACATAAATTGATATTTTCTGTTTTGTTAATTTTTTTCACATAAAGGAAATAAGTTTTTAGGCATTCTTTTCTTCATAATAAATTCCAAGTTAGTTTCATGACATCAAATAATAATATATAAATTATTCAGAATTCAACTTTTCTAGCAGTGAAGCAGTTATCTCTAGTTATTATAGGGGATTTTGCATAATATGGAAATTTGTGACATTCTATAGAATTTTTACTTAATAGTAAAGTCATAATGAAGAAGTATTTACAGATATTTTTTTTATGAATGAGAATACTATAAGATTAAACATAGTTCTCTCCTCCTAAATATTTCAATATTTAATTTAATTTATTATTTTAATATTTGCTCACCAATCTAAATGTTCTAACAATTCTGTACTGATACAAGCTTGCAATAGAAACACTCAATATTGTGATTATTAGAACAAAAAAATCTAATATATTGAACCACTTTGAGAAGTAACGAATATCAAATGCAATAAACAAAATGACAAATTCCAAGGAAAAAATGCAAACAAACACCTGAAAAATAAAAATAGTTTTAAACAAAATGATTATTGACATATAATTAAAATAAATATAAAAACAGGGGTTGAATAGGTTTTTTAAAATCAAAATAAATTGTTTAATACCATGTTTCCAATTTCTAAAACTTCAAAAAATGTCTGTGACATACTGGAATGTTCTGCTGCAAGAAATGCTGCATTTACAAGTATAATAAACAGAATAAATTTTTCAAAAATGGCACTTTTAGCAATAGTTTTAAACAAACTCTGAAGATATTTCCAGCAGCCTGAAAATGAGTGAATTTGAACATTACAGTCGTAAATATTATTTAAAAAAAAATTCTACATCTTAATGCAATAAAGTGCAAATGGTTAAAGATTAGTTTTCATGTGAGATAAGAAATTAGGTTTCATATAAAACAAGAAATTATAAATTGTTAGTATTGGAAGAATAACAGAAGTAATTCTCCATCTAAACCTGGCATGGAAGAAGAAGGTGTTCAATATTTATGATGCCCACTTTACAGATTTGACAAATATTTGATGGGAGTATATTTATTTTATTCAGATGTTCTGCAAAGCAGAACGTGGCTTGTCTAAATTTTCCACAGCTATTCTATTGGATCTATGGCAACACTATTTACAGCAGAACTCTCTACCTATGGCAACACTTTGCATACTTTCATCATAAGCGTGCAGAGAGTCATAGGAGAAGGAAGAATGATAGTTTCTGTGTTGATTTTCGAATAGATTAAAAACTATTAAGTTAGGAAACTATATTGACTGAAAACTACATTAAATAAAGTAACGTTGTGGAAATTTTAAAATAGTATTTTTGATAAGTAAAAATGAAAAATATAAAGAAAGGGGAAAATATTTTAGTACAACTGAGAAGACGTGGAGAGGAAACAGGGAGGGTCAAACATGGAACCAGTTTTCTCCCCAGATGGCGTAATCGAGCATTGCGATCGCGAAAGGAGGTAATGTCACTCATATTTGTGATATTTCTTAAATTAAACGTGTCTTATTGGTGGTTTGTAAATGAATTACAACTTTGGCTAGAGCAAACCATTGTGGTGTTTTGCGCAATGTCTTAAGCGGAAATGGAATGCTACACACTTTACAAGTAACAAAACCATTCTATAAATTTTTATGGATGTTTAGGAGGAATAAGGGGGATGAAGATAATTATTTTCTTTAATGGTAAACTGAAATAAATCAAGATAACGGAGATATAACGATTTTCATTTTCTGTAAAATAAATATTACAGAAAAAGCACATTATCAGTTTTAACTAAATAGTCTTCCACAAAGACAGGCTTGCTTTGAAACTTAACAGTAAAACTTAAATTACATTTGGTTATTTCACATTATTTTCATTCAGAAGTAAGTCAATTAAAAACTTCCAAAAAAAGTAAAATGTTGAATTTATCCTAACAAATGCTAGTTTTAAATTTTCAAAGATAATAATAAAAAATTTGAACAAATAACTTATCTATCAAATATAAAATTACTTACGTGTAGCTGTCTGGTATTTCCCATTATTTCCACTGACCTATGCAAAAGAAGTTAGTAAGCAACGAATTAAAATCAATTTAATACTTTGGATGCAACAACAGACTCCAAAAATGATACAGTTAATGAGTTACAACTGTTAATTGTAGGAAAAGTTAAAAAAAGTCAGTAAGTATTCAGTTCTAACCCTTCATCAGTAAAGCTTTTTGAGTAATTTTGTTCAAGAATTTTTCTGCTAAATACTATATTTTGTTTAAATAAAACAAAAGAAAACAACCTCAGCAATTTTTCTAGTTGATCCAGAACAGGGGTTTCCAACTTACATGAGGCTGGGGGCCACAATTAAAAACACAAATCAAATGGCGGGTCGAAACTTTATCAAAATTTCATGTAGGACTATTATGTTTTAAGGAACATTAAATATTACTGTCAGATATTTACCAATTTGCACAAAACAAAAGTATTGCATTACAAATTAAAATAAGAAGTAGATTTCTAAAAATTATTTAATTGTTATTAATAATATTTTTAAAATATTAAATAAATAATAAAAATTTGGGTTACAATAACTTTAATGTGCACCTATGTATTAAACAATTAATGTGCAACTGCTAAGATATAAAACTTTAAAAAGGTTAGTATTAAAACTTACATAGTAGCACACAAAATATTCAATGAGAAAATTGAGGTTTGTCTGTTGCAACCACCAGAGAATAGATATTTACATTTTAAATTTAAAATTTACAAATGAGAGTGTAAATATTCTCTTCCAAAATGAGTGGTTTTAAAAAGTTAAATCGGAGAATTTCTTTGAGAAAATTTTTGATACGCACATGCTAAATTATATTCACAAAATACAAAAAAAAAAAAAAATAAAAATAAAAAAGGGCAACATACACGATTATTTTTGTATTTGAATAAATATTTTCCTGGATGCAAAATCTGAGAAGTAAATTTCTTTGCACCTTTGGTATGTTAAATTTCACAGAAATGAAGAAATTAGGTTTTTATTAAACCCCTATAGATTTTTTTTACGAAAATTGCCCGCAAAAAAAAGACAACTAATATATTTTAGCTCGTGGGCCACAAAAAAAAGGCTTAGCGGGCCGGATGTGGCCCCCGGGCCGCCAGTTGGAAACCCCTGATCTAGAAGCAGTTAAACATATAAAATTATCAATAATAATATGAATCCTTAACAAATCTAGACTGCAAAAGATACACAACATATTTTTACATAATAAATACAAATTGTAATTATGAATTTACAAGTTTCAATAGCAGTTTCTTAAAAGTAAATAGTATGAAAATTATTATCAATGTTAATTAATAATGCATTTACAAAATCTAGTACAAAAAATATGCTTAAAACTAAGTGTAGCTGAGTATTCTTTAATTATGTTAAACAAAAAGACTTCAGATCTTTAAATTTTGCATAATGACTGTGTATGGCAAATATTTTAAGTATAATTAAAAGTTCTTTCAAAAAATCATTAAAAACTTGCAAACAAAGCAAAAGGTAGAGTAATTATATTGTTGAGTAAAACTAACATTTATTTGTACGAATTTAAAGGATTACGGCAGGAAAAAGAATCTATATTATATAAAACGCTAACACGTATGTATCAATAAAACCGATGATATTTCCGCGTTGGCAACAGTTTTCATTTTTAATTGATAGGATTCGGCGCGCAAGAGCACGCCGTGAGCATCATATGGCTAATCTATATTATATAAAACGCTAATACGTTTTAATTGATAGGCTTCGGCACGCAAGAGCACGTAGTGAGTATCATATGTCTAATCAGGTGAATTCGCACCGAATTATCAAAAATATTCTCACAAAATTATCTTCATTGAAGCCGATGCTTTACATCTGGCGTTCAGTACTATTTCATGTTGTTTTACAACACATGGTTTTAGCCCTCTGGAGGGAAAGACTTTAAAACAAAACTTACAAAAGTTACTTTTCTCAACAACTGAAATTTAGAATAGTGTGATTAAGAAAAATATGCAAACTGTTTTCAATTTCAAATTAATATTGAAATGCACAGGTTTAGAATTTTCTACAGTGAAAAGTTTTCGGAACTTCAGTGTTCAAAAAAGTACAAAAAAGCTAGACGTTAAGAACGTATCCAATGAGCGAGCATCGGATTGCGAAGCAATCAGAAATGAACTGCGAAAGCAGTTCCGGGGACTGGTGAGCGCCAGCGAGCAGGGGGCGAAGCCTCCTAGTGTGTTTATAATATTTTTAATGTAATCAAGAATTTAATTAATTTTAAATAGTTACAATTGTCCTTCATTTAATTTAAAGATAGACAGTTCTAAATAAAATAATATTTTAATCTTGATACTGATTACTATAAATCAGGCTTACTTCAGTAATTGAACATTAATACATATTCTACTCAAGCAAGCTATAAATTTAGTAAAAGAACTATTTTTATAATTTTTTTTTTTAAATTTTTCCAAATTTCATATTTTTTATAATATACAAAAACCATGAGGCAACTTTTTTAAAATAGGAAGGAACTGGCTAAATTCAGCAGTCAACTAGAAAATCTAGTAAGTTGGAAAATATGCATTCAGATGGTTATACAGAACATTTGCGTTTTCTTAATATGTATGGAAGACTGAATAGCTTGGAATTTAGTTTTTAGAGTTAGAGGAAAGAAAATAAAAGTTGGCATACTCCAATATCACTTTCTTTTGCTTGCATTTGTTTAATAACAGCCTGTTTCATGGTTATAATATTTTTCATCTGCTTCCACTTTTCTTGGACAGCTTTCCTGTGATCAATTAGATAACATCTCTCTTGCAGAACCTCATCTAAAGTCTCACGTGTCGTTTCAAGAGGGTAGATTGCCAACCGTTCAATGTCAAAAGGAAAAGAGTCATAATAGGAATAGGAAGACAGTCTCTCCTTTTCCTAAAACAAAATCAGGTCTAATAAATAATCTAACAAGATGATATTGACCTACAGAAAAGACGTTTAAGTTTTTTGGTAAAGGTGGATCAGATCTTATTTTAAAAATACTAAAATAAAAATTAATTTTTGTAATAAAAAGAAAATTAAGACATAAAAAGACTATTTAATGCTGGGACAAACATTACTACCTGTCTCAAAGACCCGCACCCTTCTAAGAATAACAATACAGTCGAGTCTCTATAATTCGAGGAGGACGAGATCGAGCCGACCTCGAACTTTGGAAAACATGAGTTATCGAAAACATAAAATTTAATAAATATTTAAATAAATAGAAACAAAGCAATTTTTAAATTTTAGTAGCTAATTGAAAAATATATATTTAAAGAAAATTTACTTACATTAGAGGATCAGGGTACATTTACTGCTTTATACCATGTTACATTATTCATTATACTACTGCTTAAGGTTAATTGTACTTTAAAATAATTGTCTAATGTTTCTTGTTTAAACACACTGTTCCTTTTTTGGTGCAGCATTATTGCGCTATTGACGAAGTAATATTTTGTCTGCTGGAATTGTCTCAGGCTGTTGCTCTACGTATTGCATATTGCAGACTCTAGAGCAGCAAGACTTTCTCTGACTCATTTTGTTGTGTGGAATCAAGCCGTCTGTTCTACTCTCTTCTTTATTTTACTGTCCTTTTGCATTGCCAGAGCCTCCATCATTTATGCAATGACAGTGTCTAAATTCTAATTGTTCATCACTAGACAGCGGATTATATGCACTAAAAAATGGACAAAATATGCATGCAAATATGCACTAAAAAACTTGAATATATGCTATTAAAACTAGAAATATGCATTTAAAATAGAAATTAAAAGTTCAACTTATTTAAATACTACTACTTACTTTTTCCAACAAACACAGCCAAATCATTTTTTTGTTAAAAGGAAGAAAATCAAAATATTTCTTACTTGAATCTACACATTTCTGAAGAAAAAGCCTAAAACTGAAGTATGATAAATGAGAGAAGAAAAATCATCGCATTTTCCGGAAAGATTTTATTAAACTGAATAATTTTTGTTGCAATACACAACTAAGTGTTTTTCCAAATTTTCAAGGGTGAATTGATGTCGTCGGCATTTTTTTTTAACTGTTTTATCCCCATAAATGCTTAATTTTTAAACAATATGTTGGGAATATTAATTTGATAAAATAACATACTTTATTTTCCATTGCAGATTCAAAGGCCGTAACAACAACTATCAGCATTAAATTTTTAAGATAGTACGTGCCTATTAGAACCACAGGCACAAAGAAAAACCCACAAAGTGGACCTACTGCATGCAATATCTGTAATAAACATATATTTAAAAACAAGGTAAACAAGAAATGGGTGGTTTTATTTATTTTGGATGTTGCAAAAATGGCAAACAGATTTTAAAAAGCAATTAAAGCTGAGAAGTATAGAAATGTGAGATTTACTGTATTCTGCTTAGGAAAGCAAAAATCTTATTCTTACAAGTTTCAAAGTTTGCTAACAGATGGCACTAAAAGCTCAGAAAAATTAAAAAACAATGTTAAACCTTTGCAAAAATAATGTGGTGCATTCTGAGGAAAAATTAACAAACTCCCACGATTTAAGGTGAATAGAAAATATTGTTTTACCAGTCAGTAGTATTGTCAAACAATTGACAAATTTTGAAACTTGATGAGAATAGACAGCTTCTAAGTCAAATGCTGCAAACCATAACTTTTATTTTCTTTTGTATTGATTTTTAAAATTAGCCATTTTCAAGACAACCATTATTAAAAACAAAGATCTACAAAAAAAAAAGATGTTTTATGAAGATTAAATGCTGTTAAAGGAACTTTTAAAATATAGTAGTATATAAAAACATGTAAATTTTTTTTAGAATAAATATTTCAAATTTTGTAGTGGCAGAAACAAAAGCCTTAAGATAATAATTTGATATGCAAAATTTAACTACTGAGTTAATTATATATCATTGAACTTAATACCAGTAAAAGATTTTCAACCTGTCCAAGGGTCTAAATACCATTTAAACAGAAATAAAGTTTTAAATTTTTCAAGTTATTTTTTATTAACATGAAAAAAACTCTGCTTTTAATTAGTAAAAAATATTTATTCTTAACTACTCTTCATATCTAACAGTGTTTTGATTAATATTTAGTTACAATAACAAAAGTCTAAAACTTTAAGTTTTAGATTTACAAATTTAATTTAAATGCAAATTATAAGATTTTCATAGTTCTGCAATTCTTGCATTTGCAGCTTTGCAATAATTTTGCAATTTATAATGCAACTTTGATATTTGTGTAATATTAAAACACAGGAACTAATAAACAGTAGAATTATGTTTAATCCTGTTCCTATTTAATATGGAAATAAACATTTTTGCTATGCAAGAAAGTAATTGGTTAAATGGCAAAAATGTTTAGACAGTTTTCAGGAAGGTTAAAATCAAAAAGAGTTCCTTCTAATTCTACATTTCCTTACTTAATTTCAATTATCCCTCTTGCCCCCCCCCAAAAAAAAAAAATTCCACTTTAAGATAATAAACATATAAAATTTTTTACATTAAATAATTTTAAATAGCCTTATTTTGATATTACATTTAACTCATTTTATCAATTCTAAGAAAACGACATTTATTGGGTTACCATTCATTTTTATCACACTTTTTAGAACACAGAAAAATAAAATGAAAATATTATTGTAGTTTTTCATAAACAGAGTAAAAAAACATTAACTCATTTACTTACATCATCTAAGAGTAATTCCCAAGTGTCTGTAGATATCAGTCTTAAGCTGTTCAACAAGGATATACTGAAAGTGTCAAAGTTTGAAATATTTTCAAAGGGTGTGGACCCAATGTCAGGAAGGCAGGTGTAATTGTCATAGCATTTTCTGAAAAACATGAAACTATAAATGTTTATTTTAAGAATAAAAATGAAAGAATTTGATTTTAAATAAGTTAATATAGACATAAAGTAAGTCAGCTCTTTTGCATTCACATGATTTGGCACTACTCATATATATCAGGGGTGATTGTGAGCCCAAGCCAAAATTCCGGAAAATTTCTTGAGTAAAAAAAAGTTTAAATCGAAAAAAATTTAAACAAGGTTTTTTCCTTTTTCTCAATATTTCTTAGTTTACTTAAAATATATTTAAAATTTTACACATACCTATAATGACCTGGAGAAGTAATTGAAATTTACAAATATGTCTTTCTTTCTTGAGTTTATGATTATAATAACTATTTACTGATAGAAAATGAATATTAATCATGAATATAAGCTTATAAAGTATCTCTCTGGCTCTCCCTTACAAACAAATAAAATAAACTGCTTTTTTAAGTTCCACCTTTGAAAATTTGATTTCCGGAAACTTTTGTGATCAAGGAATTTTTGAAACATCTGAACCTTCGATCACAATTAGCGAAAAATCCGGAAATCCGGATTTTTTCCGGACCACAATCAGCCCTGTATATATTTTGCACTACTGAAGAACAAACAAAAAAAAAAAAATGAATTCTTTGAAAACTCATATAAATACAAAATAGGAAATGCAAAAAAATTCACAGTTGTCTATAATACTTTTTTTAAATACATGTTACTATCTTTCTAACAAGTTTATAGTGAAAATGATAGAAAACACAAATTCAGAAATAAGAGTTCTTTTTTTCAAGAAACAAAACCAAACAAGAAAAAGAAAAATTTATTTATTTATTTTTGTACATGATTACATAGGAATTTTCTTTATTATATTAAATTAATATGTAAAAACAGAGTATAAATATAACATATATAAAAAGAATAACTGAGTAAAGAATTATATAAACATTATAATAAAAACGAAACTATCAATGTATGCTCTAGAAAAATAGGTTATTTTGTCCCTCTCACTAAATTTCAAGAGCAACTCTTCAATCTTATCCAAAAGCAATATAACTCTACGAAACTTCCCCCTCCCTTCTTATAAAATCAAAACGTTGGTTGATTAACAGCTACCACTTATTCTTTGAAATGTTCAGTGTTAAGAAAAAAAAAATCCATTAATATTTACAGAGATGCTAACTTGCTATCGACAGCAGACAAATTCGATTTTGTAGTTTCTTACTCTCTACTACTTCTTAATATTTTAAAGGCTTATGTGATACATCACTTTGTTACAGTTAAACCACGTTAAGTCTCTTAAAAAGTTAGCAAAATTAACCGAAAATCTGCAAATTTTAGTTTGTAGTTCGCTATTATTTTTAAAAATATTTTGCTGAATTTGGAGTAGTGATCAGATTTTTATATACTATGAATTAATCTTAATAGTTCAAGAGGGTTACCTCAAGTTTGTTCCGTCTTTTTCTCCCTTTGAAGGATTGGCTAATGTCACAGTGAGTTCATTTGTATTTGCCTTAAAAGGATCAGGAGTGATAGGACTTGTGATAGTTAGTTCTTCAAAGAAGAAATCCTTTATACTGTAACCATGTTTTATAGTAATTGAGTACTTAAACGTTATCTGAAGGCATTACTATTCAGAAAGTTGGCAATGTGTCAGGACTAGATTAGAAACTTATACAATATAAATAGAAATAAAAAATAAATGCAGTTACTAACAAGAACATTTTGTGTCCTGATTTTTTCTTATTGTGCCTAAAGGGACAGTTTAGTATGGGCTTGTCAGTCCAGATTTTATTTTCACAATAGCATACTGAAAGCGAGGGAGTAGGAGCAGTTATTTCTAATTTCAAAACAGAGGGAGAATAAGAATCAAAACTTACAAGACTGCGTACATAAGTAATTTAATTTCAATTTCTATAACTATGCAGTTTACGTACATAAATTTAATTTTATCTCTACCATAGCTGCTTTGCCAATTCAATTACGGCATGTTTTTAAAAGAATAAGTAAATTTCTGGACTCTGCCTAAAGTTCCTCACATACAATTTTGTAAGTTTCGTATACGATAAACAAATTTACCTTTATTTTATTTATATGTGTTGATAGATTTGCCATAAAATTTATTTACACCTTGTTTCAGTAAAAAAAAAAAATTCAAGTACTAAATAAGAATGCACAATCCTTAATAAAAAAAAAAGAAAACGGAGCACAGTCAGAGTGCTTAGACTTCAAAATAAAATTACTAATTAGATTACAAGTTTTTTCTTTTTGGATAGCTTTTTTTCTCAGCTTTGACAAGTTATGGCTGTAAGGAGTCCAGTATTTAGTTTTGAGAAAAAAATAGATGGTACACAAAGATTTTCAAAACTGAAATAGCAATTTAGAACTTTAAAGAAACTGAACATACATTTGTGTAACTACAATAAAACATTTAATTTCTGTTCATTTATCTTAAAACAGAAAATACAGAAATTTCATAACTACTTAATTTTTTCAGTGTATTTGTATCACCAACGATTTGCTAAGTTAATGAGTAATCAAGTTACCTTGCTCCAGTAACATTTCCACAGATTAAAGGATTCCAGTTTTGATCCATTAACCAATTAGATGAATTTTGAATAAAATGAAAGTATGATATGTTCAAACTAGTAAAATTACTAGGCAGATTTCTCACACATTTATTGTACAATACACCTTTAAATATCTATAGAAAAATTACAAAAACATTAAATATTATTTCAAATAAAGTGGAAAAATAAAATTACATTAAAGAAAGTAAAATTTAAACAAAGAATTTAAAATTAAGAAAAAACTTTAATGATTTATTATTTTTAATATTTAAGCATCCTTAAAAATTAATTTATTTTACACATTAAACACATTATTACGTTTTATATAATTATATTTATCTCTACAATATACTTTTTAATAATTCAAAAAAAAAAAATTCGTTCAAAATTGATATTTGCATAGCAACTTAAAAAAAATATATTGCAGATTAAAAAACTAAAAAAAAGCTTACTGCTAAAAAAATAAAGATAATAAATCTATGCATTTTTAAAAATATCATGATCTTTAAAACTAACACTATTAAATAATACTTGTTAATTTTATTAATACTTACAGCTGGGACAGCGCATATCTAAATATCAGTGAGCAAAAAGTAACGTAAAAGGTTAATAATATTTATTTTAGACATTTAAATTTAACAAGATAATGGTAAAGTAATTTATTTTATTAAATATCACCTGAACATAATAGACTCAAATTAGAGGATGACATTTGTAGAAAAAGATATATCTTTCTTTAAAATGATATTTTAGAACTATTCAATGGGAGAAAAATTAATATCTTACATGTTTTGCAGTTATTGAAACTACTGTCAGAAATATAAATATGATTGTTGTTACACTCATCATTTGAGTCACTGATAGAACTAATCCTCTAACTAAGATTCGAACACCTAATTAAAAAAAATGTAAAAAGACAAAATTATTATAAATCAATGAATTATTTGCCACCGACATTAAGATAATTTTATGACTATGAGTAGCTGAGCTCGAGTAATAGCTATAAATCAAATGATAATAAATATAGTTAATATTTATTTTGATGGGCTGGACTTTTAAAAACACGTTTTGCTTAACCTAATAATCTGAAGTCACAGGGAAGGGGAAAAAAAAAAGAAAAAAAAAGGGAAATGTTTCAGTTTGCTTAATTGCGTCAGAATACATCTATAGTTCTGCACATGATTTTATTGTGTTCATCATTTACCTTTTTTCCACCTTGAAAGAAAAACGGATATTCAGTTAGTTTATAATATTTTTAAATATTCACAATTTGCTCTGAAATTTTATTTCTTAATTTGCTGATAAGATACTACATTTAAACAAGAAAATAATTAAGGAAAAGATGGAAAACGCTTTAATAGTTTTGATTTAATTCTAATATTGATATCCAATAATTGGTGCTTACCACCAGGTGAGCTTTAACTAAAATTTACTAAGGATAAAATTTTTTTAATAAATTAAAACTTAACTTTTCTTAAATTTACAAAGGATAAAAAAACTATGATTTTGTAAAAAAATTACTGTTATTAACTACTATATTACTATTTTGTGAATAAAGCATTATTTCCTATATATTTTTTTTAACACTAAATCAAATTATTCCAAATCAAGTTAATAGAACTTACAGTTAAGAAGTTATAAAGGTTTTAATTATTAGGAAAAAGTAACTACTCAAATAAGACTCAACAAGACAACATGGAGTACCATTTTAAATAGGGGCACAGGTGGAAACTATTTATTTCATAAAAATATAGGCTGTGTGAAATGAATTTTTTAAACCTCCAATTTAGGTCACAAAGTGCATGGCACTATTTTAAAGAGTGACCCGAACAGAAATAATTAATTTCGTAAATATATAGATTCCATGATACAGATTCACGAAAGAAATCTTTTAAGTGCTTTTTATGTCATTAAGTTTTAGTAACTTTTACATAAAAAATCAGAGCTATTTACCACTGCCCTTCTAAGAAAAAGTTATAACTCAAAAGCAAAATTTTAAAAAGAAAAGTATTAATTGACAAACATATAAAACAAACATGATACAAATGAAAATTCATAGAAAATATAAATTTTCACAGATAGAAATGACCAAAATGCCCATATAATACCTGGTATTTTTGCTACTATTGGAAATAGTCGAATACCACGAAAGGTCTGCAGTCCAGGTATGCGATCCTTCCTTTCAACATCAAAATTGTACAAGCTATAAGGTACAAGATTTTTTTTTACGTGTTATAAATATTCATATTTAGCATTCTCCGTTAGAATTTTATGAATTACAACACTAATTCCCATAATTGAACCATTATTTAACAATCAAAACAAACAAATTTCCTTTCGCCCCCCCCCCCAAAATAAGGTTTGTGACCTATTAAAAAATAGTATTAGTAAAAGCAACCTCTTTTTTATTACTTCTTGCTATTTTTTCCATAACTAAAGATTTATTCTGCCTCAAAAAGCACACTAAAAGGGTTGTTGAAAAGACAAAAGCAGTAAAAGAAAAACAATAATTTGATATGATAATGATACCAATTTGTGAAGAATAAACTATGAATATTAATAGTGTTTGAAAAGAACACCAGCAGACAATCATTGTTTCACTACAAATTATAAATGATTTCATTAAAAATGCAATTTAGTTTCTTGTTTTATATTATTTTTTCTTTTATTTAATCAGATTTGATTTAATTTCGAAATTTGACTCATTTTTTAATGTTATTTTAATCTGATTATTTGCTTAGCAAATTCTTTACATCAAATCAAATAAAAAAAAAAAGAAGTAGAAAAACATGTCACTATTTATGTAAGAGAAAGCTCAAATAATTGTCTGCTCACTTTTATTTATTTTTCATACTAAACATTATTTAGTAATCAATTATCAGTTGTTTAGTTATCAATATCAATTATTTTCTTAGCTTCTTAATTCTCATTACAGATTAGCATTGTTTACATTAAATTTGGTTTATGTTATTAGTTTCTTTAAATTAGTTTTTAAATACTACAAGTAAACACTAGCAGTATTTTTGACACTCACTATTGTAATGACCTTATGTAATAACGTATGCATCTCTTCAGATGATCAGACTTGTTGTATTGACAGCATTACTATTTATTTAGAGATTAGATATTTTTCTTGATGTTACAAATGTTTTACAAACCTTAAAATAGTTATCATAAAATCAAAGCACATCCAAGGATTCCTTAAATAGGAATAAGAACCACCAACAAACCCTCTGCTTATTGACTGATGGATTGCCTCAGTGACATAAAATAGCAGTGTAAGTCGCCTATTGAGAAAAAAAAATTCTAACATTACAAGTTTGCTTAATACAAAAAATTCAGGCAGGCAAATACATCTCATTTCAATATAAAATTAAAAGATAAATGGTACACAGGAAAACTGAATGATTAAAAAAATTTTTTCATCTGTAATCTTTGGTGATATACTAATTTTATTTACATAATTATGTAACTGATATTTATGATTTACTACAACCACCCTTAAAGAGGAGTATACATAAGGTCTATTCACACTATATTTGAGACAAATCTGCATTTTTTGTAAACTGGTAATTCACAATTAAAATTTAAATACATTTATAATGTCAAAGTAAGTCCGGCTGAAGACTTTCTCGAACCAGTCCCTAGTTAGTGATCTAACTGAAATAAATAAATAACAAAATAATTATAATAAAATAAAATTAAAAAAAAAAGTTAGAATGTCTCAATATCAAAGATACCCAGTGGAGAGAATGATGCTAAATATTGTTCAAGTTTAGTTTGGTTTATTTAATTTAAGATGTTTTCAGAAAATTAAAAAAAAAACTTTGAAAATTACTATTTTTTTAACAAAAAAAAAAAAATTGTTATGAATTGAATGCATTACTCAAAAAATAAAGGCAAGATTCCGGGTTTAACCAAATTCATCAGATTTGCTGCCACAATGAAGAGTATTCCAATGTCATAAATTCTAAACTATACATCAAGGAATAAATTAATAATATCAATACTTATAACAAATAAGCACCTAATATAAATAATTATAATACATTGCATACTGATTAAAATACATTGCTTCACATTCACATTACAACTTGTATATAAAATATTGTTAAATACATTGTTTGGATAAATAAGTTTTATTATTGCGAGTAAAAATTATTTAATTTGCATTAATAGTTTAAAAGATATGGCACAAAAGATGCAAAACTAAAATTAACACAATTTGAAACATTGGTAAAAAATATGAAAGAGCTCAAGAGCTATTAGTTTATTCAGAAAATATAAATACCTTAATAGAAAAACTCCAACTACTAAAGATTCTTCGTAGTTTCATGAAATATTTTTCCTAGGGGTACTAAGGGTGGTGTATTAATAGTTAAATAAATAAGACTTAAAAGCATTTTGTCTAACACAAATAATTTAAAAACAGATAAATGTAAGGTCAAGTAGACAAAAGTTTGAATCTCTTAGTTCAAATAATATTTTTAAATTTTTTTACTTATATCTAAGAATTCTGCTTTAGTTCACTACCATAGATAATTTGTTACAACATCAAAAGTTGGAGTCTCTTTTAATACAGAAAGGTACAAAATAAGACAAGTATATACAGTATACCAAGTCTTGTACCTGGATGTGATGCAGTTGGTCCATATACTGGACACTTTTAACAATCAAAATAAACAAAACACCATTTAAAATAAATAAATAATTGCTTGAAATTTGTTAAAAAAAAGTATTAGTTAAAAAAAATTATTAATTTTTCTTGTTGCTTCTCTCATAACTAAACATTTATTCTTCCTGAATAAGTGCACTCAAAGAGTTCTTGAAAAGACAAGGGCAGCTAAAGAAAACTTTGAAGAGAAGAATAAACTATAAATATTAATGAAGTTGAATGTTAATAGTGTTTGAAAAGAACACCCGCAGATAAGATTTTTTTGCTTTAAGTTCAATTTATCATCAACTCACTTTATACACATAGTTATCCTCACTTAAAGGAACGCCATTGATTTCAGTCAACTCTATTCAATTAAGCAGGTTATTTGATAAAAAGGAGAATGCATTTATTAATCTTAAATTTTTATAAAATTTTACTTTTAATGGTATCTAATGAATAATATCATGTTTTGATTAAATAAACTCAATCTTTTGATCAAGAAACAATTATAATTAAAGCCATCAGAGTTAGTACCATAAAATATAAATGTCATTTTAAGTTTCATGAAAATAAATCAATGATAATGAAAAGCAGCTGCTATAATTTTAACACAATTTTATTTCTTAAAATCTGTTATTTCGATACCCTTTTGATTCGCCAATTCATCAAAATTTGATTTTCATTTTATGAGACTTTCACGGCTAGTGTATTCTTTTAGAATTTTTTTTATCTTCAAAACTTGAGAAATTCCAAATTTATTAGTTATTTCAGTTTGGATTTCTTTTAAGTTCATTGCTTCCAAGAATTTTATTTTCTTGATAAACTCAAAGCACTCCTTTTCATGCAGATCATGCAACCAACTCAAGAGTTATTCTCTAAAATAATCAATGATTATTCTACTTTAGAAAAAGGCACACTGTAAACTAGTGTGTAATCAGGTTTTTGAAACAATTTTTTTATCAAAGCTAATAGCACAACAGGAGGAGACCAGAAGTCTTGACCGGGAAATAAATCTTCCTGCATCCCCTACTGGTTTGGTGGTATGGTTTTTTTTTGCGCACTGTTTATATGTACTGCTTTCTGCCATACTATTGAAAAAAACTGCTTTGCAAAAGATCTGCACCTATGCTGTTTTTTAATTGCATGACAGTATAAATGTTAAAAAGGCAGCTGAATTTAACTTTAAAACAGTTATAAAAGTTTATTAGTAAGCTGATAAATACTAATATATTAAAAGCCCTTTTGATATCAAATATAAATTACAATCTTTCATAAATATGAAATGATAACATAACTACTGATAAAAACTGAGCTGAAACCAATAAATGTTAACTTAGTGAATTATTGAGTACATAATGTGTGAAACGTGTATAAAAAGATCTGAAGTTCTTAAAATGTTTTTATAAATGAAAAAGGAAAAGCTTCAATCTTTATAAGTTGAAACAAAAATTACCGATACTTTTACTTCATCACTAGATAAAAGCAACTAAAATGAAAAAGTACCATGTACCATAATAAATACAAGTGAGCAAAAGGATACATATGAGTAGTAAAGGCCATAGAAGCTCTTCTAATGTAACTGTATGGGTAAAACAGGTTCAATGATGGTGACTTTTGATATCTGTTTATAAACGTTTGGTCCCAGCTTCTTGTTATAACACAAAATGTCTGTAAAAGTAATTACACTTAAGCATCACATTTTAATTAAAAAAATACTGCTTAAAGTTTAAAGATGTAAAATCTTATTAAAAGCAAGTAAGTTTATTGGAAAACCAATTATCGTGATTTCAAGGACATCAAAAATTTGTAGGAAATATATCATATGAAATAAAAATTTACAAATTAAGTAATTGAAGCATAATTAAAATACATGAAAAATACAAATAAATAATACGAAACAATTTTGCATTGTTGCATAATTTGTCCATGGACAATTATTTTTATTGGAAAATGTCAAAAAAAAGGAGCCTATTAGATTGTCAGCTCAACTACAAGGCAAATTAATTTCATCTAAATAAGTAAATAATGGGTCAAAATTGCAATTAATTATTTATTAAATTCAAAAACTAGTAAATTAAGATTGAATAAATACAGTAAAACCTGGCTACTGTATGGATCTAGATAAAATATCATAATAGACAAATGATGATTTAAATTCTCATTCAAACTTCAAATGAAATTTTACTTGCAAAACAAGAAAATATACATAAGAGAGAGATATAGAAACATGGATTTTTTTCATAACAAAAACAGAAATTATTTAAGAAACTAATCAGTTAATTTCATTTGCTTATTTTTTGAAGTAATTGGTGCGCAGATCACGATCATCCCAATCCAATCTGATTCCTGAAAATTTCTAGTAGGATATAAATTATTCCAATTATTATTTGAGAGATGTCTTGGAAACTTTCAGGCAATGGTCGGCAAGAAATTAAAAAAGTATCACACAAGGGCACCCATCGAATTGGTCTCTTTCAGTGATATTTTCTTTACAACAATGGCAGTGTTATAACATATAGAGGTTTTTTACAGACAAACCTCTATAGGTTATTTTAAAAAAATTTACAAATTTAGAACTCATTAACCACCTAGGAGACTGAAGTTGGCACACCAATTTACAATATAGAAATACCGTTATTGCATTTCTTTTCAGAGAAAAATTAGGTATTTTTTGGTTAGTCTGGCACAGATAAATCCAGCTATTTTTTTTAACATAAAAGAAAATAGAACCCTCCCCTCAAATAAATAATAAACTTAGAAGTAATATTTTTTCTTTACATTTTTAAATTAGTAGGAAAAGTTGTAAATGGAATGCATAATTTTTTCACTTCAGATTCTTTCCAAAAGGATTGGTCACTTTTTGCTTAAATCATAGTTAAACTGATAATATCTAAGTATTTATAATTTTGATGATCTTATAAAATCATTTTAATAATTATAAAAATTAACTGTACGGACCAATTTATTGAAATAAATTTTAAAGACTATTTTGTTTCAGAAGATCAAATTTTGAACTTAAGGCAATATTTATAGATAATATACACAAGGGAAAGAAACTTTCAAAATCAGAACATGAATCAAAATATGTAAAATAATTATCAAACAGATGTTACAAATAAAACAATCAAGTAGAATATTTTAAAAGCAGGTTTAAAGTACTAAGTGATATACAATTTTTGAGTATACATACATCGCCTGATACTTTCGGGTCAACTTCCTTGAGAGGTATATCAAATGCATATTCCGACGGCAAACGCTTGAAAGTTCTACGACTTTGCATTTTGAAAAAGGTTTTTTCTAACAAAATACTCTTCAATCAAACGGAAAGAAAAATATAACTGGAAGAGAATTCATATATTTTCTTTAAATTTCGTACTACAAACTGAGTGTTTTCACAAAGGAAGAATAAAACTTTTGAGCTAAACGTTTTAAACTCGCTACGTTCACATTACATATAATTTTATAAGAACTTATTTAACTCAAAAGTTAGATTATTTTGGTACGATTCATAGTGACAGTTTCGTGAATAAACTGACTGCTGCCATTATCTTTCTAAAAATTGAAAAACGAAACTAATCGGAACAGAAATGCAAGTCAAGGTTACGATTTCATCCACGAATACTCGAATTGAATTGTAAAAGTACATCTGGCATCAATAAATACCTTTTAACTTCTAGTGGGCTGTTTTTCCTGTAGAAATATGTGTCATGTCTGGTTTGGTGGACTTAGCAGTATATAAATATTTACCATTTAAATTGTAATTGCAGTTATTTTATTGTAGTTTATCTCTCTTTCTGGATTTTGTAATATATACTTTATATAGTTATTGTTATCCGTCCAAATAATATGTGGAAATTACGGGAAATCACAGATAAAGTGTAAGTATTTATCTTCTGTCTGTTGCGTAAGTTTTTTTTCTTATTAAGATTTTTCACATGCTCGGCTTTCTATTTTTACAGCATTCAATATTAATGAAATGCAGTTGTTAGTTTTTTTCCTTTCACTTATAAGTAAAGCTGTTATTAAAAAAAATAAATAATCGTGTCACTACAATTTTGTGATGTCTCACTCTTGTATAATTTTGATTAAATTTTGAGTCTGCTCGTACAGAAACGTATATTGACATGAATATTTCAATAGCAGTTATGAAGATTGATTATTCAATTTTACGATACTATTACGATATAATTTTTTCGTTCCGCACAGCTAAACAAATAAACATCAATTGGTTGGTAGGTTATACTAACAAACATTTCCTGGTGAGCTTTTTTTTTTTTTTAATTTTTGCTGTGTAAGCCTCTTTGCCCCGGCTGTATATTTTTTGCTCTGGTGTTTGAGGTTATCAATTAATACCTGATAATTTATTCTTTCTTGTCAGTGTTTAGAAGTTTTTTTTTTCATTTTTTTTCTTCTGAAAACTAGCAGCATTTTTGCAAATAATGATAGCTAAATCAATAAGCATCAATAGGTTTGTAGGTTATTCTAACAAACATTTCTTGGGGATATTTTTTTAATTTTTGTTGTATGAGATACTGGATAATTTATTATAATATCTAGTCAGTGTTTAGAAATTTTTTTTCATAAACTGGCAGCATTTCTGCTAATAATATGTAATAAAACTACTTAAGTACTTATCAGAAATGTCCACTAGTTAAAATCTAATGGTGTGTGTCTAGTATGTTGAAAATATCTTAATAGCAAATTGTTTTTCAGTATGTGTACATGTTTTTGCTGAATCATCCCCAGACATTTAAACAATAATTAAAGTCTACTGAGTATGTCAATAAATATTACAATGTTAGATATGCCTAGAAGTTTCATTCTTCTCAATTAAAATCTGTGCTGAATATCTTCTAGGAATTCTTGGAACTGATAAAATCATTTGTGTTATGTAATAATGCCAACAATACACTTATGAAGACAGTCAATTATGCAATTAATCAGTAGATTTGACAGTCAGTAATCAGTACCTAATAATGGTTGTTTTGTTTAAAGAAATAACCTGTTTAAGTAACTTTTTATCAATGTTGTTGAGTTGTTAGATTATGTATTTATGAAAACAGTTAACTTCTAGTTGATCGAAAATACTGTAGACCAATAACAAGTGTTTGACCTGTTAGAAAAAACTCACTGGATTATTGTCATACATACATCAGGTGTATTCTAATTATAATTAAAATCATCTAAGAAACATTAAAACTGATTTGATTGAATAGTTTTAACTGATAAAATCTAAATCATTTTAGTTAGCTAATTGGATTTGACAAATGCTTAAAAAAAGTGCTGTTATTTAGTTTTAAATAAAATTTTAACCAGTAAACTAAATTGTTTCAAGATCAAATAGATTGCATTTTTTTAAATACATATAGATTGATTATACAAATCGAATAAAAAATTTTAATGTCGTAAATATTTTATTTTCGTATTTGAGTTTTTTATTTTTATTTTGATAATTATTCCTGTTTGGTTAGAGAGAGTAGTGAATAAGAGTAATGCTATGTTTTAATTTTGTTCATTAGCTCGTTTGTCTAGAAAAAGAAATGTTCAATAATATTTTAAATATCTTTTAGCACCAATGTGGTGATGAATTATACAGAAGTTGAAGCTAAAGTCCGAGAAGCCACTAATGATGACGCATGGGGACCTACGGGACAGTTAATGCAAGAAGTAGCACAGAGTACCTTTACCTATGAACACTTTCCTGAAGTTATGGGCATGCTTTGGAAACGAATGTTGCATGATAAAAGAAACTGGCGTCGTATATACAAGGTTTATATTATTTCTCAAAATATACTCAATTATAAATTTATATACCATTTTTTTTACAACAAAAAATTATTAATCTTTAAAAAAATTTTTTTTTGTATTTTTGTTACCCATATTTATATAATTTTGAATTTTTATGTGCAATTAATTTTATAATATGTAATGTTCAAATTGTATTATGCTAAAATGAGCAGCTAAAATGATAGATTTTATGTAATAAATGATACAGTCTTCCTATTCTTGATTTCTGATTAACGGGAAAATAATTTGAAATGTCAAAGTAATGACAATGTTTATATCTACCAGATCAATTTTAATTAAATATTGTCTCACGGCATTCTTCATGAATAGTTATGTTTATTAAATAAGCTTTGTTCATAAATTTTTTTTTCCGACAATATTAGTGAGTTGATTTTGCATAGATATTTGGATTAGAACTTAATCGAAGAATTGAACATGTTATTATCTACTCTTCTGTTTGTTTCATGTGGTGGCAAAATAGATGGATTTTTTTCAGTTGGAAACACTTTTAACCATACGTAAATGCATTATATCTATCGTTGGCTTTTAAAAATATGTAACATGCTATATAGTTATAAAAAAACTGATTTTTAATTATAAATTCATATACCCCTAAAAAATAAATTATAAATTTTTTTTCCTCAACAAAATACATTTTTTGTTGAGTACTTTTTTTGTCTTGAAACATTTTTAAATCTGAATAGGGATGAGTAAGAAAAATATGGTGATTGCAATAGATTGTGTAAACATTAACAACACTAGTATTAAATAGATTTGCGAAGTAGTACCTTAATTTCCTATGTAAAACTGTGGATTACCTTTTAAAAAACAGGAAAATCATCACCGCAGATAGTCTGTTTCTGTGTGTAATCTACCAAAATTATTTTCCAGGCATCAAATGTTGGAGGGGTTTTAGAATTATTTGTTGTTTTTCTTTGAGGGTTTTCCCTTCGGTGTTGCAAGTTCTCCATGCAGGTTATGCTTCGCTGCAGATAATATACTGGAAGTTGAGTTTCATAGATTTCGGAATTTTGATTGAAAACTATTAAATAGATATGTATAATCATCAGTAGTTTTTTTTTTGCTTAATAAAAGTTTATACTTAATAACAAAACTTTTTTTTTCCTGTAGTGTGATATTCTACTTTTTTGAAGAATGCTATATAATTTATATTCTTAGCCTTTATATTTTCCATAAATTCATTTAAACTAGGATTTATTAGCGACAAGTGTCCTATAAGATCTATTTTTTTTATACCTTTGTCTGAATTTAGGCTCTGCATGCATGCTTCGTGAAAATTTTTTAATCTTCTATTAATGTTCTCAAACTTTTCATATATTTTATGTTTTTACTTTATTGTCTATGATGATTTGAATAAAGAATGCAGTATATTTGCCCTTGTAGTTTTTTTTATTCATTACTAATTATAAAATACAGTAAAGTGGAAAGTTTTATGTGAAAGTCGAAGCTGGTCGCCAAAACTAGCTTGTTCTATAAAGTTAACCTTATATTGAAAAAGTAACAATAAGTTGCAGGGGATAAAAAAGGAATGAAATATAAGATCAAAACTTTTTGGATCTTGTGGAAAAAATTATCCAATGTAAGTAAATAGTGTATAATCTGTAGTTTGAGTGTTATATTTTACCTGTTGGATATTTTCTTTTAAATAATCTAATGAAAGTATGTTTTATTTAATGTTAATTAATATGAGCACTAACTATTTTTAGGTTCTTCTAAATCTGTTTTATCAAATAAACTTTCCTATTCTAATATTTTTTCTTACAAGTTTTAAAGATATTTATTTTTAAAAGTTTACAGTTAAGAATTCTGATATTTAACATTTCTTTTATTAGAAATTTTAAGTATATTTAACAATTAATTCAATATTGATATTATTTTTAATCTACTAAAACTAATTTACTTTAAAAAAAAACATGACTGCTTGAAATTTTTTAAAATATCAAGTTTTTACAGGTGTTACTTGTTTTTATAGTTATTTAGTGTGTTTACTTTATTACTATTACACCTGTTTAATAATATGGTTTTTTCTTTTCATTACAGTCTTTGCTGTTATTAGGTTATTTAGTTAAAAATGGGTCTGAGCGTGTGGTCACTAGTGCTAGAGAACATATTTATGATTTACGAAGTCTCGAAAATTACAGTCACATTGATGAATTTGGAAGAGATCAAGGAATAAATGGTAAGTTTATTTTGTAATTATTTTATTATATCTGGAAATTATTTATAGGTTAAGGGATTCCACCACCATATTTTCCAACCACTTAGTTTTAATTTTAATGCTTAAGTTACCATGGGTGCCAATCTGTCTTGAGAAAAAATCAGTAGATTAAATTTCATCAATTAATCTTTTTCCCATTTGTTTTTATTTAATTAATCATTTATATTTTTGTTCACTGTAAAAAAATAAATTTTTTTTTGGATAAAATAGTAAATTTCTATTTTATGTATAAACCTTTATCATGGAAAATTACGTTTTGAAGTCAGTGAGCTATAAGCTTTTGAAAATTCTATTAAATAATGCTAGTTTTGAATTGAAATTTTTTTAGAGTGGCATCCATGTCAAACTAGATGCTTAAGATTACATCTAAATTCCCTTAGTCTTGAAAATTTTTAAATTTTATATTTCATTTTGCTTAGAAATTAAATAAAATGTTTCAATTAAGAGAGTAAAATGTAAGTTAATCCCTTTGCAGAATTCCTCCTGTTTATTAGTGTGCCCTGCTGTTTATTACAGTATTTGCAGATTATTTTTCATTCAAGTTTTATTTTTAAGAAGCGAACAAGCAAATGAAAGAAAATTGCTGGGACTTATTTTTCAAACATCTCTAAACTTGTTTCGAATAAAAACTAAAAAGCAGAATTGAGAGAACACCACAATGAACAAAAATTAACGATTTTTTTTTATAAAGTAAAGAAACTATGTAAAAAAACTATTTTCTTTCTAATGACTCAATTTGCAATAAGTCAGCTATAATAACTCAATTCTAATAATAGTGCTGCTAATATTTTGAAACTTAGACTATAGTTAATCTTCAATTGCAACTAAATATGTCTTTTCAGGTGTATCAGTCATGTAACTTAGATCATGAATTATTTATATTGGTTTAAATTGATGTTTAATTTTGTAGTTCGTCAAAGAGTGAGGGATCTTATAGAGTTTATACAAGATGATGATAAATTAAGAGAGGAGAGGAAAAAGGCAAAGAAAGCCAAAGATAAATATATTGGAATGTCTTCAAACTCAATGGGAATTGGGTAAGGAGGATATTGTAATTTAAATCTACTGCACAGTATTTGTATTTTGGCAATATGAATTTTTCTTTACTTGATTATCTCCGTTATAGCAGTGGAAAATCTAGTAATAAATTTGATGATGAATTTCATGATGGATTTAAATCTAGACTTCCTCGATTTGATCTTGGGAAGGGTCGAAGCTTTGAAGATTCTCCTGACCAAAGGTAGTATAAATTCTTTAAATTAGTAGCTTTTTGAGTATCTGCCTTTTTTAAGCTTGTTGTATAATGTTAAATTCTAACAGTAACTGTAAGGAATTTTAGCTTTATTTATAATGGAAATATTAATATAAAATGGTGATATTTTAGACAAATCCTTGAAGCAATGTATCTAGAGAAGAAATGTTTATAACTGAAATGTAGAAAATATTATAACCTTATGACAGTGTTCTCCCTAAACGTTTTTTGGAGGCTAGCTCGCCTTGCTTGTCCTTTGATCCTAGTAAATGTGCCCTCTTTGCCGTTTTTGTAAAAATGAGCTGTCATCCCTTAAAAAAACAGCATTTTTTTTTATTTTATTCATATTGCATTTTGAGAAAAAATTACACCACTGTTTAAATAATAATTGCACACTGGTAAAATTATGTGTTTAAAGTTTAATTCTGATTACTATTACAAATATTTAATTTGTTAGGATTATTCTCAACTGGTAATATTTTTATAATCTTTTTTGGGAAGGGAGGGGGGAGAGAATATTTATAAATTTTTAAGTGATTTTGACAACTTTTTTTAAAAAAAAATTGGACCTTTAAATTTTTATTTTCTCAATTTTTAATTTGAATTATCGAAGAAAAACCTTTCAAGTTTATCAATTAATTATTGTTTGTTGGTTTACTTTTTTGAGAAAAAAATATGCACAGAGATTGCCTTTTAACATGCCTTTAATTATTTTTATAAACTACAAATTTTTCTCTTATTTTGAGAGAGAGAATTACTTGTTTGAAATATACATATAAAATTGTATAAGAGCATAATTAAAAAATTGAGGATAAAATTCAGTTACTACTTAGTATTACACATTTTGATAAAGTTATACAGTGTTCAGCGAGTGCCCTTTCAAAACTCAAAGTGCCCTTTTGAGAGAGAAAGCCCCCTGATCTTTTTTATTCCTAGAGAGAACTCTGCTATAGAATTACAAGAATGTAATTCAAACAATTTTAATGCCTATGTGTTTGTTGTATATTTTAAATGCCTTAAAATGATGAAAATAATATATTTCAGTAATGATGAAGATCGTAAGTCTGAAAGCGACGATAAACCAGACTATAAAGATGAGGATGCAGAGTCCCAAGGAGAAAAAACATTTCAGAAAGTCACTCGAGCTGATAATAAAAGTGCTCCTAAAAGTAATCGCAAGATAGATTTAGGGGCTGCTGCAAATTTCGGTAAAGATCATAGCTCAAATGTGAGTGTGCCCTAAAATATGTGTCTCACAAAATAATCATTCAAAAGTAAATTATAACTGTTTGATTTTTCTCTTTTTAGAATTCCTCACCTGTGAAGCAAGTGTCACTGATCGATACTTCTCCTAAAAAAGAAGCTGGCGGCGATGAAGAAGATTTGTTTGCTAGTATTTCAAGTATTTCAGTTTCTTCCCTTACGAATAATGGATTAGGTAGTGTAAATTTTTAACTTGCAGAAATGTTTTAATTATCATGCAAAATTATTATCAATTTTATAGGAAAACAGGGATTTCAATTGCAACAGATTTTGCATATTTTCTGTGTTGTTTCAGCTTTATATGTAACTATGTATTCAGCTTCTTTTGTAATTTTATATGTAACTATCAGCTTTATATGTAAATTTTTTTATATAAATATTTTTGATGTTGAAAAATCACTCCACTGAAAATTTTCTATCAGTCACTTTCCAAAATCGATAAAAACTATTGCAAAATCTACTTTAAATAGATAGATTAAGAATGAGGTGGCGGTTTGAGTTTTCCATGTAGCATATGTGTTGCATAAATTAAATTGAGATTTGTATGATCAGTTTTGCTATTTACATTACATGTTTATTGTTTAATTTCTAATAGCTATTACTATCACATTTTATGAAAAGATTGCAAACATTCCATTATTCATAGATAATTTAAACATTTTCCAAATCCTACATTTTCAGCCAATCTGTTAGATAAATGAACATTTTATTAAGAGTTTGAACAAAGAACTTGCTGTAACTTATTAATATGTAGTATGTTAAATTTTGTACTTTTCATCCTATGAAGTAATAGCTAAATGAAATTTATAAATGTGGTTTATATGAAGAAATCTTATTTATTGTTCTTTTCATCCTTTTTTTATTATAATCTCATGCCTGTTTTTTTTTTTTAAAAAATCTCTCTCTGTTCTGAGTTTATCCATTGATTCATTTTCATTTTCTCCACTAGATTCTGCAAATGGTGACTTTGCCGATTTCTCGAGTTTCAAAAGTGCAGCCGATTCGAAGTAAGTGAAGGTCAGTACTAATGAATATCATTAGAACTAATGAATATCTTGGATTGTAAACTTCTGTTGTTCAATTTCCAGGCAAGAGGATTTTGCAGACTTTGTGTTTAATTCCACTTCTACCACAAATTCAGGCAGTGAATCTTTGAACTTTTTGGATACAAGTGTTGTTACGACTCCTACACCCGCATTCCAGTCTTTGCCAACTGCTGGTCTTCCACCTATACAGCCAGTGGGTGCTTCTGTTATGTCACCCCCTCTTACTCCACTTAGTGCCTCACAATCCCCTATGATGTCTCCTGTTTACCAGCCTGTCCTTGGTGCTCCTATGGGTATGATGCCCACTTCCCCCCTTAGTAGTAATATACCTAACCCAATGATGATGCAACCACAGTTGACGAACTTACCACCCACCAATATCATGTATCCTATGGGGTACATAGGTGGCAATATGTTCTCACAAGTAAGTTATTGAAGACTTCCATTTGTATGGCCTAATATAGTTCTAAGATTTAGTTCAATGCTTGCTTAGACGATCTAGAGCGCTTTTAATTTTTTATAAAATTTATCTTCTAAATATGTATCTTGGAACCTCATTTTAGCATTGAAAATAAAAACCCTTAACAATTTGCTAATTGTACGAATTGCATCTGAGTATAAGAGAAATCTCTCAGATCGGTCGGGTACTGATTGTTTACTAAACTGGCAGACCTCCCCGATGGGTCAGCAAAGTGTTAATTACCTGTCTAATATTGTTTTCTAAATTTGCTCGAGTATTGATCGAAGGGAATATATGTGCCTGTTTCAAAGAGCCTTGTGGCAGAATTTTTTCGAGCTATCTGCGACAAAACTCTCTAGCACTAATATCTTTCTGCAAGATACTTTTAATAATAACAAAAGTATTGTGTTTACAACAAAGCTATATAATTTTTTTTTAATTGAACATATAATAATTTTTTATTCTAATATAATGGTGAATATTCTCACATGGCGTTGGGGGGTCTGAAATCCACAAATTATTTTCTTCTTAGCATTCTGTAAATAATCATCACAATAGATAATCACGAAATCCATTGTAGTACTGGCCGTAAAAAAGATCGATGATGAAATCACGCGAATCGGACTTCTCAAATGCGTTTATAATAAATGGAACGCGTCAAAAAGTGCTTATTTAAAAAGTGTGGCTGCGATTCTGCCATGGGGTCAAAGAGTAGAATAAGTTATGGATTGTCAAAGCTACAAAAGTCTTATTTATTGTCTTAAGTTTAAAATATTCACTATGTTAAAAAATATGATTTTGTTATTGGAATGTTTACTTCATTGTAAAACATATTTTCTTGAAATCCAAATAATTTTATTAAAGTCAAGTTTTTTATTTTAATGAAACTGTTTTGAAAGTTTTGGTTCTAAAAACGTCCATAGGAATCCAAAAACTATACTAGGTGAGTCTAAACAAGACGGCAAAACTTTAGTGGACGGATTGAAAGCATTTGCACAATCAGTATTCATCGTGGAATATAAGATCGGAATACAAGCAGTGATAAATTAAAAAGTAGTTATTTTTAACATGCAATTAAAAATTTTATGAGCTTTATTTTGTTAAATTGTTAAGTTAATTATTTATTTGTTACTACTACGTACATTTTGTAAAATAGCAGTAGTATGAAAGCATAGCAATCAATCCTGTTGAACATACATTATTATTAATTATATTCTATATAATTAATGTAACTTGAAATTATTTAGGCAGCTAGTGAAACAGAATAAAAGATATACATTGCTTTTTCTATTAGTTGTCCAATTTAATTTCTCGTTCTTAAGTGCCTCTCAACTATGCCTTAAAAAGCTATCTCAAGTTGACCATATTATCCCAAACATTAAAAATGTATTTTCACTGTAAACTTTTCTTAAGTATGATGAAATGTTATGTTAAATATAATTCTTAAAGATAAATGATAATTATTTTATTTCAGCCAAATGATTTCTTTTGGGTAAGTTACTATGTTAAAAAAATTAATTATTTGATATAAACATTTTAGTTGTAAAAATCTGGATGTATCTCATGAGTTGAATATCAAAAATAGGAAATTCAAGAAAATAAATTAAACATTAAAATATTTTCTGAAAAGTTTTTTTTTTTTTTTTAAATGAAAAATTTGTTTTCTTAACGAACTTGATTTTTTAAAATTTATTTTATGAGAATGTTCCTTGAAGAAAATGTTCATGAGAAAATGCTGCTTTGTATAACATTAAAAACAGAAATTAGTATGATTCTTAGATTTTAAATTCTCAATGAGGAACCTTGTAGAGGTGAGTTTGAGAAGATAAAGGTCAATGTGAAACAGTAAAATTTATTTTCACCGTTTCAAGCTAGTTTTTTATATCTGTCTCAGGGAATTTATAATTAGCTACTGCTTTTTTAAATTTTGGTCATCTTAAAAGTGCTTTGTGTTATGCTAATTTCCAATTTTTTGTCAAATTACTAAAATTGGGAAAAGTTGCTTGTCTGTTAATTGTTGCACAAACTTTCTTAACTGATTTTAGATGTGAACCACTGATTTTGAGTGATGTCTACTAAATTTATTTATATACAAGCAATACTGTTGTCTAAGTCATTTAAACCATGAAAAAGTAAATAAAAGTATTTGCAATATTTTTCATGCTGTTGTGTAGGATAGTTGGATCTTACGGTGATGCTAATGTCTAGGATCCAGAATTATGCTTCTTTTTAGGAGTTTTAATTGAGGTTATTATGTAGATATCAGGAATAATAACTCTAAGGCACAGTGGAATGTTTCTTTAATCTTATTAATAATTTTATTTTTAGTTCCTTTAAATTTAATGCTTAACTTTCTCTCTTTTATTGTAATTAATCATTTTAACCCTCTAAGCACTTGATAAAATTGTACAGAAATTTGTACTGCTGTTTTTGTCATATAATATGAGAGAAACTGATTTTTGTTCCTGAAAAACCTCTTTCTATAAGTTCAGAAAAAAGCGAGGACTAATGCTCAGAGGGTTAAATGTTTATAGCTTAATTTTTTTTAAAGCTACTAACATTTTTCCTTTTTTTTTTTAATAGCCTTCCTCCTTACCCATAATATCCACATCATCAACTGTGCCTAACCATTCCTCTATTCAAGATTTGAGGGTGATTGTTTTATTTTCTTTTGTTGTTTATGCTTGTAGAAAAATTTAATTAATCTTTTTTACATATTTTTCTTTTTTGTTTACAGTCATCTAGGAATACATGGAGTGATGCTTTAGGAACTGTTAATATCAATGTAGATAACTTAGCTCCAGCAAGTAAATATGACAAGCAACCAGCTCCTAGTATGAATCAACTTGCAGGTATAATTTTTAATCTATTTTATCTGAAAGAATTAGTATAAAAATAGGACATGTATTTGATCCAATTTATATTGTCTGTAATTCATGTTTTTTTCTTCTTTATAGTTATCTTTGATAAATAAGAAGGGAATTAATTTTTTTATCTGTTAGTACAACATTTCAAAAGTACTTTCCTTAACTTCTCAGGTTTTTCAGAAAAACTTCTGTAGGATTTTGTTTTGTTAAAGATTTAAAAAATCTTTAATCCATACAAATTTTTAGATTAGTTAATCTAAAAATTTGTATGGTTCAAAACAACTGAAGGTAATTTTAGAAGGAATAGAGCATTGTAATTGAGCTCTAACAACTTTTATCAGGTTTTCAAATACTTGTAAGGCCCTGCATTTTCTTGGTAAAAACGTAGCCAGGTGAAATGGTTTCATTTTTAATAAGACCTCTTACTCTCAATTTTCCATCTTGCCATGTAATGTAGCATGTGATATCTCACATGTGTTCTTGATCATGAACAAAGTGCAGTTTCTACGTTCTAATTTGCATATGCGGGAGAATCTCCAGTAATTTTTTCTTATAAGAGATCTCCCCCAGAAAAAATTTTGAAATTCGAATTTGTTATCACAAAAATTTTCATTTGGGGCAAAATTCTATATGCCACTTATCAGTAATTGACACTAACTTTCTGAAAAACTAAATATTCTTAATTATTTTTCATGATATTTTACTTAATTTCTCACTTATGCACATTTCCTAAATTTTTCTTTCTGTAATATTATGCTGGTATGATTTTTATTAAAGTGTTGTTATAGTTATTAAGAAATATATTTTGTTTAATTTTTTTTCCTTCTGTATCACAGGTTCTAACATGAATGCATTAAACATGAACAATATTGCTATGGGGATGCAACATATGACACTTAATCAACCTCTTATTGGTATGTTTATTTTATTATGCAATTTTTTAATGAGGAATATATCTATAGTGTATTGCTATGAACAATATAAATATGACAGGGTGGCCACCCACCTTGAAAACCTGGAATTATCAGGGAATTTTTTTATACTGGAAAAAACCAGGAAAAGTCGGGGGAAATTTGGATAAAATCCTGGAAAAATCAGGGAATTTTAAAGAAAAGCTGGAATTTTTTTCTTAATTTAAATTATTTTATCATCTGTTACATCTACTTTATTTAGATGAAAATTTATTGTCAAACAGTTGAAATATCATCAACTGAGCAATAATTCTCTCCATTATTATCCTGCTAAACTAGAATGCCATATAGTATTTTATGATCTAACTATATGTTAACATTTAACTTTACTGCTTTGTTGGTAAATATTTGATTTTTTATTCTAAATTTCGAATTGCGTATTAATCACAATGTCGAAAGTTCATAAATGTTGCTTTGATTCTAGAGATATTTCCAAAGCTATTTCTTTTTTTACCCATAAAAGCTGATGTTAAATGATATATAAACTTAGAATATGAAATTTTTTTTTTATATTTGTTTATTAGAAAGAAGGAAAACGAAACTTTGTTTTTCTTGTTCTGCACTGTACAGGTACAGGTTTTAAGTTGGTTAACCAGATGACCAAAATTTTAAACTTAATCAGGGTTGCCACTCCAGAGGGAAAACCTGGAAAATACAAGGAATTTAAAAATCACCTAATATAACAGGAAAAATGCATGGAATTTTGATTTTTTCTTTACAAACTGGTTAAAAAATACAGGGAATTTTGTTTCTTATTTTTGTCTTTTAAAAAATGGTGCCCACTCAAAGCGTAATGTATAGGATATTTAACCATGATATTTCAGCTATACTAAACTATTTAATTTACTATAGCATTATTTAAGTATGTTCAGCTGTTTTTCCAGCAATTAAAACTAATAAATATAGTGAGCCCAATATATCTCACACAAGAGCACAGTAATTGTTGTTTCCTCTTAATATATTGTGTATAATAAGTACAGGGAAAACACAGGGAATTTTTTTTCCAGATTTGAGTGGCAACCCTGTTAATGTTAAGTAAATAATATATCATTTTCAAGGTAAAGAATCGAAGATTTTGAAATAATGACTTTTAACTTAAAAATAATAAGTTACAGACTGTTAAATGAAGGGCTACATCATTTGAAATTTTTAACCGTGGTAAGTGAATCTCCAAAAAAGTACAGTTATTTATTTAAAAAAATTCCCACCAATAGTAGAAAAAGTAATAATTAAAGTGAACTATAACAAAACAGGTTATTTTGCACAAATGTGTAGAAATATTTCAAATTTTGATTTACAAAAACAATTATCAAGGTACACTTTTGATATTTTACATGCAACATAAAAAAAGTTTTGTACTCTGCTACTAGTATTTAACATAATGAAATTATTTTTGTCTGTTTAAAGCAAGATTTTGATGATAGTAAATATTTTTATTGTAAATACCTAATTTAAAAAAGACACACTGACCTGGAAATTGTAAGATTTTTACTGGAAAAATCAGGAAAATTTGAAACCTGATTTGAGTGGCCACCCTCTATAAAGATTTCTGAACATTTCATTCATAAATATTTTCTAAAATATTGATTCATAAATTTTTTATTACTTTGTTGATTCTTAATTTGTATAGGAATCTTATTATATTTATAGTATCTAATTTTTGTTTTTTGCTTTAAATTATTTTTAACTGTTAATTACAGATTGTTACTGTTTGTTACATTGTTTTATAATGACTATTTATGTAAATATATTAATTGATTCAGCGTTTCATCCTCTTTTAGGATATTAACTAAAAGTCTTCCCACTTCTAAGGAAGATGCTAACCATTTTGAGCACCTGTTAATATTCTTTATAGATTCTGACCAGACATACTCCATTAATAACCATTTTGATATAGTTTAAATTCAGAGAAATCTTTGATTGGGGCAATTTTGCACTAGATAATGTAGCAGGGCATATTCCGTATGTAACGCTGATCAAATAATTTAAGCACGTCTCTTTTATTCCATTATGATAGTTTTAAAGAGCCTATAGCCAGGTTCGTAGGGTGTTGGGCCCATGTCGGAGAGGTCACGAGTTCGAGCCCTGCCGGCCGAAGGCCCTCCGTGAAGTAAATGGTGACTGATGCAGGTTAAATCTGTCTGGTCACGAAGTCCTCCGAGTTCCCATAACAAATTATACGTCTGGGGGTGCTGATTTAGAAATTGATATCATTCTCTGGTTCAGGTCCAAGTTACCATTTGTGGATGAATGTATGAATGGGTTCGTCCTGTCAAACAGGATGTGACGTGTGTGTGGCTGAAGTCGTATTCTTGGCCGCTGATGGCGCCACTGGAAAATAAGATACGCACCCTCTGTCTTAAATTTGTTTGGTTTCACCTAGCAGGCTTGCTGGTATTGGCAAGTGGCATTAGAGACAACAATGATAATTTTAAAATTTTTCAGATGCTCTATTTTGTGATTTCTTCATTGGTTTGTATTTTATTTAAGGACCTTTTTGCTAAAAGTTTAAAAAACTATTATATAATATTAAATTTGATGCATTTTGCCACTGAAGTTTCATTTAAATTAAAGTTTGCTGGTCACAAAATAGTTTTTGAAACTTTTTCATAAATTATTTTTTGTTAACATCCATTTGTTTTGTTTTCAATCTCTTGCTCATCATTCATAGTCTGTCTTTTCAAATTAACAGATACTGTGAATTTTGATATGTATTATTTTATCTTTAAAATAGGTTCGGCTGTACCCACTGTTATGAGTCCTGTGACGAGCAACGTGATGGGAGGTCTAACATCGCCACCTGGTGTAGCATTTCAAAGATCAATGTTTAATAGCCCCGGAAATCTTGGTACATAAAACTGCTCAGCAATTGATGAAGCATCTTAGTTTTCCCAAAGGAACCGTTCCAGGAATGCATTGCTAACTGTTAGTGGCATTTCTAAGAAATCTTAACATACATGAACTTGTTTGAAATTAACTCAAAATAAAAAGATGCTAATCACTATTCAGTCATTTTAATTGAATAAAAAGAAATGTGTTGTGTTTTTAAAAAAAAAGTGTGTGAATGGAGCGGTGTATCGGCATGGATACAAAGAAGCTTTTTACCTAGGTCACTTATTTGGAAGAATGGACTCAAAATCTTTGTTGTGTTACGTTAAGATTAACAGTGCACCGTCTGTCTTTCTGTTGTTGATTCATAATCATTTTTTTTATTGAAGTTTTATTTTGTCATCTGATAAAGATTTAATCGAGAAGTAGAGGAAGAATGGATGTTATTTAGAGTGTTTGTTTTAAATTGTGGGCTTCAGTTTACTCCTGAGTTTCCGACACTGTTATACAACTACTGACATTGCAATATTTATGTTGGATTTCTTTTAATAAAAGATAGATGAAAAGATATAGTTTATTCCCCTTGTTTTCTCACACATGGACTTTCTATATCTTGCATCAAATCCTCTAAATTGCAATTTTCAGTCATGAGAAAATAAAGTACGCATGGTTTGTAAATCATATGATTACAGTTCATAATATTATATTAAACAAAAACTAGTCATGTGCACTTGAGATTCTCAAATAACATGATGTAGCATTGGAAAAGTAATCAATTTAAACGTTATCATTCTTGTTAGTTTACAATGACCTTTGTTATACTATAGTTTTTTTTCCCCTCTGCATTCCTCATTTAATAAGATATGCCGTATTATTTTGTGATAGTAGCTATTTAGTTTTAATCTTTGTACATTTTATTCCTGTTATGTACTTAATTCAAAAATTATAATGCTAACCCAATTTTCCAACCTTTAAGTGAGTGTGGGATATTCAGGAGTTTATTGTAAATGTTTTGTGTGTCGTGCATATGCTTATTATATTTTCATAATATCTATTCTATTTTGTAACGAAGGTTGTTTAAGACTGTGCGAACTAACTTTTACTATAATCAGAAAGTCATATGTTTCCTTCCTATGTTAAGTTTTTTATTTGTGAAGAATAAATTTGTCTAAAATATCAGGAAGATGATGATTTGTCTTTTAAAGTTGTGCTTTAGTATGTATAAATTTTTTTTAACTATGAGAAGAGAAAGTCTTGGCATTAGAATTTAATTAATTTTTTTCCTAAGTATAATAAGTATTAATAATCGAGTTTCAGCAAGTTCTCTTATGTTTTTAATAAATAAATATTAATTGAAAGAAGTTTTCTACTTTTATAGATTAGAACTTTTGATAATTGTTTTCTTAAAACTGTTTCCTCCTAGCATAATCTGCCTTATAAGGAATAATTTTTTTTTTGTACACTAGCGATGCGCCAGGTTCAGAATTTTGTTTGTTGCATAACTACAATACCTATTTGTTTATACAATCTTTATATTGTTACATATTTATTGCATTAACCAGTCTGTTTTATGATTGGCTAACCTATGATTGGATAAGTTGTTTTAAGATTACATCTATGAATAATTTTATGGATGTAATTATAATAATTTAACAATTAATTTATTAAAATTTGTATGGAAAGCAAGAGATTGTGTAAATTCCTTATCAGACAAAGTTGCATTTGATTTTTAATTGTCATTTTTTGCATGCATTTGTATACATGCAGTCAAACCTCGATTTAATGAACTGAGAGTCTTTTATCTTTTAATTCGGAGTTATTTATAGTATCGAGACCCCCAAAAATTTTTGTTTGCACTTACCTAACGGACCAATCTAAGAACTACACGGAATTGTTTGTTATTAGAAAGTTTGTGTATTCACTTTTTATTCAACAGTTAAAAATGCAAGGGACTTCGGGACTGCCTTAAAATGATGGGACTTGCACTAGTTAATACCACTTGTGTTATCGAAAATCCCATGTTCGGATAGTATTTTTCATTTGCATTTTTTAAAACTTAATCCCAACATTACCTCACAAAGTATTAGAGAATTTAAAATATTGGCTTTGTTTATTTTTTCTGTAATCTTGTCCGAGGAGGCTATTATTTTCCTTGTGAACAACTTTATGCTATCAACGTTCACAGAACAGATTATTCTAAGGTTTAGTGGCTGATGTATTAGAGAATGTCATTAAAAATACCAAAAATCTTTCTGGTTTTTAAAATTTTGTAAATTAGAGGTTTTTTATTCATCAGATTGGGTTTTATGTCTTTATTTTAATTGGGATTTTACAAAAAAAAATGTTCAAATCTAGATATTTCGTAAATAGGGGTTGATTAAATCAGGGCTGTCTGGGAAATATATTAAAAGCTCGGGAAATATAATTATTTCAAACTGTCTGAGACAAAGTTGCTGTTGATTTACTTTCTGTGCACCTTCAAATGAGTGTACATTTTTTGCATGCATTTTCCACTCTCCTGAATGATTGTGTTTTCTGTTATTCTTAAACTATTTTGAGAAGGAAAATATCTACAGACCATTCATTTTTAAAACTGAAGTGCTATTTCATATTTCTTGTTTAATTCACATATTTATTTATGCAGACAAAATATTGTATTTATTATCCAATTGTTATATTAGGTATCACTAGAGTTTCAAATTTAAAGTGAATTGTTGCTGCCATTTCAGTGCAATTGAAAATTGTTATTTTGCAATCCATTTCAAAGTTTTACTCATGAGTAGCTGAATTAAAATTTGTTGAGTGTGTTTCATTATAAGAATGGCAGCATTTATATGTGATGTTTTTAAAAATTTGTAGACATATATTTTTAAGTTTCTTTCATTTCTTTAAAAGTTGTATTTAAGCTAACAGAAGGAGAAAAATGCCTTTAAAATAATTTGCAATTTATTGTGAGAGTTATCAACAATGTAATTACAAGTTTTTTTTTAATGCATGTTTGTCTACATTATAATCCATATTCATTTGCATTATTATGAAAAATACGCATATGTACGATGAAAGACATTTTTATCATAAATATGCATATTTCATTATTTGCTATGAACTGTTTATCAGTGTACTGACATATTTATATGGAGACAATAAATTAAACTTTTAAATTAGTATGGAATCTACAAAGTTTAGTGTGTGGTTAATGGAATATGTACCCATTTTATTTATTTTTAAAGTAATTTGTGAAAAATAGGAAATTCAATATGTAATGTATACTTTTCTACTTATTCTGATAATTTTTATGTTTTATGTCTTTCAAGCATGACTGTAGCTATAGTTTGTTATGTTTGTACTTATGAAAATGATTAACTGTTGCTTATACTTTGCTTATTTGGTCTTCAGGGTCATTACTAATATAAATATGGATGTATAGAAATAAAAATTGTACAGATTTGTTAGTTTCCTTGTTAGGATGTTTCTGTCTCATAAAATTGTGTTTATTACGAACTCAATGGTAAATACTTTTTAAATTTAAAATGTGATATTATTCTTTTTTAAATTATAATTAATTATATTTTTCTTTTTTTTCCCTTTTAAAAAAAAACTATGTTCAAAAATAAATTGTGAGTTAATTTTTTTCCGAGTGACTTTAGAATTTTATTGAACAGAAATGAATAAATTAATAAAAAAAAACTGAATCTGAAAAAAGTGGAATGCTTTTTTTTAAATAAAGTACTTTTTATATCCGCATAACTTAAAAGTTATAACTGTATTTCTATTGATTTTATGTACCTATTTTTCACAACTTGGAATTGCCTTTGCGATAGTCATAATTTTCTAACACAGAACGATATTATACCTACCTGTTTTAGATGCTTTTTCACAGCCTGTCAAGATTTATTCATTTTTTCTGTCACTTTAATTCTCGTGATCTTTATTGCCGAAATGCAGTAAGCAAAAAATGTTTTTAAGTTTCTGACCTGCCAACTCTCAGGCTTTTGTGTTCAACCTCAGGCCACCTAAGTATATTTTTCAGGCTTTTTTGTACACAGTTCCAAATCTTTTCTCCAGATCAGCGATTTTGCAGCTCTTTACAGTGCAATGACATTTCAGAATAGGTTTTTATTTTTTGATTGGTTTGATGCAAAATGGTGTGAAATCCAGTAGCAGGAAAAGTAATGCTGACAGTGTGTTGATCAAGTTAAAGCTTGCTGTATAAACCATTCCTCACAACGCTGTGACGTATGAGAGAATATTCAGTCTTAATTTTTTTCTTACTCAAAACAATTTTAGGAAAATTTTTTGACTGGGAGAGCAAACCAGGAAGAGCTACAGAAATTTTTTTTATAAAATACTTCTGAATTAGTCAATCTGTTTTAAAAAATATATTAATTTGATAGTTTTTCATTTTTCTGTGTAAAAAAATTTTTTTTAAATTTTATTTTAAGAATATTTGAATTTATTTTGTTTAAATATTTATGCATGTTTTGTTATTATGCGATGCCTTTGTCACAAAGTCTCAGGTTTTTTGAATTTCTGTGGTTGGCAGGTCTGTAGTTTTTATAGCTTGAAATGGTACTTTCTTTTTCTTTGTTTTATTTTTCCTATTTCATGTTTACTTTTAACATTCCACTGCCACTATTTAAGCAATATTTTACTTTATTTCCCAGGGTCTAATTTGGCCAATGTGGCAGCAAAAATCACTTAATAATTTTCATCACATATCATTGTGTTTACAATTTTAAATTATGTAATTTATTCTAATTAATTTATTCTAATTAATTCATAATACATATGATGCTAAATCTACTCTGAAATATGAATTCCCTTTTTGTACTTGATATAAAAATACCACTGTTTCTCCTTGTACGAAAAATAGCTTGGAATTGGTAGGAAGAATTTGAGGAGTAAGTTTCAACTATCAGACTCTAAAACATTAAATTTCCTATCTTGAATTTTTTCTAAAAGAGGTAAAAGATTAAAAAAAAAATTTTTACGAGGAAGAAAATATCTGGAGCTGTCTGCTGTTGTGAAGCCTCAACCTCAACAAATTTATTACAAATAATTAGGTGGTTTTTGAATGAATTTATCCTAATAGTGTTTTGCTTAGTTGCTATAAAGCAATTTTTCTTTACCAAAAAAAAATTAAAATAAAAAAAGCCAGTTTTTATTAAAACTAAATATTTTTAAAAAAATCATTTAAAATTAAGCATGATTTTGTTAATTACAGAAGTGTCATTATGTGATTGGAACAAAATGGAACAGCAATTTTTTGTTTTCAAAAGCTCTCAGTTTGAAGAAGCAGCTTTAAGGATAATCATTGCACTTCTTGGGGTTATACGAATATATTTTTATCATTTTGGATAAATATTGGTATTCTTCACTCGCGCGACAGCCCTGGGTGGGCCCTGATCTTCTCTAAGTAAAAGTTTCCTCTAATTGTCCCTATGTTTGGGGGCGATTGTCCTCCAGTTTTTGATTTTAAAAGTGTCGATGACCTCAACCCTGTCGATCCACCTAAGACGTGGTCGTCCTCTTCGTCTTGTTCCCATAGGTTTTCATAAAAATATTTTCTAGCAGTTTGTCTTCCTGCATTCTGATTAAACGTCCAGCCCATTTTCTTGTTGCCGTTGTATTTTTGTGTACTTGACATCATCAGGCTCCCTTAAGATTTTATACACCTCTGAGTTAGTTCTTCTCAATGAGCCGTTTACTTGAGTTTCACCACTGATGATACTTCGTGGTACCTTTCTTTCAAAAATTGCAATCGCCTCGTCGTCTTTCGAAGTCAATGCAATGCCAACGTCTCGGAAACAAGAATTTTATATAAGAGTAATTTAGTTCTTAAGACTAGAAATATAGATATTAAAGACAAGAAATCACAAATATTTCGTTATGACCAATGGACAAATCTATAGATACTGGCCACGATTGCCTCTCCCTTCAAGCATTTATATCGTATAAAAATCCTTGGAAGTGCAACATTAGTGAACTTGTAGTGCTGCGGAAAATAACTTTAAATCAAATTTACAGAGCCGTGATGGGTAACTTAGGGAAAGAGCTTTCGCCTTCCAATTATGTGAACTGGATTCGAATCCAGCGATGACTATTCGATACGAATTCTGCACCAACCACAGTAGTTCTGACGTAAAATATCTTAACTGCCCGACAGATCAGGGGTTAAAGCCACCTTGCCGCTAGGCAACCGTCGGAGGTTTTCGTGGATTTCCTCTCCATGCAATGCAAATGCGGGTTAGTTTTATCAAAAAGTTCTCCGCAACGGAAAAATTTCAATACTTGATCCAGGAGTTCCCTTATCTTCTGGATTGGGTTCAAAATTTCAATTCTAGTGAGTTAAACATTAATAGTCATTAAACCTAAAACAATTGGGTCGTTATCTTTCTGGGTTTTACTTTATAACCGTCGTTTATAAAACAAAATGAAATCAAATATACAAAACAGATAATCAAACACTAGAACATAAACTTGGCTACCACTGGACTAAATTTTCTCCAAAAGCTCTGTAATTATAAACTTTCAATCATAAAAATTTTTGTCCTAATGAAAACTAAATTTTTTTTTTTTTAAATTCTAGTTATTCTGATAAATCGAGATAGTTATTTAAAATGAAAAATCTTGTGAAGTTTCTTCAATACGTGTCTCTTGCAGAGAGAATTACATTGATGGTGCGTGTCTAAAATGATAAAAAGCAGAAATCTATTAAAATAGATTATAATTGGCTACATTTAACATATTACTTAAAGTTTATTATTAAAAATGAATGCAAGGAATATGTTCGTTTTAAACATACAATAATGTAAAAGATACCTATAAATGAATAACTAAAAAGGGAAAATAATAATTTTTAAAATTTTAAGCACTAGTGTCATCATCGGAGATTTGATATTTATGACAATATCACAACTTAAAAGATCTTTAGGACATACAAGGTGCGGCTATGACCGATTTATAAACTCCATAGCATAACTAATTAGTATGCTTCGTAGTAACTGTCGTACTTCTGTACTGGGATGTAAACTTTTAAAGACCTTTTTCGGAACATTTTTTAATTCTGACGTTTGTATTTCTTTCATGATTTCGTTTTAGTAATTCTTTGGTTTCTGAGTTCATTGTCATGAATCATTCACCGTATTCTTCGGACAAATCATTTGCAACTTTTCGTTTCTGAAACTGAAAATTTCACTAAAGGGGCAAGGCTTAAGGATGTAGAAGATGTTAGGAACGTCAGAATGGATGAGCTTTCCAAAAAGGGGACCTTTAAAAATTGTTTTTGAAACTTTTACAGCAGATTACAGTTGTACATTTATTACAACTGCACAGTACTCTCAGTTTTCTATTCCAAATTCGCTAAAGATACAAGGTTTAAGGATGGCATAACTCATGGACATTCCGAAAAGATGACTTAAAAAGTTGTCTTTGAAATTTTTACAGCAGAGTACAGTAGTGCTTTAATTCCAATTACACTACAGTTCTCTCTGTATTCCATTCCAATTGCTGAAGAAGCAAGGCTTAAGGATGGAATGTCAGAATTGATGAGCATTCTGAAAAGAATGACTTTAAAAGTTGACTTTGAAATTTTTACATCTGAGTACAGTAGTGCTTTAATTCCAATTACATTTCAGTACTTTCTGTTTTCCATTCCAGTTCGCTAAAGGAGCAAGGTATAAGAATGGAACGTCAGAATTGATGAACAATACGAAAGGATAACTTTAAAAAGTTGTCCTTGAAAGTACAGAAGTGTGTTTCATCAGGGTGGAGGTACCTTTAAAATATGTTAAATGGGTATGTAGTTCACATAACATTTTCAGAAGTTATAAGATAATTCCAGGAAATTAATAGTTGCACCTATGTAAAGAGGGGAAAATAGCACATTTTAAGAAAAAACCTACTAATATGAAAATATTTTATTTTATTTTATAACCGTCGTTGAACAGCCGACCCAATTTCATGGGTTTACGACTACTAATGTTCAACTCCGTAGCCTTGTAATTTTGAACCAATCCAGAAGACAAGGAAACTCCTGGATCAGTACCCCCAGAGGTATTGATTTGTTATGGGAACATGGAGGACTTTGAGACTCCATTTACTACACGGGGAGTCTTCGGCCGGCGAGGATCGAACCCACGACCTCTTGGACATGGGCCCAGCACCCTACCGACCAGGCTATCCCGGCCTTTAATATGTAAATATTGAAATAAATATCTTTTAATACTAGTTATCAATTATATATTATCGTTGTTGTTCTCGTAAGCTATTAAGGCGCGCCCGTTTATAGGGCTGACCTTTTCATTCATCCATAGATCGTAATTTTGACCTGAACCAGAGGTTTAATTTGTTATGGGAGCATGAAGGATTTGTGACCCGACATATTTAACGTGCACCAGTCACCATTTACTACACGGGGAGTCTTAGGCCGGCTGGATTCGAACTCCAGTTC